CTTCCGGCGCTAGTCCTGATTGGGCTGAGTACAGTTGCAAATAACTTTGTGGCTTTGGCTAGTCTAGCAGAGAAGGATAATGGTCATTTGTATCCCGACAGGGAGATAGTGAAAGTCACATATCAGAGACTTTGTGGCTTGACAGAATCCACCAGCATGTCTTAGCAGCTCCATATGGACTCTACCCCGCGAGCTGAAATGTCTTGTCAAAAAACATATGTCAATTCCATAGTCAAAGTTATTCTACAGGTGAAGAATAGGAACTATATACCCAAGAGCCCTCGCAAAAATTCAAAAGGCTTTGAGTCCGCTAGCATAGAGATGGCCTCCTCCATCTCCTAACCTTGCTCCTATGCCCCTTCATGTGCTCATGCACAGTGAACCGCATAGATGAAAAATCCTCTTCGGTTTCGGAAAGCAGGCATAACTCGTCGTGCTGCACCTTTCCGCCATGTTCTCCAGCGTGACATCTTTCGAAGCAACTTGATAATCGTTGTCGCTTACGCTCCTTCTAGGCAGGCGTAAGACCCACCTGGGTACCGTTCATCGAGCACAGAGTCAGTGTCAGACTCTCTCGCCACACTTCGGGGTCTCTGCTCTCCATAGTCTTGAATTCTTGTACCATCCGGACCGTCACGTAGCTCGCTTCGGTAAGCGCGTACTGCTGGCCGAGACAGATACGTGGACCGCCGTTGAAAGGCAAGTATTCCCAGCCCGGACGGAGGGTCTCCCATCTCTCAGGCTTGTATTCGTCCGCATCTGGGCCGTAGAGATCGTGGCGGCGGTGCATGGTGTATGGCGAGTATCCGACCGTCGTTCCCTTGGGTACGAACAAGGGCGCTTGACCGTCTGGGCCGCCACCCCGGGGCAGTACAGTGTCACGGATGGCTCGGCGAGAATTACCGGGTACGACTGGGTGAATGCGGAGTGCTGATCTCAATTAGCATGTCGCCGATTGCTAGCTCAGAAGGCAGACTTACATTCGTTGAGACACCATTTGAGGTACTTTAGGTTCCTCAATTCCTCATACGTTGGTGTGCGTCCCTCAAGCGTTGCAACTTCATCCCTCAGCTTCGCATAGATATCGGGCCTCTTGGCAATCTCAAAGAACATGTTACTGAGCAAACTGGCTGTTGTGTCGCGTCCTGCAAGGAGGATGTTGATGAGTTCTTCGCGAATCCGCTTCTGATCGGTAGTCTGCTTAGCCACCTCTTGAATGAAATAGTACTTGTCGTCCTTGGTTCCAGCACTCTTCTCGGTGTCCAATTCCTGTCTGAAACGCAGAGCATCATCCACAAACTTGTCAATGTAGGCGTGGCAGATTTCGATGGCCTTCTTACCCTCATCGTTCTTCCGGAATCGATCGAACATACCATAACGGGCGCGGACCGTAATGTCCTCTTGCGCGAAGTTGAACGACTTACTAAAGATGAGATCCTCGTTGTTGCCGTCATCTTGGCCAACCATGCGGAGCGAGTTGGTAGAGTGGTTGAAGAGAAACTCGGTTGCAGTATCGATCGTCAGGCGGAAGAAGAGCTCTTGTAGATCGACAGTCGAGCCATCTTTTGGGATATGTTTGAGCATAAGCTTGAAGTGGCGCTCAAAAGCCTCGATGTCGGCGACTTGATCCCTGGCGAAGTTGGGTCGCAGCAGGTGACGGCTATTAGCCCATCGCTCGCCATCCGCGTTGAAGATACCATGGCCCAAAAGAGGAGTGAAGGCGGCTGACCTATGTATAAGGCTGAAGTCCTTGAACTTCAAGCTCAATATCGCCTTGACGTTTTCTGGCTCACACGTTGCGATAAATGGCTCAGTGATTATTCTGTTGTGGAAGGTGTTGCCGAGCCTTTGGAAGCGCTTCCGGTTCTCTTGCAGCAGAATATGGTGCTTGCTGTTGTACGCCATGGCCTTGACATTGTCGATTCCGAAGATAGGGTCTTTGTGGAATTGCGCCGTGCATGGTTGGCAGCCGTTCTCTTTCTTGAAGCGTTGTCGCGCAAGATAAAGTGCAATGCGGGTGTATAGGATGTAGGAGATGGCCGCTCCCGCGACAATGAAAAGCAATGGCGATTGTGCCATCGTGTTCGTAGGTAGGATGTAGTTGATGAGACCGTGTTTGAGGAAGGATTCTAGTGATGACGTCGGAGAATAAAAATCGTGGGCAGCCACGCTTCTTTTTTAAGTGCTTCTGGAATGCTTCCGGGGTCTAGTCGTGGCAACTGCGTCCGCCTCGTGGAGTGTTTAAGTGGAGCCTCTCACAAAGGTAATCGAACCGTCAACCTTGTAGGGTGATTGCTGGGGTACACGACACAGCCGCTGTCAGCTTTGACTAGGTTCGTTCTTCACCAAGATTCCTTCTTCGAGCCAAGTCCAGGTATCAGGCAATCCAAGTCCTTGTTTCTCCCCCTCAATTCGTTTGCCAATGACAACCTCTTTGCCTACGTGCCAAGGGTATCAGTCGGTCGATGGGTGTTCGGCCAAGCTCAGCAGTTGGAGGTTTCCGTTGTGTTTTCCACTTGTCGCGGTGGTTGTTCCAAGACGTCCGATGTTGGCAGTACGCGTACGTCGTTCGTCCGGTGCAGCCAGATGTCTCTGTCTCAGCGTAATGTCAAACCTTGGCAGGTCTTCAATCTATATTATCAGGCACCAGGGCAAGCCAGACTTTTATACCACACGCCTCCGATGTCCGAAGATCTAGTGGTTCCACACCCCGTCGTTTTAAAACTCCCTACGGCATATGCATCCACTTTAGCATTCAGCTCCGACACGGTGCAAAGCGGCGGCCGACTGCTGAAGTCGCACCCATTCACGGGCGGACGTGCTCGCGGAGGCTAGAGCGTAGAATTTCGGTGATGCCGTCTCTGCAGCATCCTTGCGCTGCCCCGCTACCGAGGCTGAATCACGGGGGTCGCGATTGGCCAAGTCTAATACAGTAGATCTGCAACTCGCATGTTATGCTTAATGGGGTTACTACCCGATGGTATTCCTGCATGCTCGGGGGATTCGGAAGGTACAGTGTTGGGTAGGATTCACATTGCAGTCAGCAGGAGCAAGTTGCTGATTACAGATCACGGCCGAAATCTGGAAGAAGGATATCATAGGTTCTCGGAGCAAATATTCCCGTGTAACACCGCTAATGGTAAGGTGCACAGTCAGATTACTACTCCATCTTCACGGATATGCTCAATAGAGCAAGTATACTACAACGGCGTGTACTAATGACTTGAAAATGTTGATTGTAAGTTGATAACCACGTCATCTGTGTGCGCAGCTACTTTAGCACACTCGTGGGTCCAAACGGCCCGCGCCATAAGCTACTCGTCTTCACGTGCTATTCCCGAGGACATGATGTGGATTACTTATCAGACGAGATCCACTTCATGTGATTAATCGTTTTCTTCTCCAAGTACTCGTATATTTGCCCGTAGTCTTTGCACACGTGCTTCGCATCCCACCCATCGCTTCCACCTCGATCCTCACCGTGTTCATCGCCTGGGAAACTTGTCGCAGCTCCTTCCAGTGCCACATCTCCCGCGCACATTATTGCCTGTCTGATGTATTCAAAGCAGTGATTGATGTGCCATGGCATCTTGACAGGGTTCGCCGACACTGGCGAGGCGACCATAAGTTTCATGGAATTGTACGCGCCCAATATGGTGTATAGACAGTGAAGCTGATGCGTTACGGATGTGGTGAAGACGGTATGATTAGGGTAGTCGTGTATCGGGGTGGGGAGGTTGGAGTACTCCGAGGGAGTTTCGACATTGACATAGCCCAGGCCTTCTATTCGGCGTGTCAGTTCTATACAATGGTAAAGGTCAAAAGCAAATCAGAACGTACCTGGTACGATGTTTAACCATGCATGCTGCGTCTCATTGCTCCAAAACTGCATCGCATCTTCCGGAGCGAAAACTGGATCGGGCTTAAAGCTCACAATCTGTTGTGAGAACCTTGGGGCGAAGCCTGTAAGATCCCCTGCGAGCTCGTACTGGTGGCTTTTTGTATGTGTTTGCCATCTCTTTTCTACCAGCAATCCTACGATAACGAGGAGAAGCGCAGTGTCTAGTACCCATCTGTAGCCTTTCAGCTTCCTCCATACTGTCTTCTTCCGCCGTCTTTGCTGGATTGCTTCTTCTACCTCCCAATCGCCGATCTCTGTACTCGAATCGGAGTGATCGTCGGTGTTGCGTAGGGAGTCGTATCGTTGGTCGCGCTTCGTTGAGTCGTCCGTCGCGAATGCCATGATAGAGACGTCGTGACTGGATTTGTGGGCTGCGAATGATGACATAGCTATACCTGTAATTTAGTGAATGTATCTGGGCGAGTCCACAGCGACGATGGCGTGAACGCTACATGATGTTCATTTGCCTTGACGCTCAAACGCATACTGCGACGCCAATCGTTCGATGAGACATTACGAGCCATGGCAGCCACAGTGATCACCACCATGTCAGGCCCTAGACCATTACTATAGAGCGAAAACCTTAGCAGGAGTGTCAGTTGTCTGTAGGCATTACAACAACGGGCGCATGCAGGTACAGCGCGCTGCATTGCATATCCTGATGGAAGAAGGTTGAGACGATTCGTGCTACATGCCAAGGCATATATTGCAATGAGTAGAGATCAGTCAGATGCTCGTATTGGTGGCTGGAGATGACACAGTCAAACTTAGTTGATGCATATGTCCGGAGTGTTGAAGCGTGGATAGCTGCAATCCAGTCACGCCCGACCTCGGCAGGTCTGTGGAATGGCGATTGCGCCGATCGGCATCACCGTGCGCCGAGCCATCCATCTCAAACATCCTTCGCCCATCATCATCCCCTAAAACCAACTGACAGTGAGATTAAGATCGGCAGCACATTGCAATTGACACTACGGTCTAGCGGTTGCTAATCCTCTGTAGAGACAGTTACAAGAGACAAATGTAACCTCATATCTAGTCTATGTACTAACCCAGTCCCATCCCTTGGCCAACATCAACCGTCCAGCTGTAGACTTGCTTACTCCACTACCCGTATATGACGTTCGTTGGCAGCCTGTTGTGATGATTGGAGGATGGACGGTGAATTGCTCTTATTCAGCGCTTGTGCAGCATGTTCTTTCACGGTAGGCAATGTTACTAGTGAGATGTCCTCATCAGCAAGGAGCCCTAGTGCCTCAACTAACACTTCTTTCTGACGCGAGATTGTTCTTGCTGATGATGCGGCATGGTTTCTCGCATGCATGCGCTTCTTCCCAAGCGAAACAGAATCAACACGCGCAAACAGTTCAGGCGACATAGCGCCCGAGCGCACGAGACGAGAGTGTGCAATTGTCACAGAGTCGCGATGATCACGGAACTTTGTGTCTGCTTCTTCGAGATTCGAAAGCTTCCGAACCCCTGCCGATGATTTCGTCTTCCGCCCCCTGATCTCAACACTGGGCACCACAAGAGATTGCTCCAGAGGCGGTGACCCCGCCTGTGGCGTGTCTTGTAAGGCGTCCTGGAGTGATATCCCCTCAGATGACACAGTCCTAGTCAAAGGCGCACTCGCTGGGCGGGATGGGATGCGAGAAGGCGCACCGCTTGTCATCCGGCTGTTTGGAGGCACTGCTGCCAGGTCTTCCTCTTCGTCCACCGTGCAGTCATAGCGAGTAGCTCGACCGTCGTCGTCAGGAAAAACCACTGCAGATGTAGAGGTACGGAATTAGCGCATATCTCGTGTGCATATTTTGAACCCATAGTTTACCTATGGTTGGCTTGAAGCTGTCTGATGGACTGTTCCACGTTCCCGACCAGCCCGCAAGCTTCGAGTTGACTCGTTCAAGACCATGTTTGGCGCTTGGACTAGCAGTCTCTAGAGCATGACTTGCTGGCGAGCTTCGTCGCCCTCTTGTCCTAATGGTATGCTCAGGTGGTACATCGTCCCAAATCACTTCATAGCTGTCACTCTGTGTCTCAATAATCTGCATAGTAGGTGTTGCCGGATCAGCGCCGTCGTCAGAGGCGAGGTCGTCCGCGTTCCAAGATGGAGCAATAGCGATGACATGGACATCCGTCCGCGTAATAGCTGGTTCTGCCGCAGTACTTTTCGCTGTACTTATTGTGTTCGGGCATGATGCATTCCGCTTGACGGTCTCTGTATGGTCGTCGGCAGACCTGGCACTACGCCCGATATCGTGTTTCAGGGTCTCGGTTGGACTTATTGGTGTGATGGTTACCTGGGGTGGCGGGGAAGATGACTTTGCACCAGCCTCTTGAAAGTCGACTGTTCTGACACGACGTAGAAATACCGGCTTGAGCTTGACAGCATTCCCCTGAAATTCGCCTGGTGGTGTTGTCGTGGTACTCTTTGCCTTTTTCTTGATGCATGGCTTCAGTGTCACATTACAGTTGTGCGTTTTTGGGTTCGCAAATGCTCGTGCTGGGTCCGGCTCTGTGTCTGAACGCATAGTAGATCTGGTAGGTTCTGGCCTGAAATACCTCATGATTTCGTCTTCGGTCGAACTCGGAAACCGAATCCGTCTGATCGGAGGTTTTGTTTGCTCAACAAGTTGCTTCTGGATGCTCACAGATGAGATGGCTGGATCATGATAGCGAGACTTAATTTCATGTCGAGAGTTGCTGATGGAACGCTGAGAAGCAGGGCGAGGAGTTTGTAGCTGGATACGTGTTGGGGATGGGATTTTATGTGCTGTACGGCGCTCGTCTTCCATGAAGCGAACTGTATTCAGCGCTGCAGTTGCCGTTAAGCGATCGTTCCGCACTTGACTTGGTACAACCTAATATGATGATGTGCGAAGTCAACATATGCTTCACACACGCAGCCCGTACACTAGAGCTTTTACCAGTTCGCTAACAGATCTCTTCAACGAGTGTCTAGGAATCATCTTTGCGAAAGGCCTCGCTGACAGTCCTATTTCAGCATTATGATAGATAGTTGTTGCCAGAGTAGGGTGAAATTCGGTTTGTAGGTCAGCTGGGGGAGGAGCTTCGGAGGGTGTGACTTTGTCGGATGTGAGGTATGAGGTGAGTGTCGTGATTAGGCCATCGCCCGAGGTTCCAAGCATCGTTGTTGCGGGACACGACGGGCGGTAGTATCAACCAAAGAAGGGGCAAGATAGCGTTCGACTCGGAGGATAAAAGTCAATCAATTTTGTTGTTATAGATGAATTGAAATGTAGGGGATTCGGAAGCCAGTGTTATGAGGGCCCTAGGATGAGAATTCTGTCGCAGAACGTCGTGTGTACGGTTAAGAGGGCAAGCATGTAAGGGACGAACACCAGACATGAGAAAGAGCAAAACCTCCAGGAACCGGGGTTCTTGCTCTTTCCAAGATCAGAATTGGTCGACTTTGAGAAGTCGCAGCTGAATGCGCGTCCGTCCATCGTCTTGGCTAGCAAAACTGCAGCTTCTTGGAGAATCGAAGAAGCAAAAGAACCACACGATATAGTGCTTGCAAGAACGCACTAACGAGCACACTGTAATGATACCGCTGTTTCACCCACGTTGTACACTATTGATATCTCAACGCAGGGATGCGTAAATTTGGTAGATTCCTACTTTCCGGTGTTTTCGACAAGAAGTGCCCCCAAGCACCGGACGGCATGAGCATTCGGCTCGATATCGTTTTCTGCTGTCAAGATTCAAGTCGAGTGCCATTGCCAAACTCCCAACATATTTGACCCCAGGTGCCCATCCAAGTTGTGCTAGCTCACATGCAGCCCGCCCGAGAGAGTATAACGCCGTCTAGGCATTATTACCGGCCAGCGACTCATGCGTACTCCTCGAACAACGTGCGCGCTCACTCCCGTAAACGTCGCGTCATCATTGGGAGAACTACAGGCAACCTGAAGTTCTATGGCGCTTGTTGGTATGATCTAGTGACATCCCAGGAGATGGAGTTCTTCGTACATCCCGCCTCTTCGACGCCATTTGCCTCCTCACACGGCTCTCATGAACGCCATGCCGCAACTAAGGCTATAGCCTTGTCTGTTGCAGCCAAACAGAGAGCGCACGTGTAGCTCGTTTGTTGAAGATGCATGCAAGATAGCCTCGTGTGCCTGGCTGTCGGGTCGCGTCATTGCGGGATGGCCCTCCTGCTCGCAGGTATTAAAACATGTTGTTGATCTGCCCAGAACTCCCCTATCCAGGCGCACGACAGTCGGTCACTTTTCATGATGCTGTTCGCCGTTTCACTCAGCCTCCTGGCGCTTCCGATCAGTCAAGTCATTGCTGGCCCGGTCATCACTCGTGCTGATCCCACGACCGCGGCAAACTCCACCACCTGCAATGGCAAGCTATACACCTATGAAGAGCTTGCAGGCTATGGGAAAATAGCCAGCGACGCCCGTGACAAGCTCGGCGACACCATTGGTGGTATTGGAAGTGCCATTGCATTTGAGAAGAAGTCTTGGAAGTACAAGAAAGGCGCTTATCAGGGCATCGTTTGGGGCCTGCCTGACCGAGGTTGGAACACTCAGGGTACTCAAAACACTCAGACTCGCATCCACAAATTCAGTGTCACCTTCACGCCGGTAGAAGCAACCCTCGAAAATCCAGCCAGTCCGAACTTCCAGTTCTCTTACATTGACACCCTTCTCCTCACTGGACCCGACGGTACGCCCTTAACAGGTCTTGACCCAACCGAGACCATCACTTATCCTGGGTTTCCTACCCTTCCTCTTGCTAGATGTAAGTTTTCTGATCATATTGGAGCACACAGCACTAAATGGTACAGACACTGGTAATGGCTTCGGCCAGAATGGTACTGGTGGCGCTCGTGTCCCGCTAGATACCGAAGGATTGGTGCTCGGAGACGACAAGTCTTTTTGGATCAGCGATGAATATGCCGCCTATGTCTACCAGTTTGACAAAAGTGGCAAGATGATCAAGGCCATTCGCACTCCAGAGGCCTTTGTCCCCCGTCGCAACGGCACCGAGAGCTTCAATGCGGCCTCTCCACCAATCTACGACCCTGAAGTTGAGATTACGCCTGAAGATCCAGACAGTGGTCGAGGCAACAACCAAGGCCTAGAAGCTCTGACCGCTAGCCCAGATGGCAAGTACCTTTACACCATGCTCCAGAGTGCCACAATCCAGGACGGCGGCAGCTCTGCGAAAAAGCGTCGCAACACTCGCCTCCTCAAGTACCGCGTCAAAGACGACACAACCACGCTCGAGGCTGAGTATGCTGTTCAACTTCCTGTCCTGCCAACAGGACGCGTTGCTAGCCAGTCCGAAATGCACTACATTTCCGAAACGCAGTTTCTCGTGTTAGCCCGCGATTCCAATGCTGGCCATGGCGCAGAAAGCACTGAGTCTATCTACCGCAACGCGGACGTGATCGACATCTCCAAAGCCACAAACGTCGCAGGTACAGTGGCTGATGCTAATGATGGACAAATCGCAAGCAAAGATGGCGTGCTGAAGAGCAGCATTGTACCTGCTACCTACTGTCAGTGGCTTTCATACAACAACAATGCCCAGCTGGGCAGATTTGGTCTCCACAATGGCGGTGCACAAGACGCAAACCTGCTGAATGAGAAGTGGGAGAGCTTCGCAATGTTGCCCGTAGACAAGGACGACGAGATCGGTAGAAGCGAGAGGCAAGACGAAGATGAAGGAAAGCAGTACTACCTGGTTTCTTTTTCGGACAATGACTTCATCACTCAGAACGGCAAGTTGTTTCACTTGATCAATGAGCCTGTACTAATAAGTTGTAGGCTACATCAACTTCGGCCAGAACAAGTACGTAGATGCGTCTGGCTACAATCTAGACAACCAGGTTCTGGTGTTCAAGGTTAAGCTTCCCAAAGGAGCGAACCCGTTGTAGACCCACATGATTGATCTGCGCGGCGACTTGTGTATCCACCACCGAAGCGCAAAAAAATGCAAAAGAAAAAAATGCAAAAACATACAACAGCGGGGATTCGCTAGTGGTCACCCACCTAACTACTAATCCGCCGGTACACTGCTTGTATATGGCTGAGCGGACGGGAAGCCTAATTTTCAGTGTCCTATGGTCGTATGTGAAAGAATAGGCTGTTTAATCAATTTATAAACACAGTGCCAAATACTGAGATAGTGATTGCTGCGAGGTCATGGTTGTGGAGTGTCCCTTACTACAGTGATCGTGTCGCGACACTATCTCAGCATTTTCTACTTTTAGATAGGTTGTTAAAGAAAATATGAAAGTCCTCAGCATTTCTACCAAATGCACAAGATTTGTGTTAGCTGCTGTACATATTTAAATCCTAATACTCACTTCATCATCCACTTGGTCGATTCATGTCGCCATAGGGTAGGGGTGCAACTTGTGATCCAACTAGTGATTTTCACATTCAACCACGAATCCAGACAATGACGCAAGTGAAGGTATTGATCGAGATTCACCTTACTAGTGAGTACCTAAGCAAAACTATCAATAGAGATGAAGATGCATACATACATGCATACATACATACATAGACAAAACAGAGCAAAAACAGGGAGCAAGATAGTGAAATAAAGCAACAAACATCCCTGTCTGATTCTCCATGAAACGGCCTTTTCGAGAACAAACTCATTCCAAAATAGCTAAAGGAATGCTTTTCAACGCTCATGTCTCTCGATACTAGAGCCGCCATCTATGCCCTCACTCACTCTCCGAGGCAGAGCTTTCTTCTTCCGTAGATGAGATCTCGAAAGAATCCCGTGGGTCTTGTTCGCTTGAAGTGTACCCAATCTCCTGATCGACAGCGACACCATAGGTCTCTTCTTCGCTCAGATCGTTCGCGCTTCGCTTTTTCGGGACGAGAGCCATGGTACAGCCACCTCGAGAGTTGCGACGACATTTGGTTCTCTTTCTGTCGACTTCGCTTGTGTTGACAGAATCCTTTCTTGTAGCACCGCTTGAAGTACTCGGCTTTCCTAATGCCTCTGGGCCTTGACTCCCACCTTGCCTGTCACGTCGCTTCATCTTACTCTCCTGTTTCTTGTCCAGCTCACTGTCGACTCTCTCTACCGCAAGCCGCAAAGCTTCTTCTGCTTCGTACTCGTCGGCAATAAGACTAAAGTATACATTGGCACACATTTGATTGTGGGTGACCAGTTCTCTCTTCGTGGCGGTAGATTTGCTCAGCCTGTACGGCTTACGAGGCTTAAATTTTGATAAGCCAGGTGCTTCTTGTCGGACAATGACCCCCGGTGGAAGATAGAAATCCATCTCTTTATGCTTGCCAAGACCCTTCTGACTGGATCCGCACCCTGGGCAAGTCTTCTTGTCACCCGCTAGGTAATAACGTCCAAGGCCGTGGTTGACATCACATCGCCAGGCATGTTCTTCGTCTGACTTTCGCTTTTCCCAGTAGTAACCATCAGGAATATCTTGCCCATGCTCCATCATGGTCGAACCGCTTGGATGGGGGCCAAGATCGGGCTCTGAGTCTGGGGTCGGTTCGGGTGTGGGTGCTTTTGGAAGCGGCTTCGGTTTGATGTATTCGACTACTGCGTCAATACCCGTTTGTCGAGCTTCGTCTTCTGACGCGCCATAACTGATAGCTTTCCAGTAAGCGTCTTTCGCAACAGCATCATGGGAAGAGAAGCCGCATTTACGAGGTTGGCTTAATTGTTTGGAAGGTTTCCAGCGCATACCTTGCGCGGGTTGGAAGTAAAAGGTCCTCGGAGGCATGTAAAAGTCCATCAAGACAACACGGACGTTATTGCTAAGAGCGGTGTTGCAGCCCCTACAAGATTTGCGGTCTCCAGCGTTGTAGTAGTGACCCATTGCGTGCTTGAAGGCACAACGCCAGACAAATTTCTCGTCTGTCGAGATTGGCTTAAAATAAGCGTTGGGGGGAAGATGCTGATGAGACTCCAGAGTTCTTGATTTCTGAAGACTAGGATATGGCGACTGGCCAGTAGATGAGGTCTCATCGTTCGAGTGAAGTGTAGACTCTCTGCAAGGCTTGGAGGCAGTCTTCCAATTCTCTGTAGAGGACATGGCTGGAACCTGCTCGACTGCAGCTATATTCCCCCTCCTCCTCTTCTTTGATCGTGCCAGAGGCGCCGTTCTCGGTAGCTCAGTCGAGGCTAGTTGGTCTGGGATGGGCTCTGATAGAGCCGCTGTTGAGCCTGTAAGACGAGTACGCGACACATACGTCTTGCGGGCGGCTCCCTCAGTGGATTCTGAACCACCTTCGTTCCGGGACTGATAGGGGCGTCTGACATACTTCTGGTGTTGTTTACTTGTTGTGATAGGCTCGATTTTCTTCGGGTAGTCATGTGCGATAGGGTGGATGCCCATAGAGATAGCCGCAGTAACGGCTTGCTTGAAGCTTTGAACTGCACAGTCAATAGCCTGTGGTGGGTTGCCCCATTTCCGCGTCAGCCTCCGCTTGTGGTCGCTGACCAGTCTCATTCGCCATGGATTTATCTTCTCTGTGTACTCAATACTCTGCATGGCATTATCGCTGTTCGAAGTTTCCACATCACAATGGCCGAAGGGAATTTCGAGGTGGGAAGGAGATGAGTACGATAGCCTGCCATGCGCATATGCTGGAGAGACGGAAGCTCCAGACTCTTGGCGAGCACTATCTAAGTCTACTTGGTGGATAATGGTGACTGGAGTGTCTGCGATGGGCTGAGATACGCGGGAACCAGAGATTGGATCTAACGGCGCAAATGGGAGCCAATTACTACCAGGCGAGTTGGTTCGATCTTTCCTGATCGCTGCTCCAGGCATATTCTGGCCTTCGCGCTTCCCGGATGTCGACAACCTGACGGTGCGTCCAGTGGGCAAGACGCCACCGATGTTTATTCTGTGGAATAATGTGTTGTTGAAATCGTCAATCTCTTCCAAAGGACTTGCTTGATAGCCAAGCTCGTACTCCTTGGTTGAGTACTGAACCATGAGAGGACTTGGAGTGGTACGATGCCAAGATGCATGCATTCTTTTTGCCATAGGAAAGAGATTGCTGGGGCCGTAATCGGAAAAGGATTTCGCGTCGAATGCGTCTATATCGAGAAATGGGGCGCCATCCTTGCCGTCTTTTGCGAGCAGATGGACCGTACGACAGTGGGCATTCCAGATCATCCTTTTCGTGATGCTATCGACCTCATGAATCACCGATTCCATGTATTCCACAACAGTTGGGCTACTACCAGTTGAATCTTCAGAACATTGGGCTATGCGATCGGGATGCAAGGCATGTGCTATGAAGGTGTTCAAAAAGGTGGCCTCGTAAGCTTTCTGGTTAGCTTGGTAGAGTACATAATTCACGTAATCTTCCTTGGAAGGTAGACGCTGGGTGAGATGAATACCTATGCCGGCTCGCTGAAGACGCGAAGGGTCCTGGGCCGTGCTGCTTCCATTCGCGGAAACTATAGAGTGTAAACAAGCGGCTTTGGATTGGGCCTGGCTTCTTACCTGATTCGAGCGGAAGGCTGCAGGATCTCCGATGCTGATCACGAACATCTGATACAAGTAGCGAGCCTTGATTGTTCTGTGTTTCTGCACATGGGCTGGGTTGAGACGGACGAGCAAAGGTATCGATAGCCTTCTCATCCAAAGAACCATCACTCCAATCGATGTCGTCTTCATCAGCGTATGTCATCGTGTTAGAGACACTGCTTGGAGCCAGAAATAATACGGACTAGAGTTATGTCGGGATAGAAGAATGGTGTGTAAAGGAGTGGAAGATCATGTTGGAATACCGTTTTCACATAGTCCATGCACGCGATTCGTATATATGCAAACGACAGAAATCGTTCGAGAATACGAGCTCGGCCATTCCAGTACATGATCCTGATTTCCGAGACTCAAAACGGAGCAATGAGACTGCGTGCACAGCGTTTGCTTGAAGCGCAGACATGGGCGGCCGCCCAAAAGCCGCGTCTGTTGCCCGATGCATGACCGGTTCTGGATAGAAGATGGCCTAAATTTGATTGAATACCATTATCGGGCATAGCTTCTGTATTAGAATATGAGCATGAGGCTGTTGTTTGTTTGATGCCCAGAAGTGTCGGTATGTCCAGGATATGCACCAAACGCTCTTATGTAAGCGTAGGCGTTCCTTAACACTTGAACAAAAGAGAAGACAGCGACAAAGATATTATCTGCTTGGATAGGCGATAGAAGAAGATATCGTTAGTCGTTCAGGATGGCGGCACACAACACTGCGGAGAGTTGACATTGCGGAGGCGGAGGTGAGGGCTGGAGATAGCTCGGGCGGTTGTGCACGGGCCACTGGACCCTGAAACTATGTCGATGTGGCATTTCGAGCATGTTGGAGTCTCCAGCTCCAATTGCTCTCTCCATATTCAAAATGGGAAGGAAGCACGTGTCTTCGCTAGCCTTTATACTCCCCCTCTTAGCCAGCACCGCAGATGCGGCGTCAGACCCCGCCCGGCCGCGGGGTGTTGGTCCGGAGTGTATGTTGCACCCGTTACAGCTCGTGGAGAGCTTCCAGACGCACGACTGAGTACAGCTGACAGCCAGTGTTTAGTTGCAAAGTACTACAAGGATGCCGAGACATTCACTTGTATCTCGAATCCGGCCATCAAGCTTCCCATTGCACGCTTGAACGACGACTACTGCGACTGCCCCGATGGCTCTGACGAGCCAGGCACATCGGCATGCTCCTACCTCTCGCCCCTCTCCCCACCGCAGCCCTTGGGCTTCCAAGGAAAAGACGTCAATTCCACGCCGGCTCTGCCTGGCTTTTACTGCAAGAACAAAGGCCACCAGCCAAGCTACATTCCTTTTACCAACGTGAACGACGGCGCATGCGACTACGAACTATGCTGTGACGGCAGCGACGAATATGAGCGTGTAGGAGGTGTCAAGTGCGAAGACAGATGTGCGACCATCGGTAAAGAATGGAGGAAGGCGGACGAGGCGAGACAAAAGAGCTTGACTTCTGCAAGACAGAAACGGAAGGAGCTGGTGGCTGAGGCTGGCCGTATGCGCAAGGAGGTCGAGGACCGCATACAGACGCTCAAGACACAGATCGAAGGCGCGACACTCAAGGTAGATGGCCTAACAAAGAGCCTCGCCGAGATCGAGAGGGCGGAGCGAGGCAAGGTCGTCAAAGGCGCAGGAAAGGGCGGCAAAGTCACTGTGCTGGCCAGTTTGGCCAAAGAGAGGATCCAAGAGCTCACCGAGAACGTCAATCGTGTGCGAGACGAGAGGAACGCAGCACAAGCCAGGATCGAGGAGCTCGAGGGCATGTTGAAGCGCTTCAAGGAGGAGTACAACCCCAACTTCAACGACGAGGGTGTGAAGCGTGCCGTGCAGGCCTGGGAGAACTACGCAGCACAAGAGCGTACAGGTCCCAACACCGCTCTCGACCGCGATCTCGATGAGATTCTGAAGCCAGACTCTGAGAGCGCTATCAAGTGGGAAGAGTTCGAGACAGTTGAAGAGTCCGATGTAGAGCTTCGTAAGTACATGTTTGCTCACTCACCCTATTTATTTACTGACCATGGACACAGTCTACAAATTCGAAGAATACCTCCCCGACTCTATCCGTAGCTGGGTGGACAGCAAGCTTCGCGACTTGCGCGTCATGCTCATCGAGAACGGTATCCTTGCAGACCCTACGACTGGCGACGCACCTGAATCCAAGGCCGTTACCGACGCCAAGTCGCAGCTAGACTCTGCGAAGAAGGAACTCGAGGGAGACAAGTCGGAACTTTCAAAGCACGAGGAAGATCTCACCAAAGACTACGGCCCAGACTCTATTTTCCGCGCCCTGCGAGACCGATGCACATCCACCGACTCCGGCGAATACACATACGAGCACTGCTTCCTTTCAAAGACCACTCAGAAGCCTAAGAAGGGTGGCGGTCACACTGGCATGGGTAACTTTGCACGCATTGAATCCATCACCGTCGATGAAGAGCTTCCTGCCGACGGAAGGGGCTTGGGCAGCGGTGAAAGAATCGCGCTCAAGTACGAGAACGGCCAGCATTGCTGGAACGGACCGAACAGAAGCACCATGGTCATCTTGGCCTGTGCAGAGAAGGATGAGATCTGGAAGATCGTCGAAGAGGAGAAGTGTGTATACCGAATGGAAGTAGGTACGCCTGCCGTCTGTGGTGTCGACGTACAGAAGGCTGCGCCGGCGCACAACGAGCTGTGAAGAGATGAATCGATGTTGGAATGAATTAGGCAGGTGAGCATTTTCATGTTCTGGAACATGCATTGCTGTCTTGCGGCCCATACGATTAGCAAGTAGAGCGCTTTTGTAGTAGATAAGAACCCAATCATCACCAATCAGCGCCGAGTTACACAGTTCCTAGCTTCCCCGCTTTCGACGTCTCTTCATCCAGCCGGATATACCATCCCCACCAGGCCATTCCCGTGAGGAGCTTACACAGCGCGATGTCAAATACATGCGGCTTTACATCAGCTCGCATTAGTCTCATGACCCGCAAGCTGATCGACAATACTCCGAGGCACGTATTCAGTGACCCAAAACGTGGCCTTGCGAAAGAACAACTGGATATTGAGGTACCCTGAGCGTGACTTGATGAAGACAAAATGTCGCCCGGAGATGGATGGACCAAGACTACTTTCAGAAACCATGAGACTTTTCCGATAGCCATTGTCGGTGGCGGTCTTGGTGGCCTTGCCCTTGCAATCGGTCTGCTCAGATATGGTGTCAAAGTACACATCTACGAAGCTTCCGCAGCCTTCTCAGAGATAGGCGCTGGTGTCACATTCGGCGCCAACGCCACGACTGCGTTACACTTGATCGACCCTCGATTGCTGGAAGGCTTCATGAAACATGCAACTTTCAACACAGATCCTGAGCGGGATGATACTTTCAACACGATTAGATGGGGTATGGATGAGAGACGAACCCATGGATCTAAAGCTGGAGACCTCGCATTCCATCAGAACGACTCATATCAGCCACAGGGTGCGCTAGCCCGACTTCGAATGCGAGGTGTAAGTGTCCTTGTACGAACTGCATGTGGAACACGTGCTGACTTTGTACACCCATATATAGCGTATACACCGAGCGCGACTGCTCGACGAGATGGTTGCGCTACTTCCCACGGACATAACAAGTTTCAGCAAGAGCTTCGAAAGCGTCGAAGAAGTGGGTAATGGAGTCCTCAAGCTAACATTTACCGATGGGACGACTTCACTAGCTAGCGCAGTCATTGGCTGTGATGGCATTAAAAGTAGAGTACGGGGCTTTGTATGTGGTCCAGACATCCAGCCGAGATATGCCCACGAAGTAGCGATGAGAGCCATGGTTCCAGGAGAGGAAGCCAAGAGGGCACTTGGAGAAGAGATGGCTATGAACAGCCAGCTGTACTGTGGCTACGGAGGATACATCGTAACATATCCTGTTGAGCATGGTCAATTTGTCAACATGGTCGCCATGCCACACGACCAATCCTTCACCAGTACTTGGGGTCAGGACGACTGGACAGTATCGACAAATGGGGACGAGGTTCGCGAAAAGTTCAAAGACTATTATCCGCCGCTCATCGATCTCATTGCCAAATACCATCTGCCCTCGAAATGGGCACTCTTCACCCTCCAACACAATGCATCATACTTCAAGAACCGTAAGTGTCTCCTGGGTGATAGTGCACACGCCACGACACCTCACATGGGAGCTGGGGCTGGCATGGCTATGGAAGATGCATATATACTTAGCCACCTGATCGTTACTGCTGGAAGCATCGACAACATAGAGGCTGCATTCAAGGCCTACGACGCTGTAAGACGGCCAAGGACGCAGGAGCTGATTCAACGGAGCATGGACGCTGCTCTAGCATACGATCTCATGATTGAAGGAGTAAAGGATGATATGAGCAAGATCGAAGATAGGATCAACGAGAGCTTCCAATGGCTCTGGCATGCTGATTTGGAAGCGCAGTTGAACAGTGCGACAATGCTCTTGAAGGAGTGACGTCGGGTTTCAAAGTCCACGAGTTGCTAAGATTCGGTTGAGTAATTGACAATGTGCTCTTCTATGGCTTCCAAGGTTTTCTCATCTTGTCCCTCACGTATCTATCTCTTCATCCGACTTTGGTTGATGTTCGGTAGAGCTTCGGCTTTCGCTGTTCCACAGTACTCTTCTGACAAATGTAGATTACGTCATAAGCTTCGGCGTTACCGCCACTGCCGACAGCATTTCTCATGCCCTGCCAAGCTCAGGTACCATCTCGCTTTCAGCGGCTACGTATCTTGATTCAGGCGTTCCTTACCGTCTATAGCTAACGGAGCCTTAGGACCATGCACATCAGGGTCTACACCGGTGTAGAATACAGCGGAAAGTTCTATGGGGTTAGTATACCGCGCAGTTGCCGAGATCGACCGAACGATGATTTCAAACCATCGACAGGATGTTTTTTTAGTATGAGGCGTATATAGGTATATTGACGCCTCTCCGTCCTCGGTACTCAACAATCTCAACTCCCATTCCTATTGTCCAACTTTTTTCACATGTCCGCCGAATTGTCAAACCTTCCCAAATCAAACACACACAACACCAAGATGTCCGCTGAACGCCTTTTCCAGCCACTCAAGGTGGGCTCTATGGAGCTCAAGAACCGCATTGCTATGGCGCCTCTAACACGTTTCCGTGTTAACGACAACCACGAAATCCTGCCCATGGCCGCACAGTACTATGGTCAGCGTGCTGTCGTGCCAGGAACTCTTCTCATCACAGAAGCTACACTAGTTTCGAAACAATCTGGTGGATACCCCAACGTACCCGGTATCTACACACAAGCCCAGATCGACGCATGGAAACCGGTCACCAAGGCTGTGCATGACAAGGGCTCGTACATCTACCTCCAGCTTTGGGCCCTCGGTCGTGTCGCGAACAAGGATTTTGCACAAGCAAACGACATTACCATCAAGTCTTCCAGCGCGACATCCCTAGGCGAGGGCTATGCTACTCCCAAGGAGATGACCGTCGAGGAAATCAAGCAGAGTGTCTCTGACTACGCTCAAGCAGCTAAGAACGCCATTGAAGCTGGCTTCGACGGTGTAGAGATTCACGCCGCGAATGGCTACCTTATCGATCAGTTCCTGCAGGATACTTGCAACAAGCGCACAGACTCCTATGGCGGCTCTGTTGAGAACCGCTCCAGGTTCGCCGTCGAGGTTACTCAGGCTGTTTCGGAAGCCGTTGGCGCGGATAAGACTGGTATCCGGTTGAGTCCTTTCTCAGAGTTCCAGGGCATGAAGATGCAAGATCCTCTTCCCCAGTTCACAGACATCATGAAGAGGCTGGATGCGTTCAACCTGGCCTACCTTCACCTCGTTGAGGCCCGCGTGGCTGGTAACGCCGATGTTGAGGGATCCGACTCTCTTGACCCCCTGCTGCCCCATTACTCGGGCAAGCTACTCATCGCTGGTGGACTCAAGGCTGAGGACGCGAAGAAGTTGGTCGAGGAGCACAAGGACCGTGACGTTGTAGCGGTATTCGGACGATACTTCATCAGCACCCCCGATCTTGTTTTCCGGATACAGAAGGGCATTGAGCTCAACCCTTACGACCGTGACACTTTCTATATTCCCAAGAGCGAGAAGGGATACGTCGATTACCCTTACAGCAAGGAGTTCAAGGATGCGCACCCAAACTTGTAGAGGCGATGTTGAGAGATACCCAATAGAATTTACGCCCATTTTAGCATAATAGACGGACATTGAAATATATTATCATAAAAACATGTGCGCTGCTGAGTGTTTGCTTGTATGTCATTGATTGACATGTTTCTGATGTTGACATACGATGCTGGCAGAAACACAGTCAAATGTTGTTGCACGGTAAACAAGAACGGCAACTCCACAATAAAACAAAACAAGTGACGTGGACGTGAAAGAAGCTACTGCTGCACGCAACTAGCATCGGAGCGAACCTCGGTAGTAGGTTAATTTATTTGGCGGGACTTCATCCGGGGTAAACATCCGAGATCCCTGATCCCCTACAGCAAGTCCACACGAGTTCCCCTGATATCTAACTTCAGTAGGCACGAAAGCCTCGAAAACTCGTCCAGAAACGCAGATGATCCGTTTCACTTGCTTATGATTGGATCGAGAAAGTGTTTGAAACAAGCAACTACCTTTATATATGGACTTGCGCATGGCCGTGCCTCCCAGATTCGGCAACTTGGTAAATTGATACTATGCCAGCGTTCAAGCACGGCTAGCATCCACGGGGAATAACCTCACAATGTTTCGCGCTAGCGAATATCTCCATACGAGCATAGCAGGTCTATAAGAAGGAAGTGACTGGCATGAGACTCATTCTCTACGAACTCGCACGGCAATCAAGATGCACTTCTCCACCTCTGTTCTCGGCAGCATTGTTGCTTTCTGCGCAACTGCCAATGCCGCTCTCACTCGTGTCAATGACTTTGGAGCGAACCCTTCCAACCTCCAAATGAACATTTATGTTCCTGCCAAACTTGCGACCAAGCCCGCTATCATTCTGGCCGTACGTGCTTTTATACCTTTCCAGGATTTACCTAACAAGGCTTGCGCTAACCTATCGATAGCTGCACTACTGCGGCGGTACTGGAGAAGCTTACGCTCAATCCACAAAATACAACAGCCTAGCTGAGCAGAAAGGTTTCATTAACATCTTCCCGTCCACCAAGAAGGACAACAACTGTTGGGAAGTCAACACCGCCAAGGGCCTCTCTCGCGATGCCGGCGGTGACAACCAAGGCCTGAACAACATGATCCAGTACACCATCAAGAAGTACGGTGCCGACCCGGCCAAGGTCTTTGTCACTGGAAGCAGCTCCGGATGTATGATGACCAACGTCATGATGGCGACCTACCCCGATGTCATCGCTGCAGGATCATGCTATTCCGGTGTCGCAGCGGGCTGTGTAGCAGGCAGCCCCGGCGCCAGCCCAAGCACTGCAGACCCGCGATGCGCAAACGGCCAAGTTATCAAGACGCAAGCGGAATGGGTGGCGCAAGTCAAGGCCATGTACCCAGGCTACACTGGCACCTACCCTCGCATGGCGACATGGCACGGTACTGCTGATACCCTGGTCAAGATTCCAAACTTGGGCGAGCAACTTAAGGAGTGGAGCGGACTGTTGGGTGTTTCGTTCACAAAGAACGTGACGAACACCCCGCAGAGCGGATATACACAAATGGTGTATGGGGATGGAACCAAACTTGTAGGATACAGTGCGTTGAACGTGGGACACACCGTGCCAGTACACGAAGCGGAGGACCTGAAATGGTTTGGACTCTGAGTGAAGGATGTCGAGAACATGACGGAATATGTTCGCCTGATTCGTTTGTATATACTTTCCAATCCTGTTACGAAGACCGAAAATCGGTAGAGCCTCTCGTTACCAATGAAAACCAAGCACCCAACACCTGCGTTAGCAAGGTCAAGTCGGTATCATTTCTGCCTTGCATGTGTCGGTGTAATCATGAGCATCATGTCTCGTGATCTTGTCAGTCGATTTCAAATCCTACTCGAGGTGTCAACCCACAAGTATGAATCGATTATCAATTCTTTGGCAGCGACTACTTTGCCATGTCGTGGAAGATAGGCCCCATGTTCTCCTGCCAAGTATCCACAATCTTATTTGCAGGGCCGGCGGCAATCATCTCGTCTCCCTTCTTCCACTTCCCTAACGTTTCTTCGATGAACTCTTCCACGCTCAAGGCAGCTTTGTTCTTCTCTTTCTTGTTGTCATCTGGATCCTTTCTCTCACGATGTAAGTCTGTTGCCACAGTGGGCGGCGCAATTTCGATGACCTTGATCTTTGTATCCTTGAGCTGGGCTCGTAGGTTCATTGACCAGAAGTGTACCCATGCTTTCGTACCGTTGTACACGGGGTCTAAATCGTGGGTAAATGAGATCAGTATGTTCCTCACGAAGAGTTTGTACGGAGACACTTACTGACGAGGGAGAATGGGACGAAGCCAAGAACGGAAGATACATTGGCCACCAGTGCCATTGGCTTAGTTTTGAAATGTGAGAGCAGATTAAGTGCAAGGTGCATGGGTCCACGGATATTGATATCGATTTCCTGGTCAGCCTTGCTGCCAAATTCCTCTGGATCCATTTCGTTGACGTCGAGCGGCCGCTGCACACCAGCATTGTTAACGAGGCAATCGAGGTCCGGATGCTCTGATATCAGCTTCTTGGTGAAAGCCGGGATAGATTTGACGTCTCCAGTATCAAGGACGTAGTAAGCTGTTGCTCCGATCTCTTTTGCGGCTTCTTGCAATTTCGACTCTGTGCGACCGGCGATGATGACTTTCTTCCCATCTTTTATCATCTGGTGCGCAAGCGCCTTTCCGATACCACCCCCACCGCCGGTCACGAGAGCAGTCTTGAAGTCGTAATTGGTGGACATGTTGAGCGTAAAAATTTGTGGTGTTCTGGAAGATGAGTGCAACTATTTAACTTGCCATAGCGGTACTTGCGGTTGGCTAGTTAAAGACTTATTGCCGGTGACGTGCACTTTCGACGGCGGCGCTGATGATGTATGTACCTAGGTACGTCATGACCCATACGAACAGTGGAAATTTGCTATGATGCGCAAGACGCTCCAGGACTGGCAACCGATGCACTTTTTCAACTCACCTTTGCGCTGAATTTAACTCTCGACGGCCAAATGCGGTAATCTACTCAAGGGAGCTAACCATTATCGGGATGCGGGTTATGGCCGCTGTCAAAGTCCCGTGTTGTACGAACACAAAGAGGGACCCGTAGTTTGCCCGAAGTCATTGCGGAAAATGAGCGCGCAGCGGAAGGACCAGCATTGCAGCGCTCAGGACGGCAGCACCCACATCCTCATCTTCTCTTCGCCTGACAAAGCTCTGACAAAACTAATGACTGATGGCCTACAAACCTCAAGCCCCAGCATTCCCGAAGGCAGCACCTCTATTCTCGTTGACAAAGCTCTGACAAACTCCAGATTGCTTCTGCGCTTGGTCGCGACCCACACGCGGACATGCGAATCACAATGTCTGGATTTTGTTCCATGCGTCATGCGACCCGAAACCGGCTTGGCGTGATGTGGGGTAGCCACGCACCAGTCGCGTCGATACCAACGCGATGTCCACTCTTGACGCGCCGAATTGCACTGCCGTACTGTATGATTACTGGGATGCCCGGGACGAAGCGGTTGTAAGAGCTTATATTAGATGCAAGCCACATTTGGTGATATGTGACACCATCCATCTCTTGTACAAGCAACCTTCAAGCGGGGTAGCTGCACACGAACTATCAGCTCTTAGTGACAACGGCGAAAAGATCCCAAGATGACGGTCTCAGAGACAAAGGAATCAAAATGCGATGTGTCAGTCCACCGATGTTCATGTGTCTGAACATGTCACTAACAAGTTTGAAGTCTCATCGTTGGTGCTGGTCCGGCAGGGTAATTATACATATCAAGAGCGACATCTTGATGATACTGACAAGATCCCAGAATGATGCTCTCGGCTTGGATGGCGAGATGTGGCATCAATGCTCGCGTCGTCGACAAACGTGGCACAAAGATCTACTCAGGACAAGCGGATGGTTTACAGCTCCGCAGTCTAGAGATTTTTGACAGCTTTGGCTTCGCCGATAGAGCTTGGAAGGAAGCCAATCATTTGATAGAGGTACGCGCATATACATCTCTCTTTCAGGAACAAGACTGACCCGTATACTTTCTGGTGACGTATAATTTGGATGAACTTGACTAACCAGCGTCTAGTTCTGCATGTGGGTATGTTGTCGCTTTTGGACTGAATTCCGGCCTTCCTAACACACGCAGAATCCCGGCAAAGACGGTGTAATACGCCGCTCAGATGGTGTGCCCGATACACCACCTGGTCTCTCTCGATTCAAAGAGATCGTACTCCACCAGGGACGGATTGAAAGATTCTTCCTTGATCACATCAAAAAACACTCCAAGGATACCCTACGTGTCGAGCGTGCGGTGTTACCCGAGTCGCTCAACATCGCGGAAGATCGAGTGGACGATCATTCTGCAGACAATTATCCCATCACAGTTCAGCTTCGATATCTTACCGAGGATGAGGCCAAACCAGCTCAAAGCAAGGGCTCTGGAATCAACGACGGTCTTTTCAGAAGTAATTTGGCAGATGATGACACTGAAGACCTCATCGCGAACAGCCAGCAAAAGGAGGGTAGCACGGAGACGGTGAGAGCGAAATACGTTGTAGGCTGCGATGGCGCTCACAGTTGGACACGAAAGCAACTAGGCTTTGAGCTGGAAGGGGAGCCTACAGATCACATATGGGGTGTATTGGACATTATTCCCATTACTGACTTTCCAGACGTTCGTAAACGTTGCGCGATACATAGCGAGTCTTCAGGATCGATGATGATCATTCCACGTGAGAACAAGCTTGCCAGGCTCTACATACAGCTCACGGAGATCAAGCCCGACGCCAGTGGTCGAGCGGACAGATCGAAGATCACACCCGATACTATTCTCACCGCTGCGCAAAAGATTATTGCACCATATAAGCTGACATACGAATACTGCGATTGGTGGACGGCGTACCAGATCGGTCAGAGAGTCGGCAAGAACTTCGACCACAAGAGTCGCGTGTTCCTGGCTGGCGATGCCGTACACACGCACTCACCGAAGGCTGGCCAAGGGATGAATGTCTCCATGCAGGACGGCTACAACCTGGGCTGGAAACTGGGTTTGGTGGTGAAAGGTATCGCTCAACCATCCATTTTGAAGACCTACCAGTCGGAGCGGAGGCGTATTGCGCAGGATCTGATTGCATTCGACCACAAATTTTCGAGATTATTTTCCGGGCGGCCGGCGAAGGATGTCATGGATGAGGAAGGAGTCAGTATGGACGAGTTCAAGCAAGCATTCCTCAAGGGTAAGGATAAAGTTTCCCCCTAAAAAAAAAGTCACATCTGCTAACAACATCAAGGTCAACTATTCGCTACGGGCCTCTCGGTCGATTATGGAACGAGCATGCTGGTTGGGAAACCAGGCAATGCAGCAGATCAAGGCGACGGGACAGATGTATCTTCAAAGTTCGAGATCATCGGCAAACAAGAGCTCGCCTCAGAGACGAAGTTGGGCATGCGTTTCCCAAGCTACCAAGTCATCAACCAATCTGACGGTCGAGCCTGGGAGTTCCAGCAGAAGCTGAAAAGCGATGGACGATTCCGCATCGTTGTATTTGCCGGCAATGTCGCAAATGCACAACAGAGCGCCCGATTGAAAGGCTTCTGCGAGAGTTTATCGTCCTCATCATTACTGGCTCCCCATCTTATCAAGAACGTGGAAGTGCTCACATTGCACTCTTCGAAGCGCAAGGAAGTAGAGCTTTTGCGCGACTTCCCAGATATCCTGCACCCATTCGACTCGAAGTTAGGATGGGATTACGATTCAGTGTATGCCGATGATGCTAATCCGTTCGAGGGCTTTGGCGATGCATATAAGGGGTATGGTGTCGACAGGGAGACAGGATGTGTGGTCGTTACAAGACCGGATCAATACGTTGGGTACATTGATACGGTTGATGCGGAAGGTTTCAGGGGCGTTGAGACTTATTTCAAGGGGATATTTGCATCGTAGGTACCTCTCTAGAGTACAGCCTTGCACGGGGAGTCCAAGATGCTTCTTCCAATACATCTCTAGGGGGTGGTCCCAATCTGAATATTTCCGACATCACTGTTCTCTTCCCCCCTATTGCGATCAATAACCAATACATATATCCCTCGCTATACTGAGTACTTTCTCAATACTCTCGTGTGAGGAACATCTGCAACATCAGCAGTTTCCTGTAAGTTGTCGGGGTAGTGTTAACGCCGGTTCTACAAATATGGACGCCTGCTGGGACGACCTTGGGAGTTACAGAGTCAGAGCGCGTGATGCACGAACTATCGACATCCCAACCTTAAGCCTAGATCGTCTTCCAGTGGTGAACACTAGAAGTTGCGCATTTTAGTTGTCAAACTGATGCGAATGAAGTTGCGGACTGGGACGAGTTAGGGCGCGTGACGCATGAAGCATCAGCCAGCTGCACTCAACGCTTAGATCGCCTTTTGGTATCCGGCGATGGAGCCTTGGTCGAGTCAGGAGTCATGACGCAAGAAAGATCGACGTTCGACGATCAGATCGTGCGTCGGGAGCGGTGGAGCGCAGTCTGATGCATCTTTTGTTCTCCACTGTCAGTTCCTGTTCTTCTCCAGCCTCGCCTACTTTAAAACTTGTGGTTCACCCCATCTATCAACCTCAATGACTCATCCTGCGCTGTGCATTTTAGATTCTAGATTCATCTCTCTAGGCTCATCATGCATCATTGTTATAGATGACTGTTATGAAGTTCTTTCGGTGATTGTAATAGCTTTCATACGTTGGATGGTCAGACCATTGTACTTCATAAATATAGGCTGTCTCTGGATGCCCTTGCTAGTGATGTCGTTCTATCGCCTGTGTGGTAGCTGTGCAAATCACTAGTCGATGTCAACTTTCGGAGCATCCCGAGGTCGTAGAACGCAAACCACCCGAAGAGCATTGTTGGAACACTAAGCTTATGGAGGGTATTTTCGAGGGGAGTTCGTCGTTGCCATGTCGAGATGGATAAACCCTCGTGGTCTCAGTTGCGCAATATGATTTCGTACGCTCAGAAATAGGTACTAGGAGAGCATATGATGTGGTTGTAGTTGAAAAGGTGCTGGGTGATGCGCGATATGTGCTACCCGGGTATCTTTGATTCACAACGTACGCGCAGTATCACGGTACCCAGGCATGTACTGCGACGACAAGTCGTTCACAAGTTGCGTCTTTTGGATGATACCTCAGCAAAAGATATCACGAAGAGGGAGAGATCATAAGTATAGCTGCACGCAACACTTAGGCTCAGCGACACAATTAGCATTTGGTCGAGCAGATGCCCTTTCGCGGGTCGAGGACTGCAACCATTCTTACTGATGTCAGACCAGTTTAAGATCGAGACCTATTTCAGGGGGACATTTGTGTCGTAGGCAGAAGCAAATGCATATGCTCAACAGATAAACAAGTCGTAGCTTTGGCGGTAAACTGCGAACACCCTGTTCGGCTGTGGGGTGCTTCTGCCATGCTCTAGACCTAGTGCAAAGATGGCAAGACCCAGCAGATATTTGCCTCGACAACCGATGATCGAGCCCCAATAGTGCAGGCCGTATCCCGAACCAATAGAACACGACAGGTGAAACAGTCGCACGCGAGTACGGACGAATTGCACATGGAGTGGTTGAGAGGGCGCCGTCTAAGCCACATGGGGCCGCATGTGGGATGTGTTCCTGGGTCGACAGGGGACCGCGGTTCGGCGTTTCCATAACAACGTCCGAAGCAACAACAGCGCTGCATACACCGCCATCGCATCACTGCTGCAAAAGTTGCTATTCCACCCTTTTTGAAGACATCCATATCGCATTTTTGCCCATCTCAATCACTCCTCGGGTTTCACGAAGAATTACGACACTTTTCATATACCCATTTCTGTTTTCGCGGCGCACACACATACGATGGACGGGTCCACACCGCACAGTGGTTCACACTATGGACGGCCACCTGCATATGACTATGATGACGGCTCCCCTCAGCAACTACAAGGAGGATCAACAATGCGCTTGTTGACAAACGTGGATGACAGCCAAAGCTATATGCAGTGAGTATTTGTCTTCCTTGTTGTCTCTCTTTCACTTGCGTCCTGCATTCTGGACTCAATCTCATCCGCACCAGAAGACCCTCATTCGAGGACACTTCAAACATGTCAAGTGCCAACAGCAATACTGCCGAGTTGGGCGCGCGCATGACCATGTCTGAGGTGGGCAAGCAGAAGGCTGCCGAATCGGACATTCACGACTTCCTGCGCGAGGCCGGCGATGCGCTGAGTTCAACGTCCAGCACGGCTGCTGCACCTACGCAGATGCCACGAAGGAAGATGATCAATTCGGAGACCGCAAACTACGCGGCGCTCTCCACAACCGTACGATCACAAGACCCAGACTTACAATTACGTGATCTCCGCAGACCTCCATCGCCAGTATCGCGCACATACCACCCCACATCATCCTCAGTATCCGGCTTATCACGGACGCCGTCAGTGATGGATACTGCACCGAACATGCCACCGCCAGATGACGATTATGTTCCCTACCGGCGGCCATTATCACCCGACCGGCCATACTCACCCACTCGCACATCAGACGACTACTCGCGGCCACCAGCTTCAGTCAACTCATACGAGCCACTAGACCTTCATGGCAGCCCACGGCCAGGCAGTCCGCAGCGACCACTACCTCCAGCGCCCTTGTTCACCAATGGTGCCAGACCGGGCTCTCGCGGATCTGAGAACACCATGGACATGACCGATATGACTTCAATACCAATTCACGACGACGACGACCCCTTCACCGACATTGGCGACGACAGACCAGACCTGCGATCACGGGACTCCTACATGAGCGACGATACATATACGGACATATACACTGAAATCGACGAGAAGGCAGAGCACTACGGGCCAGCTCCAGATGGCGCACAGGAACGACGTGGAGCGCGAGATGCAGTAATGACGAAGAAGGAGGTTCGCTTGATCAACGGTGAACTTATTCTCGAGTGCAAGATCCCGACCATCCTCCATAGTTTCCTTCCGCGACGAGATGACATCGAGTTCACGCACATGCGATATACGGCTGTCACATGCGACCCAGATGACTACATTGATCGTGGCTACAAATTACGCCAAAATATCGGGAATCAGCGGGAGACGGAGTTGTTCATCGCTATTACCATGTACAACGAGAACGAGATTGACTTCACCCGAACAATGCACGGTGTCATGCAGAACATCAGCCATTTCTGCTCGCGCATGAAGTCAAGAACTTGGGGAAAAGACGGATGGCAAAAGATTGTTGTGTGCATCATCGCAGACGGTCGTGGCAAGGTCCATCCTCGAACGCTAGATGCCATCGCTGCAATGGGATGCTTCCAAGAAGGTATCGCGAAGAACCACGTGAACCAGAAGGAGGTCACAGCTCACGTATACGAATACACCACTCAGGTCTCCTTGGATTCAGATCTTAAGTTCAAGGGCGCGGAGAAGGGCATTGTGCCGTGTCAAATGATCTTCTGCTTGAAGGAGAAGAACTCGAAGAAGCTGAACTCGCATCGTTGGTTCTTCAACGCTTTCGGACGGGCGCTTAATCCAAACGTCTGCATTCTACTCGACGTGGGAACCAAACCTGGACCCAAAGCCCTGTACCACTTGTGGAAAGCATTCGACACCGACTCTTCTGTCGCTGGAGCTGCTGGAGAAATCAAGGCAGGTAAAGGCAAAGCCTGGCTTGGTCTTCTCAACCCACTCGTCGCATCGCAGAACTTCGAATACAAGATGTCCAATATCCTCGACAAGCCATTGGAGTCTGTATTTGGGTACATTACTGTCTTGCCTGGTGCGCTTTCAGCATACCGTTATCACGCGTTGCAGAACGACCACACAGGCCACGGTCCCCTTAGCCAGTACTTTAAGGGAGAAACGCTTCATGGTCAAGATGCAGACGTTTTCACGGCAAACATGTATCTGGCTGAAGATCGTATCCTATGTTGGGAGCTTGTAGCAAAGCGTAGCGAGCAATGGGTTCTAAAATACGTCAAAGCGGCAACTGGTGAGACTGACGTGCCAGGTAAGAATGTTCGCCAGTCTTATCGATTACCGAAGCTAACACATCGCAGATGCTGTACCTGAATTCATTTCCCAACGTCGACGATGGCTGAACGGTGCTTTCTTCGCCGCTGTCTACTCATTGCTCCATTTCAAGCAAGTATGGGCGACTGACCATACCATCGGACGCAAGATCCTCCTCCACATCGAATTCGTGTACCAGTTCGTGCAACTTCTGTTCACGTTCTTTTCGCTTGCCAACTTCTACCTGACATTCTACTTCGTTGCTGGCTCACTGTCAGACCCGGAACTCGATCCCTTCGGCCACAACATTGGAAAATACATCTTCTACATCCTACGTTACACATGCACCTTGCTCATCTGCATGCAATTCATCCTGTCTATGGGTAATCGACCCCAAGGAGCCAAGAAGATGTTCTTTTGGAGTATGGTCATGTACGGTATCATCATGGCGTACACTACCTTCGCCTCCTTCTACATCGTCATCGTCCAACTCAAAGATCCAAAAGCACCAAAGACAATAGGGGCTAATGTCTTCACCAACCTTATTGTCTCTATGGGGACGACGGTTGGTCTCTACTTCCTCATGTCCTTCATGTACCTGGATCCTTGGCACATGTTCACGTCCAGTGCGCAATACTTCGCTCTTCTCCCGTCATACATCGCCACTCTCCAAGTGTACGCCTTCTGCAACACACACGACATCACCTGGGGAACTAAGGGTGATAACGTAGCGAAGACAGATCTAGGAGACGCAAAGGGAAAGAACAAGGATGTTGTCGAACTCGAAATGCCATCAGAGCAATTGGATATCGACAGTGGTTACGACGAAGCCCTGCGGAATCTTCGTGATCGTGTCGAAGTACCTGAGCCTCCGATCTCCGAGTCGCAACAACAGGAAGACTACTACCGTGCTGTCCGAACCTACATGGTTGTCATCTGGCTTATCTCAAACGCTATCTTCGCCATGGCTATCAGTGAAGCATATTCGGATCGCAAAGTGACAAACAATTTCTACTTGACATTCATTCTCTGGGCTGTCGCTGGCCTTGCTTTCTTCCGCGCCATTGGCTCCACGACTTTCCTCATCATCAACTCCATCCAAGCGATCATGGAAACAAAGCTCAAATGGCAAGACAAGATTGACGACAAGAAGAGCAATAGAACTGTTCTTGGTGGCGGCAGAAAGTATGGTGGGAAGAAGTGGTGGAAGTTCGGATTTGGCGGCGGTGTGTCATCGAGTTGGTTCTCTGGCAGTACAGTATCCAGTAAGCTTAGCAGTCTGGCGCCTAGCAATTGGGGTGGAAGCAGTGTTGGGAGATAAAAGTACAGCGAGTAAGGTTTTGACAGTAATGTCGCGTATGCTATGACTTCACGACGAACTGATCTTAGGCGTTCTGGATACATGCTTTGGGATGATACCTGGGCTGGGCAACCAAGCCCGCTCTACTGTAGCAGTATATAGCTTTTTGTACATAATAACGATTCTTTCATGCCAAATTCCTCCCTGCACAATATTGCCCTTGTTGGTGAAGATCCGGTTGCGTCTTCGGGGGCAGAAGCGCTGTGTTAGGAAGTGACGCTAGGGTCGTGTGTTTACATGCCACTCCCGCTCCCATGCCGCCGCACACCCAACTCCCCGCCCTTACCAAACCTTCGCGACAGAACAAAATGGCGCCCCGAAGTAAAGCTGCGAATATTTCCTTTACCGTCGAATCCGCTTCGGAAGACGAAATGACTGTCGACGAGCTCAATGCGCATCCTACACCCGAATCCAACGGCGAAAACAAAGCGCCGTCGCGAAGCACGCGTGGAGCTGCACAAACGAAGAAAACGGCCTCCGCGACCAAGGCGACTGCGAAGGGCAGATCATCGACGCGTCCAACGAGCGGCACTAGTGCGGTAGCCATGAAGAAGAGCGCGACAGCAGGCGCGAAAAAGGTAGCGGCAAAGGGTGGTCGCAAGGCGCCAGCGGAGCCTGCTGAAGCCATCCAAAGCGATATGGACGAGACGGAAGAGCTAGAAGAGCAAGAGGCGGTTGCGCAGCCCAAACCAGCCAAGAGAGGTAGACCAGCGAAGAAGGCGCAGGAGGAGGTCGAGGTCGAAGAGGCGGCACCCGCAAAGAGAGGGCGCAAGGCTGTCGCGAAAGAAGAGCCTGTGAAGAAGGAGACCAAGGCGAAGCCTACGACGAAGTCAAGAGGGACGAAACGCGCAGCTGAGCCCGAGACCGAGCCCGAGCAGATGACAATCCCTGAGACACAACAAGAGCCAGACGCAGACGCAATGGATGTGGAAGAATCAGTCGAAGTCGAAGTCGACGAAATACCCGAAAGCATGCCGCCACCACACGTGCGACCCTCCGCGCGTCGAGCCCAACCGAACAGCAGGGCGCGGCGAACATCAGCTGGAGTGAGACGAACAGGAAGTGTGTCAGACTCTGAGCGGGACCCTGCCATGCGAAGGAAAGTCGGTGACCTAACAAAGAAACTCGACGCCATGACAGCCAAGTACGAGACGCTCAAGGAGTCTGCTTCGTCAGGAAAGGAGTCGAACTTTGAACAGCTTAAGAAGCGGACAGACCAGATCGCAAAAGGTACGACGCAACGAACGCAACTCAATAGTGTATACTAAAACATCCCTAGACCAAGACGCAGTCATCAAAGCCCTTCAGCAACAAATATCTGATTTCCAATCACGCACCTCGGACCTCGCATCGATAAAGAAAGAGCTGGCAGCAGTCTCCAAGGAGTCAGCGCGTCTCGCTGCCGAAAACAAGAAACTCGCCGACTCGCTCACATCGGCACAGGGCGAGAGCAAGGCATTGTCGAGCAAGCTCGCAGCAGCCCGATCAGCGCAGCCAGAGACCAAGAATGTGCCGGGAAGCGCGGTGAAAGCTAGGACAACCGGCGTCGTTTTGCCAGGCACTGTTGAAGCAGCCAAGGAAGCGGCACTCGCAAAGCAGAAGGTCGATTTTTACAGCGATCTTACAGACCTCGTTGTTCTTGGTGTGAAGAGATCCGAAGACGAGGAAGACGTTTACGATTGTCTACAAACAGGGCGTAACGGCAGTAAGTCGCATTCCCCACGTGCCTTTCAACTTAGGATAACCAATATACTGACACCACTTCTTTGCAGCACTGCATTTCCACCTCACAGTAGCCTCCAGCGGTACATCCTACGAAGACGCAGAATTCATCTACCAGCCTTTGCTTCACGAACAAAGAGACAAGGAGCTTTTGGATCTACTGCCCGATTATCTCACAGAAGAGATTTGCTTCCCGAGGGCGCAAGCGCCCAAATTCTATAGTAAGGTTGTGGATAGTATGAGCAAGAAGATCATCCTGGAAGAGGACCAGGACTAGAGGAAGAAGCCGGTTGATAATAAATTGGGGACTTTTTGAGAAGTCCAGAGTTACGGGAGGCGCACTTGCACATTTCTAGTTATATGACGGTTATGACGGCTGCTTTATACCTTGGTTTTGAGCGCACGCTCATGTCTATATTCTGCTTTGTAGTATCGAATACCCAGTCATGTTCATGTCGTAAAATGGCAAACAGCAACTTGTGTGACAGTGGATAGATCGGTCCAATGCTTGCTTGTTGGTACAATTGGCGTATCTACAATGTTCCACACCCTTGAAGCACGTTTGCGGCTATCCGAAGAGATCTCGCCGCCGCATCGTGTTCTCGTCCACTATCATCATTGCTCCAGTCCAAACGTCATGTTTATTGCTTTCCTTGGACCTTGTCAGCGGCCTTCTTGACGTACTCCCTAGTATGTTGTTAGCCTCGGTCTTCCGGTACAAGCGCCTGTACTGCGCTGCTTTCGCAACCAGCTAGCTGCATGTCACTTCTAGGGTATGTGTACGCACTTTACGAAGCTCTCCTCCTCGCTGCTCTTTGCGTTGATCGGGGGAGTGGTGGGGTCCTCAGCCTTCTTGCCGCCCATGGAGAGCGCAGCACCGGTGAATGTGATACCGAGGGTGGCCATTGCGAGCTAAACACAGTACTTGTCAGCCCATGTCAGGGATGATTGTCCATATCGTCTTTCTGATCCCCAAAGTCCGCCATGGATGGCCTCCAAGGCATGCGCCACGAAGCACTCATCAAATGCTTCCGGTCCTCCCTCCCACCAAAGTTTTCTTCCTCCGGTACACCTCTAAGGGAAAGAACATACGACGTGCGATCCGACCTGGCGGCCCATAATAGTGTACATGGCAACCATCTTTGCGGTATTTAAGGATTATCCGTGCCGTAAGCGGGGTGATGGAGTGTCAATGGATGGAGAGTCGTGCGGTGGAGCGTTGGTGGATGCTGCGCTTGCGCGGAGCTCTCTTCGGAAGAGAAGATGGGGTCTTGGCGGTATGTGGCTGACAGGTTGTGGCTAGTGAGAACTAGCACAGCCACAACGATTGAGTGGGTGTGACGTCGAGCTGCCGAGGTGCGCTCTGGTTAGGGTAGGCAGTAGTGGTACCAAAGAAGCATGGAGGTCTACGCCTGCGCATCTCTCCAGGACTTGCTTTCACTCTCTTTTGTCCGTCCTTTGTCCATCTTTTGAAAATCTGAGCATAGGAAGAATCCTTACAACACATTAGCCATGGCGAAAGACGACAACAAGAAGATCGTAGAGGTCGACGGCGTACCGGTGGAGCGTCAAGGCACGCGACCGGATTTCTCAATTCCACCAGCTAGGAAACAGCTGCCGAAAGAGCTTCAGGACACGCTCAACGATGACGAGAAAATGTGGGATGTGCTCTACGACGGCGAGTAAGTAACGGTCCCTCAATTGCCCTCTGTATGCCCATTCGAACGACCGTCCGCGATCCTCCGACGCTCTTCACGATCCATAGATTCAACTGACAAGACTATAGAGCCGAAGACACAACAGATACGAACATCCGATATGCCGCGTACGCCTCCCGAATCCGCACCATCATGCTTTCCGCGCACCGCTATGTAGCCTACACCTCTGACATTGGCGAGTCCTTCCGCCCCATCGCACATCCCTACCTAGTCAAAGGTGCCTATGGTATATCCTGGCTCTACCTCACTGGTGATGTTGCCCACGAAGGCTACAAAGCTTACTGTCGCAACCAACACATACTCCACCCCGAGAACTACATCGACGAAGCAGCAGAGAAGAGTCTAGGAGAAGGCAAGGATAAAGGTCTCGCGGCAACAGGAAAGACTGCTAGTACAGGCATTCTCGACAAGGTGCAAGACCTGGCAAGGAATGCTACAAGTACAGAAGGTGTCAAGTATGGTGAAGCTGGGGGCCCATTGACTGGTGGGCAGGTGGTTGCGGGCAAAATACCTGCGATTGAGGATTACAGGGCTGTGATGGCGCAGAGAGCTGTATTCCAGGCTGTTGCTTCTATGGGTCTACCTGCTTTTACTATCCACAGTATCGTCAGGTACTCTGGGCGCGCACTGAAGGATGCGAAGAACAAGACCTTGAGGACTTGGGGACCCATTGGGGTAAGTAAATTCTAGCTGTTCGGTTTCGATGTGGTTCTAACTATGAGCAGCTTGGTCTTGCAGCAGTCCCGTTCCTCCCCTTTGTCTTCGACGAGCCAGTCGAACACGCTACTGAGTGGATCTTTTATAATGCGTTCAAGACGTTTGGTGGCGAGGAAGCAGTCGCGGGCAGACCGGCGGTTGGCGTGAAAGAGTTGAGGAAAGAGGAGACACAAACGAATAAGTTGAAAAAGGAGTTGTAGAGAGTTCTTGCTGTAGAGGCATATCATGTCTTAATCGACATCTGTAGATACACGACGCATGTAATCCACTCAGTATCAATGTACATATGTGATGCGCCCTTAGAACTGATTGGATTGCACGTATAACCTTTTTCTCTGAAAAGACGAATCGTTGTGATGGCAAGCGTGCTTCGATGAACCGCATGTACATCTTTTTAAAGGGCTAGGAACTATCCTAGAATGCTCATCGCATTCGGCTCACGCCTTCCCCTTCCTGCTATGCTCCTCGCAAGCCTTTGTGAAAACTTTCAACAACTCGGGAAAGTCACACACATTCATCGACTCAAACGCAGAGGATGAAAAGACCTTCAGTGCAGTCATACGCGGACTCTTGATTCCAAATGCGAGCTTGGCAAGGAACCTAGGGTCATCGCGTACACTAATCTCCTTCAGTACTTGCTGAACCTTCTTGGGATCAGGAGATTGTGGCGGCTCGTCAGGTAGCACAACTCGCCTATGTGTCTCACACCACGTGCAATGTCCACATTCTTCTGATACATCAGTGCTTTCTCCGAAGTAGTCCGCAATAGACCTAGACAAGCAGCGTTTGTCGGTGATCAGATCCAGTAATGCTTTTGTCCGGGCAAGGTTTTGTTGCTCTGTCTTTTCCATGGTTTCATCAAGTTGTTTGACGATGTTGTCAATCTCTTCTGGTGTGGACGGCAAGGGTCGCTCCAAGCGGTATACGTTCTGTACGCCCTCTTTCTTCAGTTCAATCGCACCGCGCTCATTCCATCCGTCCATTTTGCGTACTAAATCCGCTCGGGTGATGCCACTGGAATCGGCGAGATCATCCAATGCCACGTGAGTCCATTTGCTGCTCTTGACTGATGCCCTAACAATCGCTGATGCTGCTGCCGATCCATCGTTCCGCACGATGTTCGGATTCTTGACAATGTAACTATACTTCGCATACAGAGCCCCAGCAGAACGGAAGAGTTCGAAATGCAACTCCATCTGCGCATACAGAATACCGAGAATGATGGCTTTGATGTCAGTTTCTTGGCCCTGCGTGTACAGTGAGAGTTGGAAAGTATCGCCTGCTTTGAGTTGTCTACGAGCTGGCGAACATATATCCTGCATCAGAAGCTTCAGTGAGCGTAACGAAGGCCGATCACCGTAAGTGAAGATGTTGCGCAGATAGAAGTCCTTTGTCGAGAGATAGAACATGCACACACTTGGTTTGCCGTCTCGACCAGCTCTACCAATTTGCTGACTGTACGATTCGACACTGTCAGGTATGTCGAAATGAACGATGCTACGGATATCTGGCTTATCGATGCCCATACCGAACGCAATAGTAGCAACAACGATCATGTCTTTGCTGACGAGGAACTCGTCTTGTGTTTTCGAGCGCAGTGGCGCAGGCATTCCAGCGTGGTAATGCCTAGCTTTGAAGCCACGCTTCTGCAGTTCTCCGGCCAGCACCTCTGCACCTTTTTGAACTGTCACGTACACGATGGTAGGACCAGGGTACTTCGCAAGATGAGCAGCTAGTTTTGACACGTAATCAGCGTCTTTGCCATTCGCCTCAGCCAGGAGGCGTAGGTTGGAGCGATACATGGTTGTCCGGAACAGGCCTTCTTTGGGTATAGCGAAAGCATCTCTAATGTCTTCGGCGACCTTCGGTGTTGCTGTGGCGGTGAGGCATACAACTCGCTCAACTTGTGCTTCTTTTGCGAATCGAGCAATTTTGAGGTAGTCCGGGCGGAACGAGTGGCCCCACTCAGAGATACAATGCGCTTCGTCAACAGCTAATAAACGGATGCCTCCAGGGATGTCTTTGAGTGACGCAATAAAGCCTTCGCTGTTGAGACGCTCTGGCGCGCAGTAGATAAGATCTAAGTGGCCTTTCTTGAGGTCGTCTTGTGTGGCCAGGAATTGGTCGCGGGAGACGGACGAGTTCAACACAGCAGCTTTGACTCCGCGGCGTAATAGAGCATCGACCTGATCCTTCATCAAAGCGATGAGCGGTGAGATGACCAAGGTGACGCCGCTTTGGTCGGCAGTCCGGCGACCAAGCTGTTCGTCTTGATATCTAAACGCTACGGCAGGTACCTTGTATAGTCAGACGGATAAGTCATTGCACAAAGACATGACTCGCCTGGTAGCAAAGGCTCTTGCCACCCCCAGTGGGAAACACAACGACCGCGCTACCGCCGTCCAGAAGTCGAGTGATGGCTCTCTCCTGTTCGAGCCGAAACCCATTTATCGCGAAGCGTTCCTTGAGGATTCGATTCGCAAGAAGCGTGTTTGGTGAAGAGATGACGGCGTTACTACTCTCATGTCTGTTTCGCTTGGATAAGGACGTCGTATTACCGCTGTCGACAGTAAGTTTGCGCTTTCCGTCTAGCACAACATCTGTGGTAGCCGCGAACGGCTCTTCGTCGCCAGATGACCAGCCGAACTCATCCTCGCTCATATTGGCGAATCGAGCGAACGATGACAGGCAGAAGTGCCCTCAGTTACCGAGAGTAGGTGTACGGGTGTTAGTTGTGGGCGGGGAGTTGCTGTGTTAGCAACAAGCAGAAGTCGCGACTTCATCCTGTGTTACACGCCAAGAGGTTGAAAGCGCGCTAGCACGTGATTTGTAGCGTGAACTGGCCGCTCGTACCTGTGCAAAAACACGAAGAGAGATAAGCGAGGAATTGTGCTATTAAAATCGAAAACAACAAGAAAACCCTGTGAGTAAGAACATGATTCATCTAAGTATCAGCGCTGTCGGCTGTCGATGTTGCGACAGCGAACACCTTCTGGGTAGCAAGCCCCGTTTGTGGAGAGCGAGATTAACTTGACATGACCTGCTTTGCCCTTTCCGAATGTCTGTCAAGATGTCTTTTGACTCTTTCATGTTTGACTGGGATTATCGATGCTTGCGTGTGTGCTTTGAGATGGAGATCCCGATATGACACGCCGGAAAAGGCTGCAGGGCCACATGGGTTGGGCAAGAGTTGTTGCCTCAACAGCAGTCGATGGGAAATTGGGCCGATATCGACGATCATTTGGACCCTGAACGTGGCACTTCAGCTATTTCAATTCATGGTTGCGGTCGAGATTGAACTAGCGTCAAAATCAGAGCTTTACACTCGCGACGGCGACCAATAGCCGGAGACGTCCCCTTCTCTTCTATGCTGATCCGATATCCGACGCATCTACGTTTAGTCTGTTATTCCGGCCATCGAGGACTAGAACGGTCCGACTCATCCCCACCCAGCCCGCATACAGTAGTTGCCATGCCACACATTGGTGCATTTCGCCGGCCTTGCAGCCCAGGTCGCGCTTCTAAGGTACGCCAACATAGTACCACTGACAGCGCACGAACACCTCGACTTGCTCAACTACATCCTTAATCATACTCATCATATTCATCGTTTTAGACAACAAGCTCGTGGAACCATCTGGGATCACTGTCGTTCGATTTCCCTAGTGGCGAACTTGAACAGCAGTTCCCTTACAACACCCATTCCCGGTGGACACCGCCCCTTCCATCACATTGCTACAACTACATCTTACAGGATGTGCTGAGCGCTGAGTGCCGAGCACACTCCTAAGATCATACACTATCAGATCATCAAATCGCCTGTTGTCCCTTTATGTTCCATCGAAAGTCATCGGAACCTGTTCGGAATGCCGTCGGCTGAGTGTGCCAGCGCGCGCTTGCTGGACCTGGAGGAGCTGGAGTCTGATCCAGCACCACTTTTCGTCATTAGAGCGGGAGAAATAACTCTGGGGTTCGAGTTTCTCTTCTGCAACGAAGCTTTCCGAAAACTCCATCTCCGCAATTCCATATCAGCCCAGGACAGAGCAGCGCTCCTCTTCCGCTCATGGGCGCAGGCTTTGAGTGAATACAAGCCGCGATATGACTTTGGCGGTTTAGTCTGGACTGCCGAAATATCGGGGCGGAATGGCAGTTGGAAAGTGGTAAAGGCGAGAGAGTTGGATACAAATCAGCAGGATTCAGCCTCGTTAGGGAAAGAAGCGAACGACAACGATGACCTCAGTATGGGTCGGATACCAGTTTTCACAAGATCAAAAGCGCAGTTGATGAGTGAACTCAAGCGCGAAAGAGCAGTGTCACTCAGGAACATTCCATACACAAGCCTTCATGCCAGATGGGAAAGTATTCAGACCATGATGGAGATGAGCGATGTTGGCGTTTTTGAGTATAACGCAGAGGGAAAGCTATTACATGCAAATGAGGCATGGTATAGACTCAGGTAACTTTGAACGCAACATTATTCATCACTTCATTAACAAAGTCAAGTTCCCAACCCAGAGACGCCAAACCCGACGAGTACTCATTCATGGATCTTGTCTATCCAGATGACCAAGCACTAGTAATGTCCATGTGGAACACGCTTACCCAAGGGAAATCCGTTACTTTTGAGATGCGTTGGAAGGCACGTTCAGGGTCAAAAGACGCTGCGCAATGGGTACTCTCAGCTTGTGTCCCTGTATTCGATGACGATAAGCAATTGATCGGTATTGCCGGCAATACAATAGACATCAACGCGCAGAAGAAGTCACAAGAAGCTGCACAAGCGCAGGTGTAAGTGTCTTTCCAAGCATATAGGGTGCTCATATGCTGATTTCGTGTTCAGGGAAGCACTAGAACAAGCGCGGCTTGCAGAAAGGAAGTTTGCACGATTCGCTCAGACCTCGCCTACAGCTATATACATATACGTCCCTGAGAGTGGTGAGTACAACCAGCTCATAATCCGATTTGTTCTGACATTGTTTCAGGCATGAATTTTGTCAACGACCAGTTCTTCGAACTTACAGGCCACGCACATGCACCTGTCAACCAGTACGAGTGGTTCGATCTAATCTCCAACGAGGATGTGGAGAGAGTAAAGCAGGATTGGGACGGCATGCTCAAATGCGGTAAATCGAGTGGGGTGCAATTCCGTTTAAAGAAAACATGGATTAACCAAGACGGCATACGGTCAAATATATGGGTACAAAGTTCGAGTTACCCAGAGCTGGACGAAAATGGAAAAGTCATAAGTACGATGACGTTGCATTGAACACTAATTGATACACGTGCTGACCAGTAAAGGCATAATGGGGACTTTGTTCGACATATCACATTTCAAGTGGGCGGAGAGCGTACAGCGGCGTCGCATAGATGAGGCGCTGGAAGCTAAACGACAGCAAGAAAAGTAAGACTCCGCGCGCACTGTTTTACTTTCCTTTACTAACTTAAACAGCTTCATTGATATGACGTCGCACGAACTCAGGAGTTAGTCATCTTCATGTACGAACCACATACGAGATACATGCTAACGTCGTTCACTGTTGTTAGATCCACTGTCAGCAGTAATACAATGCGCTGACTCAGTCATCGCTTCGCTCCAACAACTATCCGGACGCCAATTCGCAAGATCAAAACAACCGTCCGACATATCCAAGGCAGAGGCGGAAGTTCAGAGCTGCATTGAATCACTACTCATCATCGTGTCGTGTTCGATGCATCAGAAACGCGTTATCGACGACGTACTTACCTTGTCTAAACTTGATTCCAACTTAATCTTAATCACGCCGATGCGTGTTCAGCCCGCGGTCGTGGTTTCAGACGCAGTCAGAATGTTCGAAGTCGAGTGTAATCAGTCGGGTATCGAGCTCACTTTCCGCGTTGATGAAACGTTCAGTGGAATGGAATGGACAATGCTCGATCCGTCACGTTTATTACAGGTTCTCATAAACCTACTGTGAGTAGCATAATCTTCAGCTTCCGTGCCATCTACTGATACAATCAGCACCAACGCTATCAAATTCACTAAAGATCGCCCGCGAAAAGCGATCACCGTTACTATCGGTGGTTCCTGGAGCCGTCCACCAAAATGTTGGAATGAAGTAACCTTCACCGATGACGAAAAGCCCAAGACCGATATTACCGAGAAAGCGGAATGGGGCGAAGGCAGAATAGCATTTTTGTGGCTCAAGGTCAAGGACACGGGCTGCGGCATGACCATGGATGAGCAAAAGAAACTCTTCTCCCGGTTTTCTCAAGCTACGCCTCGCACACACGTCAAATATGGTGGTTCTGGCCTGGGCCTTTTCATTTCCAAGTCTCTCACCAAATTACAAGGAGGAGCCATCGGAGTTCACTCCGAGAAGGAAGAAGGATCGACATTCGCGTTCTTCATCAGCACCCGCCTCGCGCATCCACCAGCTGACCATGTTGCCGCTCGCGCGGTACAGGCGCGACCTGTTCCTCGCAGAACGATGACAGGTGAGGAGGCTATGCAAACGATCAAACTCAACGTTCTTATCGTAGAGGATAACCTCGTCAACCAAAAAGTGCTTAGAAAGCAACTGCAAAAGTTTGGTTGGAACATCAGCGTAGCTGGGAACGGTCAAGAGGCGCTAGAATGGTTAAAGGACAGTGTCTATTGGCGGAATGAGAAAGACAGCTCTAACACTGAAGACAAACACGAACTCGACATCATTCTCATGGACATTGAAATGCCCATTATGGATGGTCTTACCTGCGCCCGGCTCATCCGCGATTACGAACACCAAGGCCTCCTCGCGGCTCCGTCGGCTCCTCATTCTGCATCATCTACTCAAACTCAGCACAGGAAAACCTTGTCTGCCTCTTCCGCCTCCCACGAACGGGCTGAAAAACAATCCCTACGCCTTCCTATTCTAGCTGTCAGCGCGAATGCACGCATGGAACAGATTGAACAATCGCTGGCATCAGGCATGGATGATGCCATCTCGAAACCTTTTCGCATACCGGAACTTTGGCCCAAGATTAGAGGATTAGTGAAGAGAGTTGCGGACGCTGATACGAGGACTAAGTCGTAGTGTTCCCTTGCATGGATTTGGGTAGGGTTTGCACACACACACACACACACACACACACATACACATGGCGTTGTACAGAAGCATAAGCATGGATATGGCGTTTGGCAGCACAAGTAATATAACGATTCCGATACCTAAGGTTTGTATGAGGGGAAATGTTACAAGGGTACAAAGATTACTATAAGGTCATTGCATTATCATGTTCGATTCCGCAAGGTTGATGGCATTCAAAAGAACCTTAAGAGCGATCAATGCCTATTGGTATACTTTTCGATTATGGAACTATCCGGCAACTTTACTGTTGGGGTAGAACTGGAGCACGAACATGAAGATTATCAGTCATTACAGTGCTCACATTCGTAGCTCACATTCATAGCCAGGTATTTTCCCGCCAGAAGCCAGTTGATATACGCAAACACCTGGTCCTCGACTGGCATCGTATCAGGCCGATCCATCTCGTCATAGTGCGACATCGCAGAGTCTAAGGTCCTTTTGAAGATCCCAGTGTTTTGCAAAGTTCGCAGGCTCTCTCTCTGTGGTGTGGGAATGTCCACCTTGCAGCGATTCAAATGTTCGGTTTTCGCGCGATGGAGACTATCGATTCGTTTTACCCATTTGTTTTCGAGTGGCTCTGTTCGAAGTACGGTAGGCACGGTATACTCTACGGAACACGTTTTCGCAAGAGGGCAGCAAGTGTGCTCACCGCCCAAGAAATCGAACAGTATCCATCCTGTGCACTCGTAGATGTACTTTTGTAGTAGTGAAGCCGGTGGACTAACATTCTCGATCCATTTCCTGACAATGTCTTTTCGTGTGAAATCGACATAGGCTCCATGGTCCTTGAGGAGGAACTTGGCAGGCGAACACCCTCTAGGAGAACACTCACATATGCAGTTGTCATATGGTATTTCGAGATGCTTTTGAATGATCTCCATATAGTTTTGATTTGTGGGTACTGCGTCGACGTCGTCTGCGAAGGCTCCACCTGGATAATGCAGCCTCTTTGCGTAGACGTGTAGCGCAGTTAGAGGGGCGTCTCTATGTTCTGAAGTAATAGACACCCCTCTAACTGCGCTACACGTCTACCATCTCAAAGTTGGCGCAATACCAGCTTTGCAGGTATGGTGTCGCACCCTTTTCGTCAGGCGTGTCGATATCCTGGAATCCAGCATTCCAAAATGCATCTGCAATCTTGGGCGCCAGGTGCATGTTCTCGCTCATGACTGAAAAGTAGTAAAAGCTCTTTCCATCTAAATCTAAAGCTCGAGGAATATCGACACCATGTGATATCAACGCTTCGATTATTGATGGGGCTCTTTGTTCATGTCGCTGCCCAGACGCCAGATTCAACTTGGAAAGGATGGAGGACGGCAAGACCATAACTGCCATATCCATGAGGCGTGTGTGGCGTTCGATGAGCGCGGGAATTAGCAAGTGCAAGATCTCTGACTGTTGCGGACTCGGCAACATCAATGCATGCTGCAACAGGCTACGGTCACGTGGCGGAGTAAAGAGTCCACAGTCAGCGCTGAGCAAGTATTGAACAGATTCCGATATGCCTAGCGCTACGGCGAGATGTATAGGCTGTCGACCGTACGTATCTTCAGGACTCACATATACGTTTCTATCGAGCAGCATCCTAAGCCCTGCAGGCCACAAGACCGCAAAGTGAATCGGGGCAAGCCCGTTGACAGAAGACCTGCGATTTAGAGTTGCTAGTTTAGCTCTCTGTACGATCCGCTGAAATTGATCTTCTTGTCGCTGTAGGATCATCGGCACAAGATCGCCAAGGTCACACACTGGGGTGTTAGCGATTGAATCCGATCTAGCCGATGACAGAACTTACTATCAATTTGGTCTTCAAAATATTCCAGGTGCTGGATCTCCCGACGAAAAACACCGCATCTGTAGGCCGGATGTACACGCATAATTGCGGGTTTCGAAGTGTGACCTCCAGCATCTGTAATCAGTTCGAGAATACTCAGAAGCTCCAACATACTAGCGGATGCTGGTCTCGATGCCTGAGACGCGATAGGTCCTGTAAGTAAGTCGCATATAGTGCCTTTGACGTCGCCGAACTTGAACAGATCATCCTCATCTGGGGAGGAGGTCCTCAAGATGTTTGGATCAGCACCAATCTCTAACAAGAAACGAATGAGGCTGATATACTCATTCCCAGGGCGTGAGAAGCCGGCGGGAAAGTAAAGGAATATGCGCGTAATGCTCTAGCGTACAATCAGCTTAAGATTACATAGCCCGCAAGACGATGACCAACGTACACTCAATATGGTATCTCCGTTACTGTCTGCATCGAGTACCGAAGCTTTCCGGTCGTTAAATAGATTCTGTAGTGTATGTTGGAGTCGAGGTATAGAAACATGATGCTGTCCATTCTCCCAGAGCTCATCGAGAGTGATCGCTATCGCAAGAAAGGCAGGCGAGGTCTTGGAATCAACAAGCCTACTTGTACCGACTACAATTGGACATATCGAGAAAGGGTTGACGGTGGACCAGTTCCTTACGTGAGCGCCGACGTTAATGGCATAAGGAAGAAGCCAAGACGGAGGCACGAGTTGCATGGTAATCTCAAGGCTCTGTTCTGAGATGTGGTAGTCCGGACAATATGAGAAGTGTTGCGCCCGGAAGGTTCGTGTAAATCGAAGAATGGATAACGGCTGCCAGCGGCGCGCAGTACCAACGGTGCGACATCTACATCTCCGAGATCTACGAGTACAATCCCTAGCACTTCGCTGGACTCGTGTGTCTGGTGATTCGGTGCTTTCGACAAGAATATCTCTTGTACCCAGATTGACTCTGTCCGAGTCTGAACGCAGCTTTTCGATAGCCTGAAGTGTGTGCTCGGTGTTCGAGAGAATCATTGCTGCCGTCTGACGGCTTGATTCCTGTGCAATTGTATTCATATCACGGTCTATCAGGAGGCTCCTCGACTGAAAATTTAGATGCTGGAGGTCTTGTGATATTTGATTGGTTCTTTTGGAAGTGGCCAATACGTTTCGGTCGATCTGTTCGACGTGAGGTAGTAGCTGTGCTATACTGTGTTCGGTTGCGCTCGATGTCTTGTCGACTGTCTTCACTAGCGTCAACGTCTCTCCGATCTCGAGTCTCACTTGATCGGTAGTCGCTGCAGTTTCTGACGAGAGCTTGCTGCATACTGGTCAGTGTTGTGGCGTTCGGTCACCTACAACCGACGTCTGCTTCGTTCAGCGATTCTACTTACAGATTTGCTGCATTCAACCAAATGGAGAGAATGCTTCTTTTCTGTTCGAGTCGATCGCAAATATTTGCTACTTCTTCCTTCTTGCGGAGGGAGCAAATGCTACTCCAGCCTCGTTGTAGCATTCCATGGTTCTTACGGGTGAGCAGTCCTTCCAACGTCTTGCTTAACTCTTCAGCAAGACTGATGTACTCGAGTAGGGGCGCATCAAGTGTCGAGGACGATAATGTTGTCGCAAAACCGGGCACATGATCATTCTGTATGTGCTGCGCGATCTCGATTTGCTGACGCAGGTCGATTTGCAGCTGAAGAAAACGACGCGGCACGTTGCGTACATCTGAGCAAAAACGTTCCAGACAAGATGAAAGGCGAAGAGCTACGTCCACGAGCTGGACGACAGCAGCGACGGCACCTACAACTTCCGCCATTGAAGGTGTTGTGACGAGAGGAACAAGTGCTAGCTGCGGGCAATAGGTTATTATGCACTGGCACGGCTGAGGAACATCTATTTTAGCGAATGAGACACGTCCACATAGATGTGGATGGTGTCCGCCAAGCACGAATAGTCATCATGTATTGCTTAACGTTAACCTTCTCAACAGCAAGCGTTGCAGTAATCTGATGAGCCAAAGCCCTTCAAGATTTCCGCCAAATGCATGACTTAAGCTGTAAATCCTCATGAGGTGCATCTTGATACTCGGAGCTACCATCGCGTGAAGATAGAAGGGGAGTACTAGCAAGGCTGAGATATAGCCTTGTTACAAGGCTGATAAGGAGAAGTTCGACTTGGGATTTCGTCCTGTGGTGGAGATTGTGGGAGAACCATTCAGTCGGTGCTGAGCCATATCAATCTTCTGCTCTTTTCGAATACACTATACATAACGATGGAATTAAAATCTGATGCTTGTGGTAAAGGTAAGGATAGACGCGTACTGATAGGATGGCAACGCTGGACCCTGGCGCTAGTGAGTTGATGGTTAGCGCCATTCGCCCTTCATCGGAATCGCCTTCCGAAGATGGCGCGGCGACAATCGTAAGCTCTTGGTAGCCTAAGCGGCCTTCTCGAGGCTTCTCATGCTTGCTCAGCTTGTTGATTATACACTGCCTTTGCCTTGGTGACTCTCTAGCAGCTTCCTTGCCAGCACCTTATTTATATTTTGTCCCTGTCTCTACCACAAACATGACGTCCAACGAATCAAGCTACACCGAGATGAAGGGCGACTTGGAGGCTATTGGGGCGCATTGCCAGATGGAGTACTGCAACGTGCTAGACTTCCTACCGTTCCGATGCGAGAGTTGTCATGGGTAAGTACAACGCGCAAAGCATCCGATTGGGTTGTCATACTAACAAACCCAGGAAATTCTGTCTCGACCATCGCACCGAATACGCGCACAAGTGTCCTAAGGAAGGCGAATGGGCAAGACAGAGAGCCAAGAATAACCAGGCCTCATCGCTGTCTACCCCAAAACCGACCGTCTTCAACCACGACCAACAGTGTGCCGACCCGTCGTGCAAGACATTGATCGATACCGCCCGCGCACAAGGTGTACATTGCGCACGATGTAATCGCAGATACTGTCTGAAGCACCGCTTCGAAGAGGACCACGACTGCAAGAACCTCACGCCCATCGGCGCGCGACCGCAAAACTACGTACAAGCGCGCACGCAAACAGCACTCACAAGACTGAAAGCATGGGCAGAACAGAAGAAGAAGGACGACGAGAAGCGGAGATCTGCCCCGAAGAAGACAGGTTTCTTAGGAATAGGAAAGAGTTCAGCGTCGTCGGCGGCAGCTTCAGCGCAAGCTGAACTCAATGCGCTGAAGCGGACAGCAAAGGGCGAAGCCAGCGTACCCCAAGAGAAGCGGATATACCTACACGTCGAAGCATCAGCCGATACAACCAAGGCGAAATACCCAACGGGAAAGTTCTTTTACAACAAGGAGTGGACCGTGGGGCGCGTGCTTGACATGGCGGCCAAGTCACTGCAGGTACAAAACGTGAACAACCGCGGCGGCGGCGAGGAGGAAAAACTACGCGTCTTCCACGTGGAAGGCGGACGACTGCTGAAGTTTAGTGAGAAGATTGGCGAGCCGTGTACGTCTGGGAATATGATTGTCCTTCTGCGAGGTGTAGGGTCAGGAGAGGCGCCGGACTTGATCGATTTATAGAAGCAGCAAGTGTGGAAGCATTACATAGCATGGCGTTTAGCGGCTGGTTTTTGCACTGGAGATACCCAGGTGCTCATGATGGCACGAATGAATGAATAGACGGGTGTTACATACCTCTCACGATGCTGCTTCGAATCTCAGATGAGCGTGTACGGCTGAGAACTGACATGTCGCCACGGAGAGAGAAGCCCTTCGACCTGGTGAATCCTTTGTAACGCGACAGTCATAGGTATTCAGGCCGTCATTGAACGAGAACATGTAGGTAATCAATTTATTACATCTAGATTTAGATTTGTTCGGTACTGGTACAGCACTAAAAGTGGGCGTCGAGCACTTCGAACGCCGGTGTTGTCACCTGTCCTATATGGATGCAGAACCCAACGTAAACGCCAACCCCATCGCTATATCGAATAATGCATGCCTTGGTATACGACTGCCATGCTTCCTGCTTATATGCTTGATCAGCTCGTGCGGTGCTTGGCACACGTATGCACCAAGTGCTCCTCTTCTTCCCCACCACGTTCTCGTCTTCGCGACGGAGGTTTCTCGCTGGCGTGTCGATATCGAAGCCATGTCGTGTGCGAAACTCGCTGTTCTTTCTGGTTAAGCTTATAGGACGCATTGCTGCGCGTGTTCGTCTCTTGTGGTGACTCTTCGCTCGCTCAATCATCGTCATGGTCACGGTTGCGGCACCTCAGGCCATGTATCTTGGTACCCCACGCGATGCTCCCTAGGTTGTTTGCACCGTCGGATATCGCAAGGTACCGGTCCAGATTGTCGTCGCCCTCGCAGTCATAGTTGCTGTCAGAGAGTCAGCTGCTAGCCCCCCTCGAAGCCCAGTCAACCACTTACTCATAGAATCGGCAATTCCAGTAATCATCTCTCGCCAACACGGTCGCAACATCATGCCCACCTACTAAGATGCTCTGTACGCGCCCATCGATACTATTCCCGAGTTAGCGCAGCTGTCCGGATACCACAATACGAGTGCGACATACAGATTATTGTCCAACGAGAGACACTGGTTATTATACGCGTCTACACTAACTTCACTCAAGAACGAAGGCGCAGCAAACAGCTGTACTTTTATCTTCCCGGATGTGATGGTGTCGCCGGCCAGCGCAAAGCCCGCCCAAGCCAGCAGTAGAGTCGAGAAGGGAACGAGGCGGCAGCTACTGGGCGTCATATCGCCGGCATCCAGAACACGCCCGTGGACGTCGTCGTGAGTATGCGCAAGTCGAGGGTGCAGTGGTCGGTGCGGGTGAAGGAACGGCGAGGAGCGTGGAGCGCTGGCGTACGTCCAGCAGGAGAGAACTGGAGTTGGTGGATGATGGCGGGTGGGTGGGTCATCTGAGCGAATCGCGGGTTGGGCGCTGCACCGCCTCCTCGCCGTCATATCCGCACGGACGTCACCACGGATGATAACCTCGCCAACCTCCTGTACCTATGCACATTTCACATCTACAATTCGCGCTGTACCCTGTTTTAGTGCTAGCAGGACCGCACTCTTGTACACTTTGATGCAGCAGGTGTGCGGTAGGCTCCTTCTCTCATCCTTGGGTTGGGTCTCCAGCGTCACATGCTTTTCTATGCCTAGCACTTGTCACAGTCACACTAACATGGACAAGGAGGACTGAAAGCATTCTCGCGATTGGCAGGCATTCACCGGACACAAGACACTGCATCAGAACGATTGCGACTCGGAAGCCTTGCCCTGGGCAACCAATGTGCAGATTTATGGTAGCTGCGTTTCGCTCCATCAAGCCACAGGTCCACCTGTACCTTCCACTTCTTTTCTCTGCATTAGCCCCCGTGCCGTCCTGGCTCTGACGCATATACGATACTGTATCGAAATTTCGTCTAATCCAGATGCGATGGAATTTGGCAACATACGCCGAGCATCAAATTCTCATAGAAAGGGACCGGTTCCGATGTCTGAGTATGACGGTGACACAGCAGAGACCAGCGTAGGTGAACAGAAGCCGCATGAAAAGCACGAGTTCATGCTTGTAGTGTTCTAAAAACTACGGCTGTGATTTCGCAATTTTGCTTCCATTGGTGTCTTGATACACTTGTGCCCAGAGTGGGATGGTTCCTATGCCTCAATCTACAGCACATCTCTAGTGACAGTGAAATCCGTCGTCACAATCACGCCATCTTTCCCATCTTGCACCCTAGTCTCATCAGTGGCTCCAGTTGGTGCAGGACTAGCCTTTCGGTCCTGGTGCGAAGTCAGTACGTGTCCTAAGTGCAGTTCGTTCAAGGAAATCTCTTACAAGAAAAGTAAGTTCCATCTCGTCATCGTCCAACGTGCCGCCCTGAACACGCGAGCTATGCCCGTTGCCTTTGCTGCCAATAGTCTTGCCACCCCCGGCTTGCAGGTAACCAGAGTTACTGCGATCGTACGTGTTGTTAGGCGTTGGTCTAATGATGAGCGCCTTCAGAGAGGGGAGTGAGACGACGATAACGGCTGTACACATTTCCGCGGTGCACCATAAATCTGTAGCTGTGTTAACGAAGGTTGTCGAGATAAATCAGGCGAGGTGGTGACTTACTTCCATCTGCATCGGAAACATCATAGTCCATGTTATAGACGATGAACCGGGCAAGACTGATCGCCATCGTGATTGCGCCGAGAGAGAAGATGCCTACCAGACCAATCTTTTGTCGCTTACGAAGCTTCAAGCAGTTGAAGATGAAGAACGGTAGCCCGAATACTAATTGTCAAGATGTCTTAGCTAACGCCCTATGGATCGACTTCAGCATCACTTACGCAAGAGATCAGTGCCGAAATTGAGCGTCCAATTGACTACCAAGTTGGAGTAAGTGTTCCATGTTGAACTGAGCTGGTTCTCGATAGACCTTTTGAGGAGCCAATGTTAGCTGGAGAAAAACACTTGAGTATAATAATCTTGCTTTGGCCTTACCAGTTATCCGATATATTTGGTGCGATAAGAGTATCCATCAATACACTGGCGACAAAAGAACAAGCCACAACCACGGTGGTGACATAAACTGCGATCCGGAGACGTCTGAAGCCTTGAGGAATCAACCACCAGTAGAAAGCGACGAGCGAGGCTTTGGGAAAATACAATCCCGTGTCGAAGAAGTAGACTGACACGAATACGACCTGTCGCCGAGAACTAGTCAGCCTATCTGTTCAGTCGGACATGCCACATGCTTTACTATCGACGTACCTTTAGGTAAACAACGGAATCACTTCTGGTCTCCTCATCCAGAGGATGGTCAATCAGGATGTAGAGCGCTTTCGTAGAGCAAGCGAACCAGCCAAGCGCACAAACCATTCCTCCCCATACGAGATAGTCGGGCAATGTCAGTGAGCGCCGCTCTACAATGAGACGAATCCAACATCGTAGGATCGTGACGCCTAGTGCTAGAGCGAGCAAGATACCCTGGATGACCTGTGGACGATAAGTGAGACTTCGAAGTATTGCGCATGCGAACATCTTACAATGGAAGCGATGATCTCCATTGCGCAGAACAACACACAGTGCGTATGTGGCTGGCGGAGGCTTGCTTCACCCCAATGGGGTCAGATGGAAGGAGTGTATGTGAAGACGACTGTGGGCTCTACCTGGGGCTGTTTGACATCTTGACACCTGCATATACCGGGTAGCGCGATGACAAGGGTCAGGGTATCTCACGAACGGGCAGCTTTATCGCGGCTCCGAACTGGTGGTATATGATCAGGCGTGTTATGCTGCATATGAGTATCATGAATCGCATAGTTCCAAGCGGCTGGTAGCGTCGTCCTTCCGTGCTGATCACTAGTCGATCAACCAGCTCCGCGGTTCGCAGCCTATTACCGGCAAGACGAGACATACTCTTTTGCCGTATGGGCGATGACCTTCGGCATCTTCTAAACATCATATTTGCGCTGCCGCGCAAACATCAACCCAAATATGATGAAGCTCCTCCAAGTGTCGCATGGCCCAGTCCAGTCAACAGCTTCAGCATGTCGTCTGATATTGCGTGGTGTCTCGGACATGAGCGACAACAAACCCCATTTCGTTCATCACCTATTCAAACCTGGCCGCGTGTTTTTCAGTCTCTGCCGTCTGACAGGCATGATGCCTCATCGTTCCTGGAAGCCGAAGCTGAGCAATGAAACTTCGCTACCAAGCCTAGGCAGCACTAGAAAAGGCCGGAAGCGGCTTGAAGACCTCAAGCTACAAATAAGAGCCTTGAAGTGCGTTGGAAGCGTGGTAAGCTACTGCCGGAAGCCATCAGGTACTACAACATTCTTGGGTGAGCTTGTCGTGAAGCTACTGCACACGACAGGATTTTCCTGGAACGCCCTCGTGGCGTTTGCCTAGACGCGCCGGTAACTTGATAAGTCGCGTTGGTAGCGATAGGGGACGCAGGCTTGAATCGCAGTAAATGTGGATAGCGTTCCGAGGGCTTGGCGACGTCGCGGGGTTGCTTCCGACCCAACTACAGTTGCTCGCCGCCGCGGTTGACTTTCCCTTGGAGATGTCGGTCCTACTTCTCGTAGATGAGGCGACTAAGAATCTGTGGCGGACCTCTAACATGTCATAAGCCTAATTGCATTTATCCATGGCATTCTCTTCGATGAAGCCGACGTGTGGCGCCGTGTAGCGTCATGACGGGTTTTCTGTTTCTCGAACAGCCCAGATCCCACCATCATGGCGCTTTGAGCCAGGAAATTTTGCGGAGTGGACCAACAGACTCGCGGACATGAGGTTGGTCTGGGTTCGAGGGTACTGTACCCTGCCGTGGATGGCGTCACACTTTCGCTCAGACTGTCTCAGGGGCTTTACGCTAGAGGAGGCGATGCGACACCAACAAACCTTATAGAATCCTAATCTGGTTTCCACTTCATGTTAATAGGCGTGGAGACTCCCGGGCGATAGAGATTGAGAGCGCGCGTAAGGCCCAATGTCGCAAATGATCCTGGAACAGAAGTGCAAGGTGTTGATGTCTACCTTCTTACTCTGGAGCCTACCTAGGTTTCCACGATGGAGAAGCTTTGACAGTGAGAGAGCATAGAAATCGTAGAGAGCGCTCTCGACTCAGCCATGCGTGCAATCGTACACAGGCTCGGTAATGCCTCCTAGACATTGATCTCGATAAGTGTGTTGGTCTGCAGTGGCAGGTTAGATGACAGGGTTGAGGAAGAGTTGATGCTGACGGCGAGCGAGACCAGAAACGACATGGTCAAAGCTTCTTGCTGAGTAACCATTCCTACCCTTACCATCCTTCGCGATTTTGTGTGAACGGAAGACATCGTTTGGTGTCGCTATAACATGTATGACAATAGCTGGTGCGAGAAGAAGATCGCTCAGTACCAGCACAAACTTGTGATAATGCGTCCGAATAAAGACGTGCGTGCCGAGTCCCTTTTATACTGTCCACGCGGTCTGAGGAACGAAAATACCTCAATCGCTCGCATCCCATTTGCCCTACGACGCGTTGAAAGTCCCGCAGGCGGCAAGCAGAATAACACAGATTACGAGCAGCGAAACACAGCGTTGATGCGACATTCCTGCGTGAGCGCCCGTGGTGGCTGAGGTGCAGGTATCTCGAAACTCTCCACCCACGTGCGAAGTGCGAGAAGCTCATTCGTCTGTCAGCATATCCGTTATTGCGATCTTAGGTTACTTACCCAGATTCTCCCGGACCAACACGCGACGAACGCCTCTTTGTGTCAAGACCCCTACCTACGATGCCCTTTCTATACCTCAGAATGGCAGCATGCTTGCGGCTTGCAAGGAGCCTTCAGGCACATATATATATGTCATCTCGATATCGGAGTCGACCCTAGTGGACGCCTGAAGTGGTCTTCCATGCCCCCAGGCTGCATATACGGCAGACTACAAGGCGACCGAACCTTCATTGCGAGTATACACTTCTACCCCGCGCCGTCTAGACATCGCCGCCAGCCTAGCAGCGTGACCTCACAATCAACACACCGTCGGTACTCTCGAATGTAGAGCTTGAACAGTCCACAAAGATGCAGGATGATGAGGAACGATATGCGGACGGCTTTGCTGAATACGGCAGCTATTTTGGTGGACCCTCCTTCGACTACCTTTCGCCGGCTCAACCGACTTCCTCAGCGATAGCAGGAGCGTCTAACGAACACGCATTGTGCTCAGATACCGACCCCTACAAGCCTGCTTACACGGCGCCTGGATACAAAGAAAAGGATGGTAATCTTCCTTCGACATCTTACCCAACGCCACAAATAGCGCCTTCGCCGCTGAACTATCGTCAAAGAGCCCAGAGTCGTGATCCTGCAACTAACGAGTTCTCTCAACTGCCGGTCAGCCCGGGCGCGCAAGCTTCCAAAGCTCATATATCACAGGATAAGGCTGAGTCTTCGCAACCACAACCTCTACGCTTTCTTAAACGTGCTCCAACAGCTCCTCCGACTCCTCCGATGTCTTGGGGAAGTAGCGCTAGCAACGGAGATGGCCTCTCAGACCGGATGCAGTCCATCTATATCGCTTCTGAACACCTTAGAGCCTCCAATCCGGCACCAGAGCCATTGAGGATAGCTCATGGAACTTTTGGGCATGTTACTACTACCAGCAACACAAGCAGTACTCGCAGCTCTAGTATCATCTCGTCGCCCATGCAAGGCTTGCCCGGTAGTCCTTTTCAGCTATCACAGAGGGGTTTCTCCATTTCCACTATGCAGAGTACAGAGAGCGAGGCAACTGAAATGAACCCCAGCGACGCTCAGGCTGAGATATTGCGCAGGATCAGTAGAAGAAATGACGCGCCAAGTCGGACGGGTCTCTCGTCTTTCAAGAAAAGCTTCTCACTTAAAAGGGCAGCCACTTCAGCAAAACCAGCTAGTGGACCGTCACAGGACACGTTGACTGACGTTCTTGAAGAAGTTGCTGCAGAAGGTAGCCTCTCTCTCGTCAAAGCAGTCATTGGTATGGGAGCTGATCCTATATATCGATCAATCGGTAAATTGAAAAGACTGAAGCACGAAGCTTTAGCAAAAGCTACCTTGAGTGGACGAGCAAAAGTGGTCGACTATCTTTTGAGGGAAGGGGCCACTTACGGAGAGACCGCGAAGAGAAGTGACTATACTCCAATGGATCGCGCGATACTTGCAGCTGCCTACAAAGGGCACGCGGATCTCATCAACTGCCTCGTGGCGTCGCATGGAGCAAATCCAATGGTTGAGCAATGGCCGAGGGAGATGTATGACACCCAACACTACTGGGCGGAAAACCAAGTCAGACTTGCGAAAACTAGTCTCCTCGATGGCCTTTCTAAATGGAAGAACGTTGATCAAGGCACAAACACACTAAAACTCATTATGCAGCATGAAAAGTTTGATCCAACGGCTCTAATTTCCGGCGTATTTGATAACAAGAGTGAGCTGCAGAGCGCTGAGTTTGGGCATCGCCCATGGCAGACAACGTATGAGTACTCGGTGCTAGCTTGCTTCGTCCGCGCTGGATGGGCAGACGCGGTGGAAGAGATGTTGAGCATAAAGGGAAAACCAAAACACTATGAAAAAGAAGACGATGTCTTGCAATATCAAGGAAAGGTCACCCGCTATGTGTCCCCAATCAATGCGTTGACGAAGGAAACATGGAGCAAGCGACCAGAGGACGCACTTCGCATACTAAGACTTTTGATCGACAGAGGCTTTGATCTATGTCTTGCACAACGCACCGCCACCGATCTGGGGGTGCGAACAGCGATCGGGCGAGCGATTTCAGCAGACGCTGCCCAAGGAGTCGAACTTATCTTGCAGGCCCAAGGCGGGTTAGTACGAGAAGACGTCTTCTTCCGTCGAAACAGAAGAGAGATAAATGCTCTACCACTAGCTGCTGCTCTCTCCTTCAACTCTCTAGAAGCGGCGCGCGTGCTGCTTCGCGCTGGCGCGCATCCTCGAGATCCAGCGTTTGATGACATGAACGTACTGCAGTTCGCCGCCTATCACAGTAGTGCAACCAATTCTTCGATGCTTACGGAAATGATAGGCCTTGCCCCGGAACTAACGTACGATGCGTTGAGTTTCGCCATCAACGGCATCAACAAAGATGCAGTACGTGTGCTTCTGGACACCATCTCCGCAGCCGCTCGACGCGAACAGATCGCCGCTCTGCCACCTATTCACGATATGCTTCTCCACTGCACTCCTCCCACCAAACCAGAGCTCAAAACGCAATACCTAGAGCTCATCGACATGGTCGTGCAATGGGACGTTGGATACGCGCTACAATGTCCGCAACTTCCGGCAATCTTGTCGGCAATTCGGAAAGACAACTACATTGGTATGGAGAAGCTGCTTCAACTTGGCGTAGTAGACGGCAGCAGCCTAGTGTTGAACAATAGAGCGCAGCCGCGTGGGGAGTTGGGTATGTGGACTATGTTGGAATGTTGTGAGTTGACAGACAGGAGTTCGGAGTGGTTGGGCCTATTGAGGAACTTTGGGGCGCCATTGTATCATTGACGCCTTATCGCGTTCCAGACTCAAGAGACTGTTGGGGGTAAACAGACATTCCTATCATGTTGTTGGTTTCGCTTCGCTGGGGGAGTCTCCTTTGGTGTTTGTAATTTGGTCTGAGGGTGCTACTAAAGGCAATTCCGAGGCTGGCTCAACCTTGGGCTTCCGTCCCCATTTACCCTTAAATTTACCTCCTTGCTGCTTGATCCTTTCTTTCTTCGTCTCAGCTACCCATTCTCCACGGAATCTCTGTCTAGGCTTCGTTTCTTTATCCTGCGCCATCTTCCTCTTCATGCTTTCTTGACGTCCATTGACATGCCCTGAGTTCATCGGATTCGCCGCAACCCACTTCTCAAGCTGTGGTTTGAGCTTCGGACCCCATGTGGATTCGCCAGCATCCAGTTCTGGGTATGTGAGGGCGGAAACAGTATCCGGAGATCTGGGTGAGGAATCGACGGTAAAGTTGGCTTGGCGAGTGCGATCCAGAGACGCCATGTATGAAAAAGTGCTGCATGCAATACCCAGATCGTGCGCAAAGCTGCGAACGTAGAAACCAGAGCACACAGTCAACCTGATACGCGCTGCAGGCGCTGAAGCAGGCTCTTCTCCGCCAGGAAGTGCAAAGGAATGCTCTCCCATGTCATACCAATCTAGCAGCGTGCATTCATCGACGTTCATCTCTCTACTCTCCAACTCTCTTGGTAACTCCTTACCCTGTCGCACGTACTCGCAAGCCTTGATGCCATTGATCTTCAACGCAGAGTATACTGGAGGGACTTGCTGGATGGTTCCTCTAAAGTTTTCCAGCTTTTCTTCGACCAACTGACGAGTGATATGCGAGATATCTGCCGATTCAACAATGGTTCCCGTACAATCATAACTGTCGGTGCTAGCACCAAACACAACGACTGTTTCGTAAGTCTTGTTACATGCTAAAAACTGCGATAGTGATTTTGTACCGCGCCCGATCCCTACAATAAGTACGCCTGAAGCCAAAGGGTCGAGCGTGCCACCATGACCTAAACGAAACACCTGATCGGATGATTTGCTGGCACGTTTAGGTTGATGCTTGAGCAGCGGCGCAAATGTAGTCGATGGAGCGAATGTTGATTGAAGTTTGAGGAGGACGTCTGCTGACGAGACATGTGCAGGCTTGGCTACCGCTAGGTGGAGTCAGAGACAAGTTGCGAAATGATGATAAGATGGCATACCAAAGATGCCCTCTAGGAATGGCTCAGCTTGTTGTCCGGCAGCCGTCCTGTCTTGGTCTTCCATTGTCAGTCACGTCACGTTACGTCGCGTTGGTAGGTGATTGACTCTCTGCGCTAGACGGAAGAATTGCTCTAGATCGCGGGACTAGCGCGTTCTGAGCTTACCCCACCACACGCCCTACGCCTTTTGAGATGCGCATGCCTTGCGAGACGCAGGCATCAGTCAGGGAAAGTCCGGGGCAGCTGTGAGTGTATCACAACCATTTGCTAGACCACCTTCATACACATCCTTGTGGTAAAGTTAGCGGCGCCGACTTCGGGCTGGTCCCTTCATCTGACACCATCGTTCCTCAGTCATTCTCACCAATCTTAATACCAACCCGACGATTGCGACTACCGAGCCTATGGACCATCAGCGAATGAGCGATTGGCAAATGCAGCCCTGGAGTGAGGACACTATTGACCCTTCGTGGTTCTCCAACTTCCTAGCCACCGATCCTGGACAGGATGCGCCTAATGCTGCATCTGGTGCGCCTGCCGCATTCAGCGTTGACGACTTGGCAATCGACCCGAACTTCCACGACTTTACGTTCGAAAACACATCACAACCAATGAGCACTGTGACTTCTCCAAGTCATCCGTTTGATGCATTCCAATTGAATGAGACTCACGGACGCCCACTGGTGCAACGGCAACATACACTTCCACGTCGTCGAAGCAAGTACTTTAAGCGCAGATCGACTGGAACCGCAAGTCCGATAGCCATACCTGGTGGAAGTCCCCGACACGAAGAAGGACAGTCGCTGGCTATCCAGCGGTGGCGGAATTCGCCGCCTGAAGACGAGGCTGCATCTCTATCGGCCATCTACCATGCTTTGGAAGACAGACCGGTAGGTGCTTCACCACGCATTAGCCGACCCTCTAGTAGTGACGCCTTTCGCAAATATCGGGGCCCCTCGTCAACGACCAGTCTCGACAGCGCTGCCAGCGAATCTTCATTGCGATCCGTGAACTCGAGCCATTCCGCCACGTCACAGTCGAAGCGTCGCAGTCAGGCCACCAAAACCCGGAAGGGCAGAGTAAGAGGCACCAAAATGAACGACCCAGAGCGTATTTTCAAATGTACATTCTGCTGCGACCCTTTCAAGCACAAGTACGACTGGACACGCCATGAGAAGTCTCTGCATTTAAACCTCGAAAGTTGGATGTGTACGCCGCACGGGGCTTCAGTGGTACTACCTCTGACCGGCAGAGTACATTGTGCATACTGTAGTGCACTAGACCCGACGCCCCAGCATCTGCAGCAACACAACCATGCGGCATGTACCGATGGTAACAATACTCCGCGTGTCTTTCATCGAAAAGATCACCTTACCCAACACCTTCGCCTAGTACATGGAATCGAAACGCTACCTCTGATTGACGACTGGAAGCTTGAGACTTTGCCAGTAAAATCTCGATGCGGCATTTGCGATGCGAATCTGAATAGCTGGGACGAGCGATCAGACCATCTGGCAGCTCATTTTCGTGAAGGCAAGACTATGGCCGATTGGAAAGGCGAGCACTGCTTTGAGCCCGATGTGGCGGCTCGTGTTATCAATGCGTTTCCACCCTATCTTCTTGCCGAACAAGCCAATACCGTCGTGCCTTTCTCAGCAACTAACCCTGGATCTATCGACCACACAAAGCAATTAATCTCACGCATCCAACTTGAAGAGCCAGCACAAGAGCCTCCGGCAGCAGAAACCACACATACGCCTGATCAACAAGCCTTTGAAGACTCCTTGACGGCTCTTCGAGAATTGTCAACACAACATGATCACGACTTTGCTACTGTTCTTACACGCCATCTTAGTCGCTTCGCAAGACAGCAGATGCTATCAGGAATTATTCCAACGGATGAGATGTTTCAACGCGAATCGCGAAGATTGTTGTATCAGGATCCGGACGATGGGTGGAACCAAACAGTAGCAGACAATGCCAATTGGCTACAGGACTTTCGTCGTCGTAGTGGCCTTGAGGGGAGTCCTAACACATGATGATAGTGCAACTCTGCCGTAGCTTTAAAGTATCTTTTCAAGTCCTCTCGGCAATCTATCCATACTATCCTCTATCTTTGCAAGAATTTGGCCGTCTATCGTCAAACAATACCACCCTGCAAAGTTACTCGGTCCTTGAGATATGATAGATTGATGCTGCTTATCTGCCCAGCTCTTCCGAAGAACTGCAACGCGCGCTTACCTGTCCGAATTGGATTTTCATCGCCTAGTCCGAGATTTAGCTGGTCTGTTCTAGCTCGAAATGCAAATAGAACCCAGATCGGATCTTGATAGACCATGAAAAGAAGTTTCTCACCAATCCAATGTCCAGCCTTTGGAATCGCCTCAGCAACGAAATCATCACTTATCTGCGACCATATTTCTTCTGATAGCGTCACGGGAGAAAAGCTTGCTTCACCTCCCAATACCAGCAATGGCATCTGCAACCTCTTCCCGCTACCGAACACCCAAGTGAAGTAGGCTTCGTCATCCCAGGCCGCTGCAAAGTACTCCATGCCGCTCCTTAGAAACCCGGGTTTGGATATCTCGTTCGTGTAGCGCTATAGTTGGTCTTCGCTCAAAGCCGCTGTGCCAGAATAACTCGCATGAAAAAAGTACCAGCTCAGCATCTGCTTTTCGCGCCCTTGAATGAAGAATTCGGCTGCATCAGGCACGGAAAAGAATGCGAGTTGCCAATTCTGGTACAAGCTAGAACTCGTTACCTGGGTAGGATACCCGTAACCTGGGAGAGCATATTCTGCGAGAATGATAGCTTCAACAACCGATGGGTGTTCTATAGCAAGAGAAGTCGCAAGCCCTACGCCTTTGTCATGTGCAAAGACGTATGTAGACGTGATGTTGAGGTAATCTAGGATGGCTTTGAGATCGATGCCGGCAGCTGCAGCCGTGTAACTCTTTGAGAAAGGAAGCGCTGAGTCTCCGCAGCCGCGTATATCTGGGGCGATCACAGTATCTGCTGTTACATTAGCCTGGAGGGGTTTCGTAATGAGAAGTGGCGGATGGACATACAGTTCCTTCACCATGGTAGCGGAAATGAATCGAAACGTCGTCGAGCTGGATACGCTCATGCTCCCATTCATCGAAGCTTGATAATTGCGCGAGCGTGAACTGCACTAGAGCGAACGTGCAAATACTGATAGTACTGAAGAGATTAATGATGCAAGAGGTCAAGACTAGCTATATTTCAGAAACTCAACGTCCGCAAGCACAGCTTTATCTTTTTCATTTTGCCGACACTTTCAAACGAAGCTTTAGTCTCGTTAGGCCTTTTGTCATTTGCTTCACATGCAATGCTCTCATTTTGCTGCTCTTTCCTATTGCGATACATGACTGTCCATGAGGAGGCATAAACAGCTGACTGAGCATGGGGGCTGCATCGGGCTTAAGCACCAGGCTTACTAAACTCGGTCTACCACAATGCCGACGGGAACGAGAAAGTTGTTCGTAAAAGCGCACGTATGTGGAATATACCATTCGGAAAGTAAATACGCAGGATCGTACGTCAACAATCTGCACTTCGATTAGCCTTCACCAAGGCCACTTCTTATTCCCTATACCAAAGGCATCTTACTAATCATCAGTGTCGTTACAATTCGTCCCTTTCGTTGCCATCTTCTCTCGAGATACTCTTTGCCTCGAATGCATCTCCCTCCTTCTTAACTCTACGTAGACGTAGAACTCGCGCAGCGTGACTCTTCACATCTGCCTTGAGCATTCCACCAGCTTCAACTACGCCAATCTTCTCTCCAAATAGTCGCGCATCCTCTTGAGCGAGGCCTTTGGCGTAAGGGATCTCAGTAGCATTGTACCAATTGGCCTTTGAGAGAATGGATTCTCTCTGCACATGAGTATCTGCGCTGAGTAGTTCTTCGGCGGTAGCTTCAGGCATGCGATGAGCCCAGAGGTCGTGTACGGCCCAATCATACTTCACGTGCGGTGCTGATCCACCGGGTCCGTATGGTATGAATATCTCGGCCAGTGAGACGCTCATCTCCATGTCCTTGCCACCAGCGTTAAGGAGTATCACGACTTCGTCTCCATTTTGGAGATGTCCAGCCCAGACGTGTGTCTCACCAACACCCCACTCATCTTTCGCTACACCTTCCGTGTCCCTTCTAACGCGTGTTACACTTCGCCCATGGGGATCCTGGCTAAGCGCAATGATGGCAGGGTTGTTGATGATGCTAAGAGCAGAAGCTGGCATATTACGCAGATCGTTACCAAGGAAGAGCGGAGATTTGAGCGCGGCCCAGAGCGCAAAGTGCGCTTTGTATTCTTCGTCGGTCATACCGCCCTGACCGACTTCAAGCATATCCAGATCGCTCCAACCCCCAGGAATGCTACGGTCGGCAAAAGGGGCGACTTTGTTGAGAATGAAAAGTACCGAGCAATGTGTACCTGGTGCTACGCAGTTGACATCGCCTGGTGCCAAACTGTTGCATCCACAGAGGTCATCAGGACGTGTGAAAGAGTCGTAGATATCACCCGTGATGCGCCAGCTGTTAGATATACTCATTCCCCACTACAAGAAGTCAGTTTTTGCATATCACGGTAGGCTGTAATTTCATCTTGCTTACAGTGTGAACAAGATCCTCTCCCCAGTTGCACAAATTGAGGAGAATGTTCTTTCCTGTCGCTTTCAAAGCATCAGACATGGTTTTGAAGCGATTGAACGACACTGATGGTGTGCCAACGCGACCCATGTGGTAGCAGCTGTCATACTTCAACATGTCGACACCCCAACCTGCAAAGCTTTTTGCATCGTCAACCTCATGGTCTAGTGACCCCTCTAATCGATGTCAGCATGCTGCAGAAAGCAGAGGTGAATGCTAAACCATACCGAACCTCGCACATGTCATCTCACCGGCGCTGCTGTACATGCCGAACTTGAGGTCTTGACTATGCAGATGATCTGAGATGGAGTTCAAGCCGTTGGGGAACTTGTCGAGCGCTGGATGGAGTTTTCCATCCTCATCCCGACCTTTTGGATCTTGCCAACAGTCGTCCAGCACAACATAGTTGTAACCCAGATCTCGCAATCCTAGGCTTAGGATTTGTGAAGAGGTCGTAAGAAGAAGGTCTTCGGAGACGTCGCATCCAAAGGCGTTCCAATTATTCTTGTCTGATCAGTTATAGATCTGAAATATTTTTGATGGATCTTACCCAGCCCATTGGTGGTGTGATAGCGAGACCATTGTTAATGGCGGTTGCGCTGCCCAGCAGCGTCGTCACCAGCAGAACGCTGCTACGTGAATTGGTCATGATGGAAGTGTAATGTTGTTTCTCTGTGAGAGATGCACCAACGGTGTCTTAAACAGTCTTCTACGTACGTGCCATCTCAAGTGGATCTTAGGCGTGGATGAATGGACCCTTGCGCCAAGTCCGCAGAGTTGGATGCGGCATGTCGGAGGCTCCGCAAGGGCAGGAAAATCGGCGAGTTTTCCGCCGCTAGAGCCCGACGCTCATGCTACCCCACCATGTTTGAATGAGAGCTACTGACTCGATCCTGCACGATTACAGAGATAATCCTGAATAGCACGATAGCGGGGATTGCCTGCTTAACGCGAGTAGTGCTTCGTACTCGGGATCATTGTCCCTCGGCTCGAGCTCCATATGAGGTGCGAACTGCACCAGAAAGCGCAGCAACCATCGATCAAGAACGAAGCTCGTCTCTTTGCTTCGGAGACAAGTTTGATGAAACGCCCGTAGACGACTCATCGCGCCGTCAACACTTGGCCAATACGTTTTCAGACGCAAGAGTATCTCAAAGTTGCGTTCCAACCTGGACTTCGATAAACGTATCTCACCCTCGTCGCCAGAAAAGAGTAGGGTATGGATCTGGACAGTGGAAGCAACGACGAGAATGTGTGAAACTGCCGAATACAAAACTTCATTACCAGATGTAGAATGCGAGCGATAGACGAGGGCGCATAGTCGGGCTGCATGTTGCTTGCAGGCGTCAGCATATTTTGCAGAGTCGGTTGGCGCGTCAATTGACGAAGACAAAAATTGGTAGTTGAGAAGCAGCCCGTAATGATAATAGCCAAGATACACAGCTATGAACATTCGGCCAAGGCCACGCGATGCGAAGGCTTCGAGATTTGCTGGCGTATCACGCATCTGGTGCGGGATTTCCTCTAACCAGACGTCGAGATCGCGAGAAAGTTCTCGTATGCCTCTTTCAAGTGGTGGGCCTTCGAGATGTTCTGATACGCACACTCGATTGAAGTCGATGATTCTTGCCAGAATCCGGTTGAGCTTTACCATTTCAGCAAGGAGGGGAGAGTTAAGGTACGGCGTTTGGTCGCTGAAGTCTCCCCTTAGATCGTTATTCATTACGGAGAACGGTATCTCATCCACTGGAAGGGGCACAGCGCTATCGAATGGCATGATACGTGGTAGTCTCACGGCTGTGGATGACCAGACATCAACCATACATAGAGTCCACCAAGTTCTGATGTTGACTTCGCGTTCCACCAGGCTAGTGACCGGATGATTGGGAAGATCAAGGGCTAGAGCTAGCCTTCCGCCCATACTGTAGTATAGGTTCTCGACGTCTGTCTCGCCACTCGCAGCGGCATATGCTCCCAGCAAAACGCATACCTGAACCGTTACAGGGGTGAGCTCGCGGATACTGAAGAGCTTCTCGCTTGATGCACGGTAGACCTCGCCCCTTTCTCTCGGATCAGTTCCGTCAAAGAACTCGTCGGTAGAGAATCTTGCAGCAAGCGCAAAGATAGCATAGAGCACTATATGCGGTACCCGGTCATTGGTCGCATCGTCCATGAATGACGCTTTATGATACATCGAGTGAAATTGGTCGTGAATGTAGTCGAAATACAGCTCCACTAACGCTCGCCTCAAGGCGGCCGGTGGTAGATCCTCGTGGCCTTGGTTTGGCAATGTCTTGGCTTGGAGCGAGAGAGCTTGCTGAGTTGCAATACTCTCATGAAGTCTAGCCTGGCGATTGGCATAATAGCCTCCTTCTGGTGGGCCTCGGAGACATTGTAGGCCATGTGACAAGCAATACTCGCACACCGTTGCCAGCCGGTTTGTCGGATAGATGCATTTGCGCCGACGAGCTCTTCAACCAAATTAGCGGGTGCGCGCCTACACAGACTAGGATAGCATATCAAAGGCTTACCGACATGCACTGCATGCAGATGGTTTGCGCATCACTAGGTCTGAAGTTGCGCAATAATCTGGGGATGGAGAGCGGAAAACTGGCGGAGAACCGAATGAATGGGCAAAAGAAGGGAGAAGCGGGCCTGCATGACTCGCACGTCCCCCCGGACGGCTGACCAGAACTGGAAACGGCTACGCTAGGCCAAAGCACCTATTTAGCGGCGGTATACTGGCGGAGAAGTCTCTCACGACCTGGTGGCCGACTGGGCAAGCCTCGCTCTAGTTGTGATTGGCTTTCTTCGCGCACTTAGACGCCCCAGCTCTCCCCATGGGCACTCTGTACGAATATTCCGCCATGTGTTTCCCCGCAAGACAACCCGCTCTTGCCCCTTCTCGGCCATTACCGGGGCTTAGACTCCCAAGCACTCGGGCTAGCCCTTCACTTGTGGCATGGCTCCTGTAAATGGTTCATCTCTTGACTATGCATACAGAAGGCTGGGGTCTATATAGACCGCAGATCCGTCCATGTGGTTGACCTGCATCTTTTCGACAGGTCAATACCAAAGACTATCTCTCTTGGCCCCTTCACATACTCTGGAGTCAAGTCCAATATGGCTTCAATGGAGAAGACCACCGGCAACGTGGCCACCGAGAAGGTCACCTCAACACAAGGACAACACAATGCGGTCGACGAGACGAGCGCGGCTATCAACAATGAGCACAACATGTCGGTCCGGCAGTCCTTGAGATTCTGGTGGAAAGCGATCGTATTCTCATTCGTCATATCGCTTTGCGTTGTGATGGAAGGCTACGATACAAGTCTCATGAACAAGTTCTTCGCCTTTCAACCATTTCGAAACAAGTTCGGCGATGAGATTGATGCCGATGGCAACAAGCTTGTCTCTTCGAGATGGCAGACCATCATCCTTAATGGTACTCAGGTACGCATATACACCAGTGAAGGTATCAGCTCAATGGACTTTACTAACAAGCACATAGGTCGGATGCATTCTCGGTCTCATCGTCAACGGTTATGTCACTGAATGGATTGGATACAAGAAGACAATGATCGGCAGCATGCTGTTCATGACTGGCGCCATCTTCATTCCGTTCTTCTCTACAGGACTGGAGATGTTCCTTGTGGGAGGCATAATCCAGGGTCTCCCATGGGGTGTCTTCCAAACACTGGCAATTTCATATGCCGCAGATCTCTGCCCCATGCATCTGAGAGGATACATGACTTCGTGGATCAACATGTGTTGGGTCATCGGCGGTCTCTTGTCTACTGGCATTCTCACTGGACTGATGAAGAACACGACTCAATGGGGATACCGCATTCCTTTCGCTCTCCAGTGGATCTGGCCCATCCCTATCATCCTAGCTACCTTCCTCGCACCGGAATCACCTTGGTGGCTAGTCCGACAAGGTCGCATCGATGAGGCCAAAGCAGCGATCCGCCAAATCACTACACCTACAGACGGCATTGAATTCGACCTCGATGCGCACGTAGAGATGATGGTTGTCACTGACCAGTACGAGAAACAAGTCGGTGCTGGAACCAACTACTGGCATTTGTTCCGAGGAAGCGATCTACACCGCACTGAGGTTTCTGCCATGGCCTTTATCACCCAAGCTCTCTGTGGTGTTCCCTTCATGGGCTTTGGGTAAGTTCTATCATGTGCTACATGGAGGATATACACTGACATTATCAGAACTCAATTCATGCAAGGCGTAGGCCTCAGTCAAGACGACTCCTTCCATCTAACCATCGGTCAGGACTGCTTGGGTCTAGTTGGATGCTTTATCGCCTGGTGGATCATGACGCGCTTTGGCCGACGACCCATATACCTCGTTGGATTGTCCGCCATCTTCATCATACTCTTGATTGTTGGCTTCATCGGCCTAGCGCCGTCTACGAACAAGAATGCAAGTCTCGCTGGAGGTGTTCTAATCATTCTCATGATCTTCTGCTTCCAGGTAAGTTTCATACATTACGTCTTGCAGCCAATCGCAAGCTAACCCAATCAGCTATCCCTGGGACCCATCTGCTACTCTCTTGCAGCCGAAATCCCCTCGTCGCGCCTCCGTGTAAAGACTGTCGCACTCTCTCGCGCTTCATACAACTCCATTGTCTTCGTCACAAACACAATCATGCCGAAAATGGTTGGCAAGAACGACTGGAATTGGGGCGCGAAGGGTGGTTTCTTCTGGGCTGGTATTGCACTTCTGTTCATCGCGTGGGGATACTTCCGTCTTCCTGAGCCAAAGGGTTTTACCTACTCTGAACTGGATCTCATGTTCGAGCACAAGGTTTCTGCGCGCAAGTTTACACGTGAGGCTGCGGATGCGTTGAAGCCTGCGTTGACGGACGTCGCCATGCAGTACGAGAAACAGAATGGGGTCGAGCGCGTAGAGTCGCATGCATGAGCTAGCTAGTTGCGGTTGGTATATCAGTGGTGGTAATTTCAGTGTATGCTGTCGTCGCAAGAACCATTAACAATAATAAACTTCATTGACATTTTATTCAATCCCAGATCTCTCTCTCCCGTATTCGTCTTCTACTATTGCCAGAACCTCGCTACCTCCTCATATTTCAAACCCCCTCCATGTGTATCATTTGGTGTTGTGGTTTGACTGGACTCGGGTTTCGTCATTTCGGTGGCTTCCATGCCCCAGCGCTCGAGCTCCTCTTGACTATCCGTCCATGTATCCTCACTTAGTTGTGGAATTGCGGTGGGTTTCTGACTCGACGGTAGCTGTACAGGGATACAGCTTTCGCTGCACGAGTAGAGTGTGTGCCGTTGTGCCCGACAATGGCCGATGATGTGGTCGTGTTGGTTCGTTGTCGAGACGACAGTGGCGGTTGTTGTGGTGGATGCAGTCATTGAGAGGTGTGTTGGAGTGACGGCTAATGATGTTCTTCAAGCACCTCGGATGCTGTCAAAGTATTTGTTGTAGTAGTGGATGTGATGATGTTGATAATGATGTGGGTTTGTTCTGCTATGACGACCTACCTTTTATACTATACTGCAACAATTTCGAGAACGTGTTTGTCTCACTATCATGTAGCATCTAAGATAGACCAGAAGATACGAGGTGGCTTTGCTCAGCGTGTTGCGCGGGTGGCGTTATCCCGTTGTGCTAATTTAGCCAAGGTGGTGAGATCGCAAGTGCCCCATGCTGGTGGCACCACTTCAGTTTCAGTGCGCCGCATGGTCACGCCAGATTTTAGCCCAACAACTAACAACAGTGTTGTACAAACCGATGTATAGCATATGGCACCATAAGCCACTTCACCGGACAGACTAAAGTAGAAATAGTTGCATTGATTGTGTCAAAGCTGACCAAAGGTTGGAAAATTAACTTTGTGACAAGCGCCTATGGGGTATCCGGGATCAAAAGAAGATTAATAAGAGGAACGAAAACCAATCCTATGCATCCGATACTGGCGGTGATGGTGGATGCGTCGGGTCCAGATGCTGCCTCTTTGCATCTGGTAGTTGGTCGGATTCATCGCATATGCGCTTCATCGACCCGTTTGCGGTATTGCCATTCTGCGATTGCGCTTTCTCCTTGTTCCTAGCGATCACCTTCTTCCATTGCGCTTTGACACGCAACACGGATGTCACGCGCTCGAAATGCGATATCGGTGGTGCGGGCTCCATATTCAGACAATCAATCCTTCTCAAGCCAATCCGTTCCTTGTTGTTCAACGCCTTTGTAAGAAGTCTGGCCATGTAGTCGATCTGTGCTTGGTCTAGCTCCGCGTCACGGAGACCAAACCGTAGGGTCAGAAAGCCTTTGGCCCTTGGGCGGTACTGATGTAGAGCATCAGTTTTCTCCGGTCCGAAAGGTGTCAAGAATATGTGCTCTTGATTTGGCTGAGGGTTACGACTACGGCCCCAAAGTTGGGAAGGTGTATCGATCCGTCTAGGGTCTTGATTGATGCGTTGCATCAGGCTGAAGGTAGAGATCGGACGCTTGGGGTCTTTGTCGAGGAGCTCATTGGCAGCGTCGATGAAAGCACGGGTATACGAGTTCGGTCCGGGTGCGGCAGTAGTTTCGTCGAAGTGGCAAGCGCTCAGTAGCTCGAATTTCTTCTCTTCCTGCCTGCTGGACTTTACGAGATTGCTGGCGTAGCAAGTATCCAGAATAGTCAGTACATCGGCCTCGACATCTTCATGACGCAGCTGCTCCTCAGCTTTGTTCCAAGTGGCTCGGGCTACAGTGCTAAAGCCCGTCTCCTTGGAAGGATCTTGGGTTCCCGTAAGCTCCAAAGTCTTGGTTGCTTTTTGAAAGATACCGTGTCCCGTGTAGTAAACGATGAGTAGACTCTGTGTCCCATCATGCTCGCAGATGAACTGGCTGATGTGATTGTCGAGCTGATGTTGTGGCTTCTTTCGTATATTCAATTCGACGGTCTTGGTCTGGTAGTGAAAGCGGCCGCGGAAGAGAGATTCGAGTTCTTGGGCCTTTGGGTTTGTCAGTCAATCAATTCTGTCCCGATGTGCTTCACCCAAACATACCTCGTCAGCAGTTCTTAGCTCGTCCAGATGGTCTGCCCATTTGATCAGAAGCACTGCAACTTTGGTGTAGCCATCTGCAATGTCCATGTTCTTTGCAATGGCCTCGGCCCACCAGTTCTTCTGTGCTTCTGCGTTGGAGCTGGCGTCATCTTCCTTGCCAGGCGTGGTCTCTACGAGAGGTTCGCCATTCTGGGGAACCGGCTCATTGCGCCTAGGCTCGTCTTCAACATATCGTATCTGGAAGTCGGCATTTATGCTCTTGCCTGGGAGTGGGTTTGCGTTGGCAGGAGCTATCTCAGTCGTTGCGCCGTTCGCGACGCGTACCGTGGAGTCTGGGAGAGGAGCCATTGTTGTGTGAGGCTTCCAGGCTGCGAGGCTGGAAGAGTTCGCAGGCACCCGCCATTATGAAGGATGGAGTTCACCGTCATGGACCAACCTTCAGCCCCCATATTGGGTGGGACATGCAACACGGCTCGAAGGGTGCGGAGATAGCAGGTGCTGCCCGCCCCGGCCAATCAGCGCATCGCGCAATTACACCACCACCGTTTGGGGGCCAAAAGCAGTGCCTCCACCATGCACTCTCGACGCTCGTCTTACCATATTGACCAAGCGCCCCATGTCATGACCCTATGCGGCAAATGGCAGCAAACCATGACGGCTTGCTCAGCGACAGCATATCCACAGAGGGGTTCGTCGTGCAGAACCGCGGAATGCGCCTAGCAAGCAGTTCTGTAAGCTGCGGCTGTGCACGTAAATGTGCCCCCAACTATTATCGATACCGGTCACGAACCTAGGTTGCCTGGGGCTGCAGCAAGTACACGGTCAAGGAGGCCAGCAATAGCGTTTCTCTATAATAGCAGACAGCCTGCTCGTTCCCAAGGGCATCACCTACAAGGCTATCCTGCCTCACTTAACACACTTGCAGCGACAATGGCAACCGACATGCTCGAAGCTGAGCCTTTTCAGGCCGCCGAGGTGAGTCGTGCCCCAAATTTCACGCCGCACAGGGCTGATGTTCAGGCACAGGATCAACACTCGGACTCAGCGCCCGAAGTCCAAACTCCTCTGACCAAGTCTGGAGTTGGACATATCACAAACCCGGAAGCGGTACGTCCGTTCTTTTTTGAACACACATAGCTGGCTCTGACGAAGACTCAGGCAGAGGCGCGCTTCAGAAAGGGCGACCTGGTGCGCAAGAAGGCATCGGCGTCCAGTGGTGCTCAAACCAAGGCTGCCTACTCGATTTATGCGAGTAGGAACAGCCCGCATGGGTGGGTCGAGTATCAGCTCAAAGACTTCTATACGCACAAAGTGGACGGTACTTGGACACGCGAAAAGGACCTGAAGGCCGGTGCCTGAGCAGTGGTACCATCAATGTGGCTGAGTTCACCGGTGTGCCACAGGCAGCTGAAATCGTCATGCGTGCAGTCAATTATGGGAAGGGGCGTTCAGGGCGTTGGGGGCTGAGTCTTACGGATACGGCGATCGCTTTTCTCAACCTTGCTTTCTCAACACTACTTACACTCCTCTGTAGCCACAACCTGTTAGCCACACCTCACTCTTAATGCCTGCTTGAGTGATTTTTCATTGTGCGCAAAGAACTCGCCCATCTTCTTTTCGTCACTTCTTCGCTTCCGTGCGGGTCGCGCTTGCCTTTCTGCCTTGCAATGACCCCTCCTCGTACTATGACTGGGGATACGTTCACCGATGAGAAAACACCTCCATCGCCAGCATCTCCAACGAATACCGACACGACCTTAAGAGGAGATGCTTTCATCGAGATAGCGGACGAGAATAGCGATTGCCACTCTACCATCTCGCCCTCCGTGCGAACGAACGAAGTTGATGTTGAGAGTGCACAGCCTCGTACGTTTCTCCATGCGACCGTTTTGGTCCCCAAAAATATATCAGCAACGAGTCTCCGCGCACCAAAGATAGCCAATATAGAGCATCGAACGTTGTGGGATGACCGTTTCTGGTCTGACGGCTCGTATGCATGACATGATTATAGCATATGGCCAGACCACTCCGGGGGCTAGAAGATTAAATCTACATTGAGCAACACTGATACATCTTCAGAAACCGAGAACAAGCGGCCTGGAGTCTTACAACGCGTGACAGGTTCATTTCGCTCAGAGCCAGACCCCATATTCGTGACTGAAACTAACACCCGAACACGTAAGCACGCCAATGCCTCCCTATATCGCTTAGTGCTGATGACGGTCAGTGGAAGGAACACCCAACGGCTTCCCAAGGCTTGCGGCGTTCCAAGCTAGTGACACAAACTTCGCGCTTTATCGATCGTTCAGTTACTTACACTCACGAGTCCTCCTTGATCTACAGGATGAGATTACCTCCTTAGAAGCAGAGCTTGATGAAATCGACCTGGAGGACTCTTTCGAAGACCAGCGTCGTCTGATGTCGAGGGACTACGATGCTAGCCAACCTCATGGTGAAGGAGCGCCTCGGAGCCGTCGAGTCATACTTCGCGAAATTAAAACCAAGCTATTAGAATATGGTATGCATACGCCGATAAGCAATCCGGGCACAGACAACTAAGCATGATACAGATGAGGTGCTAATGAAAGCAAGAGACCTTCAGTCTTTTCAAAAGCCGTCAGATCGAAACTATCGTAGCCTACGACGCTACTGCTACAAGAAGAAACCTCTTTTGGATGAAGGGCTTGAATCCATTCGTACTAAAGAGGATATGGTCACCATCCACAACGGCCGCGAATGGGCGACCTTTGATGGCGGTGTTGAGACCGTCATAGGACAAACAGACAAGTTCCTCCAGAAGGTGTTTCGAACGAAAACACCTCCGCTACAGGTATGCATATTATGTTCTTGAAAGTGAAAAGACACACCACTTACCTATTTTGCAGAAGTACTTCCGAACTCCGGAAGCACAAGAGAAGACCACCGATCCCGATATCTCATATTACAGCAGCTCGCGTATTGACAAGCTGGTCAACATCCTAATAACCTTCATCATATTCTGTCTGCTCGTGATACCAGTCATCACCATGTACCAGTTGACGAACACGGCTGCACACATTGAGGTTGACCCTTCGGGCAATACGACTACGACGAGCACCATCGATACTAATAAGCGAGACACTTTCAATGCGGTGGGTGTGTTAATGGTCTTTACTCTGCTGTTCAGCGCCGCAATGAGTCTACTGACGAAGGCGGCGAGACACGAACTCTTCGCGGCGTCTGCCGCATATTGTGCAATCCTGGTTGTATTCATTGGGAATTTCACTGGACCTGGCAATTGACCGTTCCTCATGAGAATAACAACGACGAAATGATAACGGTCCTAATGACATCTATATACTCCATCTAGCTTGTGCGTTTTGAAATCAAGATGACTACAAGCTTCTCGTGGGTATGATGAAGAATGGGAGTATCTACTCGGTTCTGCTCAGTTGTCCCATCATACAGACCCATGAGAGTCTCTTCCCAAGACTCATAGGTTGCTTTGCCAACTAGACGAATGCACCAGTAAACATACGGGTGGAGATATAAGCCTTAATGCGGAACTACCCATTCAGCCGATGCACCGCTTAATGTCAGTCCTTTGGCGGGAACGAGAACATGAGCAGCCGCGCTGCTGACGACCGCCTTATCTTGGGAGCAGAAAGAGCGAATCACGTATACAGAGAAGTCGCAGTGGTTTTCGCGCGGGTCAGGCCACCTCGCTTCTGGTTTGCCATGCCTTTCGGTAAAATCAAGCGCCCCGAAATCACTTCGTGAGTAGTCGGCATCGGGGCTTTCGGGAGCTGCGACTGTGCGAGAATAGGTAGGATTTGACCTGTATCTCATTGCTTACGCTGCTAAATCTCTCTGTGAGATGTTCTGGCAAACTTATATATCGCATCGCATATTTCCCCTCTTTTCATTTGCATAAACCTTGAAAGCCTTCAAATCTTCTACAATGTCGTCCTTGACAAGCGTCTCCACCGTACAACCAGACGCGTTTTCTCAAGCACCCGAAGACATCGTCGTACCACTCCATAGTCGTGATGACACGAATCAGAACAGGAATATCTCCATCGAATTCACTATGCGTTTTGATGACGTCCTTGATTCACAGAAGCTAGTCGACTCGCTGTGGAAATTGCTCGAGAAACCTGGCTGGAACAAAGTAGGAGCGCGATTGCGTCTAAACACCACAAATGGTAAACTCGAATACCACAGTGAGTTTCTCCAAACGAACTGCATGTGAGATACGTACTGAGTTTACATCCCCACATCTAGTACCACCACGTTACACCAAGGAACGTCCACCAGTCAATTCTACTCAGAAGACGTACGACATGAGGTTTGAAGAGCATCCCATCGGCCGCAAATTTCCGGTGGTAGACGAGCACAACGACAGTGTCCAATCCTTTGACGTACTAGACTCGCTTCGTGAGGTTACGCAGACGGAAAACAGCACTACGGTCCTCGATGACTGGATCCATACAGATAAAGCACAGCTCGGCTTGCACGTTGTGAGCTTCAAGGATACTACGCTTGTCACGCTCACTTGGTTGCATACGCTTCTTGACGCGATGGGACGACAAGCCCTTCTAAAAGCGTGGCAGGCGGTCTTGGAGGGCAGGGATGACGATGTGCCAGAGTTCTGGGGGTTTGATTTCGACCCACTGGCACAGCTTGGAGCGCCTCTCGGCGAAGACAAAACAACAGTGGAGGATAAGAACACTCCTGATGTGGAAGTGCAAGAGAAGAAACAAGAATCCCCATCTCTAGCCTCTGAAACAAAAAAAGCACCAACCGGCCGAATGCTCTACGTGCCCGCATCTTACATGGCTCGCCTGCGTACTAGGGCAATGAACGATCTCACCTCCCTCGATGCCTCACAAATCACTTACAACACTTCAAACTCTTCCGAACCCAAGCCCTTCCTTTCCGACGGTGATATCTTTTCCGCGTGGTTGGTCAAACACCTCGTATCCGCCGATGCCACTCTTCTTGAGTCCCCGCCCGTTCGACCAGTCATATTCGTCAATGTACTGGGAATGCGAGACGTGCTGTCGACATCTTCATCCAAGTACAAAGTCTTGATCCCAAGAGGAACAGCGTTCATCGGGAACGCAGCAACCGGCATCGTCTCTCCGTTCAGTCAAAAGCAATTTCTGGACATGCCACTAGGCCATATTGCTGCTCGTATACGCAAAGACCTAGTTGAGCAAGGAAACAGGGAGGCTGTCGAAGCTTCTCAGCGTGCGAGCCGTATCGAACAACAGACCAACATGGCACCACCGGATGCGCAAATGGCGCCAGCAGTGTTCGTAGTCTCTAATTGGGCAAAGGCCAAGTTGTTTGAAATCAACTTCAGCGCTGCAGTTGTTCCTCGCACCGACAACCAGGGCGGGCCTGTTGGTAAGCCAACTACTGGCAAGCCCACATATATCCATGTGTACGGCACCGACAAACGGGCAACTGGTTCCGGTGTAGGCCCAGGTGGTATTGGAAATTGTGTAGGTAAGGACGCGAGGGGAGGATATTGGCTTGGAGGAATCTGTTCTGGAGGGTGGGCGGAGAGGTTTGAGAAGGCTGTGTTGAGCGATGCATAGACCAGCAAATCGATCACAACACGCGAGTAATGAACGCTGACATACAAACACGTCAAAGACTGCATACCGCATTTGGTATCTAGGGGTAGAAGCGACTACTTTGTATCGTATCAATTTCATACTGGAGTCTCTTGCCCAGTAGGTAGAGATACCCGACCTAATTACGCCATCGCTAAACATGAATTTCGTGGGAAAGCATTATACTAAGGCTGCAAACATCCACCTTTCAAATCCGTGCTTGTTTAATGCCAGGTTGAGGAGGAGAGGATTACGCAAGCCACTGTGTCTGCACCTTCAGTAGATGCACGCTCAATAACGAGCGCCGTCAGCCGCCATCTCGTTGTGCTGCTGAGCGGCCTTCTCCTGTTCGAGCCTGTGACTTCGGCGATAGTCCTTAATTTCGTGGAAAGAGGCGGTGATAGCGTGCAGGAGGCTAAGAGCTGGTTAAGACTTGCTACTAGAACTTTGAAATATGGAGAACTTACGTGCTGATGATGGCCAAGATGAAAGTACCCCAAGGCAAGTTGCAAGAGTCATCGCGGCTTGCTGTCTCGCCAGTAATGGTGCTAGGGTTTGTGCCGTTCGCAAGACGCCTAGGGTTGTAGCAGTGCCTGGCGCCAGCGAAGCCGCCATCTGGGCGTGTCAAAACAGTGACGGCGATGAATGCACCGACAAAGAGCAGGTCGAGAAGTACCCAGATCCACCTCAATGTTCTACCTCCGGGGTTGGCGGATTTCTTGATGCAGGACAGCAGCATAGTGATCAGGGTATATAGCACAGCAGCAGCAAGGATGCCTTCCACAGCGCCATAGGCACCGTTCACGCCGCGGCGTGTCTTGACACTGTTGACGAGACGGTAGACTTTGTATAGGCGCTGACTGAAGATGCCAAGAGAGACGGCGGACGAGACAAGCTGAAGAACGCGGGTGAGACGCAACAACCAGCGGTAGAAAGAGGTATTCTTGAGCTTGTCGGGAACAAAACGCGTGAGAAGGCCGGTTTGCTCTCGCTTGTCAACGGCGTGAGAGTCGACTGGACCGTCAATTGGCTGCTGGGCACGAACCATGATGAAACGCTTTTAGGTATTGACGTTGATGGTGATGCTGGACTGGAGATGTTCGCTGACTGATATTCAAGGCAGTTGGAAAGTGTGTTGGGCAACTGTCTTATAGCGCTGGAGACGAGGTAAGTGCGACGTGACACGAAGGACCCTTCTTGCTCGTTTGACACAATCGTCACTCATCGTCACTTATCGTCACCGTCATTGTCAGCCACCCTGCACCCGAACCAAACCTGGAACCGCGGATATGTTCTTGCGCTTGTTGCACAAAGACATGTTGCCTTTACAAAACTCTTAGGCGCGTCATGGTATTACCTAGTTCTCAAACGTTAAGCCACAATACAGGTATGATTGGTGGCTGGGGAGCGCAGCACGTGACGAAGCTAACGTGAAGCGCGTCACTCAACATCTTTCCCATGCTTTTTCTTGAACGTGCTCCAAAATCGCATGCAAAGAGTCCAGTATAGGTCAGACCCTTGCTGATCTCCAATGGGATTTTCAACGTGGCTGCAGCATCGCTCGATCCCAGAGCGGATGATTGCAATATGACGAGCCCCACCCGCCGCCAACGCTTGCTTTTCGAGTCGATCATGGTGAAGCTTGTTTCAGCAGCCTAAGCGACAGGTGAGCTAAGATTCCGCTAAACGATTTTCTCACGAACACCCGATTGCGCGAGCAGTAAGTGGCTGTCGTAGGAAAGGGCTCTAGATAATCGCCCCGTCGATCCCATTGCCGCTATCCGAATCCGAATCCGATCAATCCAATGCTAGGTGATCTGCCTACGACGTACTGCAAAATAAGCCACGAGACTCATACTATATAGCATCCGTCATACATACTCGGCTCCAGCTTCTTGCAATGTTTAGCACCACTCTTCTAGACGACTTCCAAATCATTGTAGCGTATCTTGTGGCTTGAACGCTATCATCACGTTAATGCCGCCCAGCGACCTAAATAATAGCAACTCACGGCGCGAACACATTCATGCCCGCTATGTCGAGGAACATTCCTTTTGGTAGACCGAGGAGTTCGGGTATCGTTTGCGTTGTACGGACGCGAAAAGCGGCTGGGAATATCACGTCGCGCTCCCAAAGGTGGTAAAATACTGGCGGGGTGGCTGGGCTGGCCTGTGGAATGCAAGCTATGGTTTAGATATCCGTGACAAAACTTTCGAAATCAAGCTCCTTCCATATCTCTTCGTTGAGATAAAACTGTATTCTACCAATTCTTTGCCCTACTCTTTCTGTACTCCAATAGCGAACCCATTGCTCGATATAGCTGCTCAGCCCACGCAGGTAGTGTTCTGACTTTGCACGGTCAACTGGATACAGCTGCTCGAAATCAAGGTGAGCTAGACCTTGTATCTTCCGTGAAGGCACTGCTGATAGGCTTAAAACCTCATTACCGTTCCCATATGCCAATGTACTGACGAATATTGCGACAGTACTAATCCGAGTAACAGGCAGATTCTGATCCTTGTTTGATTGATCATTTGAACGAGCATCTGAAGGTGGGTCGAGCCAAATCTCCAAACCCCGGAATATTTTCGATACTTGCCTGTCAATGCACACATTCGTTTGTGGATAGAGCAAGAAGTAAGATAGTGGGGCTAGTAGTGCTTCCGGGACGAAGCTGCCCATGGACAGATCAAACATATTTGGCCCCATATAGTCGTCCCAACCCGTTTGCAGGGCCCTTTGTCCTTCTGTACAGCATGGAATAATATTGATGTCTAGCCTTTCGATGGTTTCGTCAAGCTTTCGTACGGGAATAATGCGTCGTGTTGGCCAGAGCCAATGGTCGTCAACAACCGCGATGTCGATTTCGAAGTTTCTTGGCGCTTTTGATAGGTATTCTGTAGTCTCTATTTGTATTTTCCGATTGACAAGTAGTAGGTCTATCGCTTTCGGACGTTTCGAGTGATCCGGGCTGAGTACGCAGTACAGATTGCGGTCAGTGGAGTTCCACCAGCTGGTTCGATAGCGCTTGCCGTTCTCTGACTGCACAATCGGTGACGACAGCACAATGTGGATGATGTTGAAGAGTAGCTCACTCGGTAGATCCAGTAGGCCAACCATAGCCGCTGTCTGCTAGAGATTGCGACAGTGTCGTGTGAACGAAGGTTTACGGGCTGTTCGCGGCGCCTCGTGTACCATGACCTATGATGCGTCGGCCCCACTTGAGCCTCGGGCCGTTCGAGCTGGACAGCTTCCACGCATTGCTCACATCTCACCTAGGCACGGACAGTTCTCGATGCTGTAGGAGTCACCTCAAATTACGCCGATGATGCTGCTGCGAGTAGTCCTCCAACAAGACTGCGCATTCGTGGATATGTTACTTGGATGCACTCATCACTTGTGGCGCAAGACCTGCTTCTGGTTAGCGCAAATGACTCATTTTTACTCACCTGGCCTGTGCCTCACATATGAGGCTCAGCAACCTCCAGAGTCATACATTCCACCCGATCGGGAAGTAGACTGATACAACAGGTGGAGTACAGTGTTTGGTCGTATTTACTATACAAGACATAAGGTCTCTGGAGAATCACAAGAGCACAGGACCATCAATACCGAAGTTGTTTATCACGCGTTCAATATACCCCTTGCAATAGCTTTCCGTGCATCTTTTACATTCAGATTATGGCGTCTACCGAACAGTCTTTACTTCCAGCTAGGATGTCAACGACATCATACGACACTGCATTGTGCATTATTCCACCGATCTCTCAATGCCGTCACGTTGACCATTTGCGGGAACTTTACGACAAGGCTTACGGAAGGGCAAGTCCTGCACCAACTCATGATACAAGAAACATACATTGACTTTTCTTTCTCTCATCTGCAGTGGCCACCGCACGTCAACCTTGTTTACCCTTTCGTGGCACCTGAGCAGCTCCCAAGAGCACAACAACAAATTCGAGAGTATTTGGCAGAGAATCTTGACCAAGAGACTCCGATCGACATAGAACTAGTTCAAGCGGGTGCATTCATTCAAAAGAACAACATGAACGTTTATCTTACCGACGACGGTGGCGAGGATGTCGACTCGCCTCTCGTTTCACTGCGAACGATCGTACTACGAGCTTTAGGACAGAGATCTGCTCGATCTACCGTACATCTTACTGTTGGCCAAACACAGGGCAATCCTTTGATATCGCAGTCGTACCTCCTACGCAAGGCGCGTTTACTGCCGGATATGCGGTTCCGCGTCGGCACGCTTGCTATCTTGATTCGCGAAAGGACGACTGGAACACTCTCAACGGATCATATGCGTCTGTATGGAACCATCGATATCGGCGCTCCGAGTGACATCTGGAGACCTCATAGCTCGGACTATTGGGTGAAAACACCGAACTCAAATCTGCCTACGCTTCAATCTGATAGCGATGGAGGTCAACAAGAGATTATATCTGACGATCACGAGATGCTAGCTGAACCTGCTCTCTGCTTTGATCCAACTGAAAACAAATGGTCAGCATACACAGATGGAGATAAGGGCCAGACTGGAATCAGAGAACTCACTGTTTCGAGCTACAACGTCTTGGTGGACACCGAGTATCCGCCAGACCATGATCGCGACCCGTTGATCGTCAGCACAATCTTATCCAATTCAGCGGAAGCCGATGTACTTGTGCTACAAGAAGTTTCCGATGATTTCCTTAGCTACCTACTGCGGAATAGTCCCGATGTCATGCAGATCGCCCAAAGATATCCGTTTGTTTCACATGGACCACCCTGCCAGAACGATCTCGGTCCCCTTCCTAGTCTACGGAACGTCGTTATCCTAAGCCGCTACCCGTTTTCCTGGCACTCAGTCTCTTTCCATCGCAAGCACAAGAGCGCTCTTATCGCACGATTTAATGGCGTTGCGACATCCAGCTCTGTGGAGTCGGAGGGTTTGGTTGTTGCTGGAGTGCACCTGACTGCGGGTCTTACTGACGGCTCAGTTGCTACCAAGAAATCACAAATGGGAACTCTAACACGTTACTTGGAGCGACACTACAAGCGTGAATCATGGGTTGTTGCTGGAGATTTCAACCTCGTCACATCGACCTACACCATCGACTTATCGGTCAAGAACCAGTCCATATCCAGCGAGACTGTATCGACACTATCGGCGATCGAGGACGAAATCCGCGAAGCCGGATTATCTGATGCATGGTCTGTCGCGCGTGTCGAAGGGGTTGACCAAACAAGTGCTACTGAGTCTGGTGACCTGTTCGAGGGTGAAGAAGGAGCGACATTCGACCCCCAGAACAACCGGCTTGCTGCTGGAACTACGACCACTTCCCACGATCGCCCGCAACGCTATGATAGGATATTATTCAAGCCGCAAGAATCATTCCGCATAGTTCACTTCAACCATTTCGGCGTTCCGGAAATGATCGATGGCGAGCAGGTCGTTGCTAGCGACCATTATGGTGTAAGAGCAAGAATTCAGTCGACGGATGCTGCGGTATCGAATGATGTGAATAAGGATCTATCATCAAAGCAGCTTATCATCGAACACAGGCGAGCAGTGGGGGTCCTGGCAGACACCACGAGTTTACACTCCGTGCTTGAAACACATGGTATGTTCCCGAACGAGAAACAAGCTGGCGAATGGCGCGACGCATTCGCAAGCCTTCAAAATGTCCTACTTGGTACATCGGAGGATTCAAACCAAGCGCAGCCTGACATACCGTTGGTCATAGTACCAGTTGGCTCGTATGCACTGGGTGTATGGACGGCAGACTCAGATATTGACTGCCTTTGCATTGGAACCATTAGTTCCAAGACATTCTTCAAGCTTGCTCGGCAACGGCTTTCCAAAGCCGAGAGTCAGGGTATTAGGATCTTGCGTAAGGTCGAAGCTAGTACTGGCACCATGCTTGAGCTATCCGTCAATGAGATACTCATGGATTTACAGTACTGTCCTGCCCCTCAAGTTGTCGAAAGGTAAGTTTCATTTCGCTGTTATCCCGCAATAGTTCTGACACATAGCAAATAGGTGGCACGAGTTCCGTAATATTCCAGCATCCGATCCGATCTTCAACCTTTCTGTTCTTTCACTCCGCAAACTGAAGCCGTACCGCGATCTACTGTACATACAACGTACACTGCCATCACTTCCCGCATTCCGCCTAGCGTATCGCTGTATTAAGTTATGGGCTGTTCAGCGTGGAATCTACAGTGCAAAGTTCGGTTTTCTTGGTGGCGTCCACATCACTCTCATGTTGTCCTGGGTATGCAAGAAGCTTGGACATGACTATGGCTCAGTCACGGCTGCAGACATAGTCACAAGCTTCTTTCATCATTACGCTCACTTTGACTGGACAAACGACATCGTCTACGATGCCATTTACCACAAAAAGCGACCGCGTTACTACCGCAGCACAAGAGAACCAATGGTCGTGCTGGGTTATCATGCACCCAACTCCAACATTGCTCATACGGCTACTGTTCCCGGTCTGAAATTATTAGTCAAGGCCTTCAGGAACGCTGAGCAGCAGCTATGCGAGCCAGGCATTACGTGGGAGACGTTCTTCGGTGCCCCCTCAGCTCCGAGACTGGAATTGAACATCCCGCATGGAGTTGCAGACTTTCTCCACGCTTACAACAATTTCATCAAGATTGACATGCAGTTTTGGGGCCGAACGCTAGCAAAGGGCAAGAGTTTAGTCGGTTGGGTTGAGTCTCGGTGCATATCCCTCGTCATAGGTAAGCACTCTAATACATCTACTCCTTATTTAATCGATATACTGATCTTGATAGACATTCACAAAGCCATACCCAACTCCGAAGTACAGATCTGGCCCGCTCGCTTCGCTGATAGCGACTCAAAAGATGTCGACGATGGTAAAGATTACCAAGGTTGTTACCTAATCGGACTCTCGAAAGCTGAGAAGGTTGCTTCTGCAGCAAGTGCGGAGGAGAAGCAGGTGGCCAAGCAAGCTTTGGACAAGGTACTGGATCGTTTCCTAACGCAGTTGCGCACCGACGAGAAGAACTTTGACCCAAACATCTCGTGGATTGATGCATCGCTAGTAAGGTCTAGCGAAGTCAGGGATTTGCAGCTGGATGACCGGGAGTGGGGTATCTATGCCACGGAATTGGATTCAGACTCGGATGACGAAGAAGACATCATCGACGAAGACACCGAAGATGCTGATGACACAAAGCCTCAGCGTGCGATACCTCAGCGTCCAAAGCCTACGTCGAAGCCTTTATCGAGTACCAAACTACGTCCTGCATCCGACGTTCTCAATCGGCTACGTTGGGATCCGAGTCTTGATCCGAGTGATTACATTATTGGATATGAGGACCGTTTCCTGGGCGCAAAGGAGACCGGACTTGAGAAATGGAAGACTGAGCAAACAGATGAGGAATTCATACCTCAGCACCGGATACTATATTTCAAGAGGAAGGGTGGTGAGGATGGAAGGGGTGATATAGTATGGGAGAGGGCGACGAGGATAGACAAGATCTTTGGAAGCGGACTGGGTAACGGAGATTGAGTCGGGTCATGAATACAATCTACAGATACACCTGCATCATTAGAGACTATGTTGTACCTGTAAACTGCCTTGTATACAATGTGTGAAGCCGGCCTGACAGTTCCTTACTCCGATATACCAATGTAAGCAGGTGGGATCTGGTGATATGTCCGAACACCATCGCTCACGCAGTCTCACTTGCACTCTCCATTGCTTTGTAGAGAAGTATGGAGTTGCCGGCAACATTTGCATTCATGGATGTGGACAAGGTGAGCATAACAGTTCACCTCCATCACCTCGCGCTACCAAAATCTTACCGACTTCTCTCCATGACATACACACGCTCTCAACGTTGTTCGATCCGGCCCGCTTCATACGAAAATAGTCCACTCAGATCGCTCGACTACAGTCTCAAGACCTGCCCTGTAGCTGCAGCCTCTCCCATCAGAAGCAAGCCCCCCAACTAGAACATCATTCATAATCCTGTAGTCGCGCGGCTCTTGAATTCAGGCGATACAACCTTCTTCGTTCTCCCCGGGCAGTCAGACTACTAGAAGCGAAGGCTGCCAATGTCTCGGCGCTTGGCGTTGGTTTCGGATCAGTCGTCAGAGTCCAGATAGCACGATGCACGGTAATCCAGGATACCATCATCAACGCGAGCTTGCGTTGACGGTTGAGATACACAGGAGAACATATGCTTCTAGGCTTCTAGGGCTTACCAACGGTCGCTCTTCGGATATTGGACCCTGGCATCGATGCACGCGACCAAGATGGGATAGCGGATCGTGGGGAAATCTAATTGCAGCTTACTGTAAGTTTCAGCCAACAAACCTCATCCATAAGATTGCGATCTCCTTAATATGAGAATCGGCTCTGGACCACCTGTAGCGGATCCGCATAATCGCAGTCTCTACAGGGTCGGCAGCAAAGCATCTGGACAAAACGCCTGGACACTGATGTAGATTGCGAGGCTGTTTGTGTAACGCGGAAGGTGTTCGGCGGCCGAAACGCTAGTTGCCCGAGCAAGGCGCAGGATGTGAGGCGTCGGTAGTAGGTTTGAGAGAAGGCTTACCGACCTTGGAAGCCCCACAAGGAGCGGATCGTTGTTTGATCGATGGTTTGTGTCTTCTTCAGTCTTGTTGAATGGTTGCGGAACGGATGCTTGGTCAAGTGCAGCTTCCCGAGATGGATAGAAGGGGCGTAACATTGAACGCTAGATCGTATTCAGTCAAGCCTCAATCTGACATCATGCGGCACATGCCAACTTCCAGTACTCTGGGACTTGGAATAGTGACGATATCACAGCTTCAATTACCTCAACAACGACCGGTGTTGTCGCAAATAGAAAAAATATGATTGGGTTGTCCCTGAAATTTTCAAAAATGCCACTTCGAGGCCCCAAACGCCGCTGATCTTGCAGACCAGATGCTATCTATACATTCCAAAGGACACTTCTCTGGTCCTTGGCATTGACCCAAACATACTCCGTACACCTTGGGTTCGCCTTGCTCTTTCCCAAAGTGACGGCAAAGAGATTGATCTCCATCCACACGGGTCGCATGCCCATGCGTTCCAGCCTCTCCCACCAAGTTCTAAACCGCCCAAAGTCTACATTACCGCCGGCGTTCGCGTTTTCGGTGTTGATTCCGTCGCCGAGATGGAGTTCGATCATGACCTGACCGATAGGCAGGACGGACTTTCCAGATGCTGTTTTCATGTTGTCGAAAGCGTTCATCATTGTGTCTAAAGCGTCGTATTCACTGCCTTCGATATCGATTTTCAGAATATCGATGTAGGTGTGGTTATTCTGCTTCATCAAACTGGGTAGAGTCCAGAATGGCGGCTCCGAGTCATGCTTGTCCTCCTTGCCTAGTCCGACCTTCTTGAAGAAGGTTCGATGGCGATGCTTCTCTGCGATTTGCGGGCCCCAGGCATCGACCGAGAAGTCGTAGCCCCAGATACGGGCGCTAGGAATACGTTCGAGCATTTCGGCTTCGAAAGAGGATTCACCGTTGATACCGAAGCTGTACATGACGAGACCGTCTTGTGCGTTCGATAGGGGCTCCTGTGATCCGATCGTCGCAGACGCGGACTTGGGGGCAGGAAGACTCTCATAGATGTTCATTCCGCAGACCCACTTTCCTCCGTCACCGAGTCGGCCAACACGTTGGATGTCATGAGGGCATGTCCATGTCGCTGGGAAGAAGTCCCAGATTGTGAATGGGTATTTTAGGAAGTCCATTGGGAAGAATGGAATCTTCGGGTTGTCCGGATGCTGCTTCGCCATCTGATCGCGGAGTTCAACGCTCTTCTTCCACGACTTTTCTGACAGCGCAGATCGGTCTTTTATCCATGCTTGGAGTATCGAGGAGGATTGTGAAGAGCCTGTTGATGGGAGGACAGGGAGATAAGGAAGTAGAGCCGTGCCAGCGGATTCTTCGTTGTGGAAAATGACGATGAGGAAAACGACCACGAATACTCCTGCGAATATACGGGCTAGGAGACTTGTAAGCAAGTTTACAATCAGAACTGATTTGATCGAACGTACCACCGAAAGACCGAAACATCGTGGCGGGTGAAAGAGTGACGTTGTAGATAGTGGGAGAGTTGAGTCGAGTCGAGGAAAGACCGTGATGTATAACCTCCGAGTTGAATCGGTGGAGGTAACGATCGCGTCAAGCGTACAAAAAAAGAGAAAGCAGGGTGAAGGGAGGAGGAAACAAGAATGAATTCAAGTTATCGGAAGACAAACGCGACATGTAAACCCTCAAACGACTCCGCCCCTAGTCCGGCTGCGTGATGTCGGTCCTTTAGAACGTGCCAAGGACGTGCGAAACGACAACAGCGGAACGACCAACAGTGTTACGTGTACATCTGCCGAGCGCTTATCACAACCAAACATCAGGCAATGCCCCGTTACAGATTTAGCGTTGAGGGAGCAAGAACGTCCAAGGACCCGTGCTGCCTCGATCATACGAAACCCCGCTCAAGCCGCATGCCGCTATCTTCGCACCATTGAGAGCGAGGGAGCGACTAGTGGATGACGGGGAAGTTCATTAGCCGCACAACGTACGATGAAGCGGCGGGGCACATGTGGGCCGTTGATCATCAAGTCTTGTTTCGGCCGTGTCTTTGTCTCGACGCTCTCCTGAACAAGGCGCGTGTTTCAGGACGTGCCTTCCAAAATCGCGTCGCAATGCATGATGTCATAGGATCTGTCTTCTACGAAAGGAAATGTGGGTATTGTTTGTGTAAATCGCTATTTCGCGATGTGTCTATCTTGGGTGTTGCTCCGCTTTACGGGAGGCTTGTTGATGATGATTATACAACATATTTCCCCGAGGTTATGTTTATCCTTAGCGCCATGCAAATAGACTAAACAGGAAAGTGGATAGTAATGAGATCACGATAGTGTCTTGTGAACGACTATTGCAGCCGCCACCAAAAGCAGACTGCAGGTGGTAAACACCGTATCGCGATGCGCTTCGCCTGGGCTGATAGTTAGTTCTTGGTCCTCGGATCTAGACAAAGTACTAGTGCTTACCTTCTTTCGTAGTGCTCAGGGCAAGCACAACAAAAACATTCAACGGAATTCGAAGAATGCCGTAAATGCTTGCTCTTGAGCCATCCTCAACGAGCTTGCTCTTCAGCGAGCCCATTGCAGGATAGTAAACTCCGCAGCACAACTCAAAAATGCAAAAGCACCACAATGTGAGGCGCTCGTCGCGGAAGTGGCCAGGAACAAAGAAGCACGCGGATGAAACTGCGAGGATGCCTGTAAGCATCTTTTGCGCCGACACAGGTGTTGCGGATGTGGAGAGATGTTTGTAAAGGAGGGAACCAAACATCATAGAACACATCAAGATGGCGAAAATGAGACCAAACGGAAGTTCTGGTAGATGTTAGCTCTGTGAACCCGGCTTCAGTTGGTTGGAGTATTGCTTACCGTCAGTTGAGCCCGCCAGTTTATGGCTGAGCTTCAACGCTGGGAATTTGAAGAAGATGAACAGAAAAAGAGACCCCTCGAAGAAGCCCGATACCAATGCAAGCATCATGATGTTGCGATCGCGCAAAATCGTTCGGAGAGCAGACGTGGCTGGCGGAGCTGGGGTAGCTTCCTCTTGCTGGAGCAGCCCTTCAGTCTCTGAAGCTCTGCGGCTGCTCGTCCCATAATTCTCTCCCCAGTACTTTGAGATAGCAAGGAAAGACAGACTCAAGCAGCCAATAGAAGCCATGAAGGGTGTCTTTGCCGTGCCTGTCATTCTAACCGCCCACTCTGCGAAGATACCCGCACCGATAGCCACACATGTGTTTGAAGTAGTCATCGTGCTGAATATCGCGCTCAGATGGGGTTCGCCGTCCGGAAGCATGAGCTGATTGAACTCAGCCACCATCCAACTTTCGAAGACGCTCCAAAGAACAGTTCCGCACACACCACCGAGGATGCGACCGAAGAAGAGAACGTAGATGTTGTCGGACAAGAGCGTGGCGCATGACAGGGAGTAGAGGGCGCAGTATCCCAAGCATGCTGTCTTACGCCCGTATCGGTCTGCTAGAGTGCCTACGAAAGACGCAGAGATTCCGGCGGAGATGAAGCCTATGAGAAACAGGAACGCGACTGTTTCTTCTGGAAGACCCTTTTCATCTATACTTTTGTTAGCATTCCAACCTCCAATATACAGGTCGGTCGAGTGCACCTTTGTAGATAGGATAGATATATGGTCCTTGCAGCCAGTCTGCAGCGTTGACCAGCAAATAGATAGGAAAGAAGCGCTTCTTCAACTTGCTTAGGCCCTCCAAATCAGGCTCTAAATGCTCGTGTTCATCCTTCTTATCTGTAGTCGCTGTCTCTACGACAGCCGCCTTGCGTGAGCGATGCGACTGGTAGAATGCGAGTGCATTGAGCAGCAGCGATCCAGCGAATGTAGCTCGGTAAAGGTCCATGTTGAATGTGGACTAATGTTGTTGAAAATGAGCGAAAGGCGTTGGTCGGTTGTTGTAAAGTGTATGTCCAGCAAACACGGAGGAATGTAGAAGTCCAAGGTCTCAATGTGTGAAGAGGTTGTAAATGGCACTAGTTCCGGAAGGGTCCGGTGAATGGATTGGATTGGAATGCTGTTGTCCCGTGCTAACGCCGCCAACATTCCCAGACCAGGAGATACGAACACGGTATGCTAACTTGCAGCGGTTGCAAATAGATCGTCCGCCTCGTGAACCCGGACAAGCTGATCCCAATGAAGGCCTGCGGAGCGGCACAAGACTAGGTACCATACATGGGGTCATCCTCGCGGTACGGGCTGACGATAGGCTTAGACGGATTGCGCGTCCATAAGTGGAGTGACACACCACGGCGTTTCTAAAATGTGGGACGCTGGAACGCGACAATGATGCAAGCCCGTGCCCAGGTCTTGGGTGTGCGGGGTCAATGCACCGTCAGGGGCGGCAGCAGGCAGGAACAACCGACGGCGGAGCTGCCGCGTGAAACTCAGCTATGACGATAACTGCTCACAACCACCATCAGTAAAATCGGCTTTGCATATTTGCGCTGTCACAACGATATTGATGCTGGAGTTGAAGCGTCGGAAGCATACTCAGAGATCATGCATCATATATATATAACGTCTTGTGCATTGATTCCCTGCACATCTTGCTATCTCTAATCCTATCTGACATTCCCTTAAAGATTGCCATCACGACCCATCTTGCATACGAGCCCACCTTCCACTTCAACCACCAGACGAGCAGTACTGCGCCTTCGATCTCAATCCTTCAAAAAGGCTCCGTTCCAATGCGCGAACCTTATCGAGACAAACCTTACATGCCAGCACCTCACAGCCAGGGCATCTCCTACCCCCGGTGTGAACGGCCATGCAAAATACGCAATGGTCTCCGCCGCCGGTCTGAAGGCGCCACGCTGTGCTCTTGTAGATGCAGCTCTGTTGGACGCAGGGGTGAGACATCAGAACAACCATGCCATGTGCCATACCTCCAGGCTTGGGAGTAGGTGGGCCACTGCTGAGCGGACTAGGAAAGGCTTTAGTAGATATATCAGGTACGAAGCAAACAGGCCTACATACCTCTCGTACACTTCAGGGTGTCGCACACGGTAAGCGGCCTCCTCCTTCTGCCATGTGGTATAGGCCTTGCCCAAGAAGTACTGCCAACTTGACTCGTTAGGCTTGCGTTGCGGCTTGACAGGCGGTGGACTTGCGCTACGGACTTCTTGAGTCTCAGCGCCATGACTTGTATTACGTGTGTCACCAAAGTTTTCTTCGCCTGCACTGCGGTTCTCTTCCTCAGTCGGAATGTCGTCGGTCTGAAACTTCCTGCGCCAGTAGGAGCGATCGTATTGAACACGATACTCTGGATCTGAAAGCTTCTCAAAAGCTTCGCGGACGCGGCGGAAGACCGTGGCGTCTGCTATACCTGATTTGTCTGGATGGTGTTTCTTAGCAAGATCCTGGAACGCCTTCCTAATGGCTCCAGCCGAAGCCCTAAGTTCGAGCCCGAGATCAGCATAGTAGTCCTTGAAAGAGTCAGAGGGCATGGCTGCACAAGTTTGGAAGAGCAGCAAATGAATCAAGACGTCGATCACAGTGAAGGATGGGCTGTGAGTGATTGCGAGTACTTCCGAATCTAGTCAAAGAGAAGGAGTGTAACCTTGAGTAGACCCGATCTATCTCCTGCAAAGATAACCGTTTCCGTTCGCTTATCTCAGTACGGATAGATGCCTGTCAGGCACCAACCATACAAATCATCACGCCTCTCTTTCTGGCAGGCACGCCAGGTGTACAGGACTGAGAGTACCGGCGAGCGAATTTCGACGATTCCATTGGTTCCGCGGCTGTTATCACGTAAAATGTGGGTCATGCTGGTTGTACAGGCAATGACTGTTCGAGATAATGGCGCGATTCAAAGGCGGGGAAGAGCTCCGTGTGTAGGCATTGCCTTAGGTGCGACAATGGTATTTTGGGCGAACAAATCGGTTCTTTTGTCACGATGTCGCGGAGTCATGTGGTGCCGACGCACTACTCGAAGGGTCCACGCCACATAAACCGTTGTGACATACTTAGAATATCTTGCAGAATCATATTTACTTCAGCGTGGATATCGCGCAGCGTCTCTCTTTTGCCGCGTGCTGCACTATTGCTGGTAAGCTTGTTCTATCATCGCGCCTCCAGTAGGGAAAGAGGTCATTTGCCTGAGCCAGATAACGTGATCGGAGTAGTTATAGTATGTAGCGTGACCACGCGATACATTTTCCGCTCGTTGTTGGCGTAGCAATGCAGGCTGGAAGAATGCACTAACTGCGGAACACTGACCGAAATATTGCTTTCATTGTGGATAGGATCAGTAGCAATGATGGTGCATGAGACGAAAGCCTTTCCGGTTGGATCACATGTCTTAATTGGTGAAGCGTGATCTATTGGGTGCTACAGACTTGAACTTGGGGAAGGCGGATGTGGCAGAGACCAAAACGGAAAACTGTACTAGGTATGAACATAATCACACTTCATTCGTAGGCCAGCCTGACGACCGAGCGAGCCTCATTTAGATATCCACGTCAAGCTGGGAATGATGAAGGCATATCATCAACCCCATCAATACTCCTCGCAACGCTGACTCCTCCTTGAACGATCGTGCAAACAGGATTCTCAATCTCACAGCATTAGACGCATCAACTGGGAATCACGTTCACTCTTCGTCCCAAGTCCTCGTTACCGCTGATCTATCCCATGGTGATCCTCGTCTTGTACCCAGCATAGTTCAACTTGACCCTCACTTCACCAGTTGTTCATTTGCTACCATCGTGTAAAAAAGCACGGTCAGCTTTCGTGAAGGAAATACTTTATCATCAAGTCCTTATTTGGATGAATGCGGTGTAACGATAACTCTGTATACCCAGCTCTTTAGAACACGTTGGCCAGTGTTTGTAAGTGAAGAATACGGATGACGGATTCCGGTAAGAGATCGCTCCGTGTGCCACTGAGACGTGACGAATCTAGGTAATCAATGGTGGACCCTGGTTTTGACCGCCCTCATTGAGAGTTTACGAAACTTCTTGGCCAGGTACAAGCAAAGAACAACCTATCCCGCCATAGCACGAGTACTAAAAGATTTCCTGGAATTTTGAGATATGGTGGACAAGTATTACTCCACTTTCCGGATCATCTTCCCTATCTAACACCGACCCTCTAGTTCAACTGCCGGAATGATCACTTTACTCATTCGCGAACCACATCTTCGTGATACTACGCGCAGATGAGTACACAAAGATATTCTGTTCAAACGATCCCCAAGAATAGCTCTTCACTGTAAGCGAATACATAGCGATACGGTGGATTTGACGGCTTAGCAACCTAGTATTATTAAGGACTACGTTACTGTCCTTTAGACTGGCAACGTTCCTGACCTACAGTATTCACCTGATGGCACTTTATCCATGTCAAGTGTCATCAACTCCCAGTATCATCGATCGATTGTCCTCTACAGACTCTGAGGACAATCAGAAGATCCGATCTCGTTGAAGATTGTTTTCTGCGTCATCTTGGAACTGTTTCATCACAAGTGGCCAGACGGCGCGCGCTACACCCTTGAGCGTGACGTGATCAATAGCATCCATCGCTTTTGTCAGTATACCTATTCCTTGCGCAGATTTCTCACAGAATACTATATTGACTTCGCCAAACGGTGACTGCACTCCGCAGGAAGAGCAGTACAAAACAGATTCCATGAAAGATGTTTTGATTGGTGTTTTAGCCCGCCGTGACCTTCCAAAATACTTTTCCCGAACATTGAACCCGCGGGAATTTATCGACTTCAAGGAGCCTGACACGACCACAATGAAGTCCACGGGGTAAGGGATAGTGAGAGTCAAATGATCAAAACACAGCTGACACTGCTACTAGGCCTGGTGGAAGGAAAGGTCTCAAGCACCGCTGGGCTTCAATGTAGGCGCCACAGGATTGATTCGGTCCGATTGAGAGACCTCCGAGAACAACAGATAGATAGCAGTGGGGTTAACATGCCCCGGTTGGCTAGGTAGTACATGTAATGTACTTCTCAGTGGAGGATTGGAGCGTATTGAGGCACGTATCTCAAAGACTCCGCTTCAAGATGCTCCTTGTGTATGTCAACCTTTCCAGTCGGCCACGAGTACAAATTCGCCAACTAAATGAGCAAAGATTGCCTCAGCTATCTCCTTCTCAGCCTCATTTTTCTCACCCGTAGTTTCTGCGATGCGTCGTCTCCTCTTTGTTTTTTGCGGAGGTTAATCCCGCAATCATGGCGTAACTCGGCAAGCTCACGGGTGCGACTACAAAGCAACAGACCTTCATTCTTCACTCGTATTATGGTGCGTCCTTGTATGACACCAGCAAATCACATGAGTATTATTGTATAAGGACCAAACTGGTTCTATCCAAGCACGATGTTGTGAGAATTGGCAGCTTCGAGATAGTGTCACAGAGTGACGTCGCAGATGATCATGAAGATCTACACCGCATAGCGTTAGCGTGAAACCTCACTTGCCGACCCTTCAATTGGTGCAGCGGTCCATGCTTCCTCTTTCCCACCTTATCAGCATCCACGAAAAGACATCAGTTGTGACAGGACTACTTATACATTGTCGCTGAGTAGACTTGGTACCTATTTTTTGCGACGCGTGAAGCGCATTGGAGTTCGATAGAATCGTAGCAGCTTTTGCTATTCAAGCTTCTACGGACCTCAGGCTTATCCACCTTCGTCCCGTTCAGCCTTGGAAAAGACCCGCTCAAGCTCAATCCTGTGCAGCTTACTGGACTCCTTCTGTTACTGTTACCTAAGGCTGGCAGCAGCCTCACATGTCAGGCCCGACGTCAAGCCCAGACTGGAACAGAAGTGGCAGTCCCGCCTACGGTACCTTTACTCGACCACCGTTCAACCCAAATCCCACCAAAAGTCACGACAGTAATGATAGTGCTGTCGCACCCTCTAGCAATGGCGGCGAGGATGTCTCACCTACTGCGCGCAGGCCCTCACCACAACGAAAGCCGTCAAGGCACATCGAGTTTAGAAAGTACTTGAAGCGCCCTCATATGATGGAAAATCAGAGAACGCTGAGCGATGCATTGAGATCCGCAAAGAGTAGAGAGGAACAGGAGACATTGCTCCCTGAGGAAGACTACGCTGGCGCCGACGGATGCTTCAACGGTCAAGGCGAGCCAATGCTTGAGAGAACTGCTAGTGCGCCCGATCTGAACAATAACAAGAAGACTTACTTCAATATCCACAGGTATGTGTATTGCGGCAGGTAAGGAGCCTGAGTTTGATATTAATCATATCTTAGGATACGACGCCTTGTCCTGGCAGTAATTGAAGACCCGTACACCGTGGACCAGCTCCGAGAGCCTCGCATGAACGTGCTCATCGTAAAGCCATTAGTGGATCGCTTCTATGACGAAGAAGATATATCCATCGTGTACTGTCTGCTTGTCAATCGCATGCAGTTCCTTCGAGAGCAACAGTTTCAGCAACATCATCAAACCGTTGACCTAACGCGCGCGAATCTTTGCGAGCTGGTTGCTATGAAAGTGCTGCGACGCCACGATGAAGAGTCTACAGGCAAGGCTGGCCTCTTACTTTTGGCGCAAATTATGGTAGCTCCTTTCCAGCCTTTTCAGGGTGCGCCAGATGAACGCTGTCCGCCGCGTCATAGTTCAGAGTACCAGGGCCAGAAGGATTATGAGGGCAAGCTAACAGCGCTGGAGGTGGCTATCGTCTCCGAGAGTAAGGTATTGTTAGCTGGTTCTGCGAGCCAAAAAGTCATCGATGCTATATATCGCGGGCGTATCGTGTATACCCCCACTGTATACATGGATATCATACCAGATCATTACAAGCACAAGCCCATCTCCCTCTACGATCCACGGAAGGCGCCGACACTAAACCAGTACCGTCTTATGGTACCCAGAACACGCAACATCATCGAAGTAGTACAGTTCATTACACTACTCGCACTCTACTGCTGGTGCATGACTATGCGCAAAGACCATTTTCTGACTGGTGCTGAAATTACATTCTTACTGTACGGTAGCGGTTGGGTGCTCGATGAGCTTATATCCTGTCTTGAGCATGGCTGGGAAGTGCATACGCAGGAGCTCTGGGCCTTCTTGGATGTCACATTTGCCGGCATTTTCCTTATATACCTTGGCATGCGATGCCATGGGTGGATGATGGGGCAAGACGAAACGGGCAGACAAGCTCTCGACGTTCTGGCTGTCGCGTCGCCGATCCTATTCCCACGCATCGCATTCAACCTTATGCCGGAGAACATGTTGTTCATCGCCCTAAGAGCAATGGTGAAGGAGTTCACAGCCCTCAGTCTAATCGCTGTATGGTGTTTCGGTGGCTTCTTGTTAGCGCTCAAATGGCTGAGTATCAGCAATCCAGCAGTCGGCTACGAAGACTCACCGAACTCGATCACCATCTCAAAATGGATGCTTTGGATCTGGTTCGGTCTGGACGGCACTGGAATTGATGAAGCTCCTGGTTTCCATGAGATTCTCGGTCCTACTCTAATGGTCATCTACGCCTTCCTGGGTAACACCCTGTTCTTGACAGTCTTAGTATCAATCTTGTCCAACACTTTTAGCAAGATCGCCGCAGATGCGACGGCAGAAATCCAGTTCCGTCGCGCGGTGCTCACTTTCGAAGGTGTAAAATCCGATTCCCTGTTCGCCTATCGACCACCTTTCAATCTACTCGCATTCATAATCTTACTCCCTCTCAAGTTCATCCTATCGCCACGATGGTTTCACAAGATCAATGTCTCAGCGATACGAATCTTGAACTTCCCTATCCTTCTTGCCATCTCCCACTACGAGCGTCGTTACCTGTGGAAGCCACGGCGCCAACTCAGCATCAATGGTCCGGGGCCTTCGAAACGCACAACTTGGTTGCAGGACATTGGATTTTGGAGGAGCTGGAAACAGTTGAGTCCACATGCCGATTTGCAGGCTGTATTTGAAGAAGAGCCACCAGCCGATATAGTGCAGAGGATCGAAGAGGAAGATGACCTTGAAGATGCTATACTTGAGAATAGTTTTGCGGCAACGGGCATGGGAACGAGGAGTGTTAGTCCAGGAAGTGCAATGGCTGGTCGAAGGAGGAGATTGAGCAGTGTGTGGCCGGGGCCGGGCTCTTAAGATGCGCTTTGGCGGTCTGCATGCTGCATGTGAAAAACTTTGTGACGGTTTCGGTACACAGACTAGATTGTATCTCGGCACTTCATACTTCTTTGTCAATTACATCTAGACAATTCCTCATGCGAGCATGCTTGTTGTCACGTATCAGCGCTTCTCATGTCGGACCCACACAAGACGTCGCGATGCAACACCCCACTCTATGCTAACTCCGTAGATCCACCTCCAACGGCAAACTATTACCCCCAGCTTATTGCATATCTTCCACATTGAGGTAGCATCGCGACGATAGCAGAATTTATTACCCCCAGCTTACTACACACCAGAGCCATTGAACATCCGCGGCCTTGCGAAGTGATTATCCTGTTCGACAAAGCTGCGCGGCCGTTCCGCATCGCACATACTTTGTCCGACGGCTAACGCGTGGAACGCCTACGGCCGATAAGAGACAACACGACAAATTTTGGAAAGAAAAGAACCTAGATCTAAAGTCCAAGGATTGGAAAGTGACTCACAGCTCGGCACCTGATTTGGAAGTCTTTTGCGACGCAATTTCTAGGACTTGTTTAAAAGCCATTCTTGCAGCTTTTTGACAGCCGTGACTACTCCAACAACCAACAACATCAGTACTCACGACTACTGGTACACCAAGATGGCAGATATCAACCCTTTGTCGGCTTACCCACTTCCTACGCGCGCCTCTCTCCTCTCACAATACCTGGGCAAAAGGCTAGAGGATCTACCCACTCCAGCCGTCGTCCTCGACCGCGCTATCATACGACGCAATTGCGATGCCATGCTCAACATCTGCGCGGAACTCAAAGTTGGGTTTCGTGCACACGTCAAAAGCCACAAGACTCTCGAGCTATCAAAGATGCAAGTCGGCGAAAGTGGTCCGGCGAACTTTATCGTTAGCACGATTGCTGAGGCCGAGAACTTGTTGCCGGAGCTGTGCGATGCGCAGGGGAAAGGGAGGGAAGCTAGTGTATGTATTGAGATGTTTTTTCTCTCGAGTGCATCCCGATGATAACTCGTGTCTTTGTTTTCTTTCATAACAGCTTTCGTAATTCGTTATCTGAAGACTTGCAACTAACGCTCGCCTCCAAGGTCCTCTATGGCGTACCCGTGCCTCAATCTGGGATTTCACGCCTCATTTCCCTGGCCTCGAAGCTGAAACCCAGATCTATCAACGTAATCATCGACAACGAGAATGCTTTTCTTAAATTCCACGAACGACTTAGCACCTCTGAGACCAAAGTGGAGATGGGAGTCTTTATCAAGATCGATACTGGCTATGAACGTGCTGGCATCAAAACTTCCTCCTCAAACTTTTCTTCTCTCGTCAAAAGAGTAGTTGAGAAGAGTCAGGAACCCAAATCCGGGTGTTTCCTGCAAGGTTTCTACTCGCATTTCGGACATTCATATGGTGGATCATCTGAAGATGATGCCGCAAATGGCTTAATTGAGGAGCTACTGGGCTTGGAAACAGCGATCAAGGCTGTTCCAGAGAGCTTCAGCGGAAAATTGGTGCTTAGTGTGGGTGCGACACCCACGGCGACGGCAGCACAGAACATGCTATCAAGTTCGAGTCCCAAGGTCCAGGAGTTTCACGACGTGCTTGGACGACTACAGAAAGACCATGTCGTTGAGCTACATGCTGGGGTATACCCCGTACTAGACTGCCAGCAAGTCGCTACACATGCAAGACCACCATCTACTTCTAGCGCAGCCACGTCATCCTTCCAGCCTCTCGCTAAATCGAACATTGGCATTAGAATGTTGGTCGAAGTGACGAGTGTGTATAACGAGCGGTCAAAGCCCGAGGCCCTTGTGTCAGCTGGCTCTCTAGCGATGGGTCGTGAACCTTGCAAGTCCTACCCAGGTTGGGGCATAGTTACACCTGCTCTGGGCAATGCCTCCGCCAAGCACATATATGATGAGCGGGAAGACAAGACGGGATGGATAGTAGGACGCGTTAGTCAAGAGCACGGCATCTTGACATGGGAGGGCGATAGGAGCGAATGCAACGAGTTGACGATTGGCGACAGGGTTATGGTTTGGCCAAACCATGCATGCGTGGCTGGTGCAGGATTCGGATGGTATCTCGTGGTTGACTCAGAATCAGATGGAGACACGGTGGTGGATGTCTGGGTCAGATGGAGGGGTTGGTAAAAAAGGCGACGGGCATTCACATAATTCGCATATTCCATATCGCTCATAATGCCACTTCCGCCAGCCCTAAAAAGTATGCGATTGCTGTAGTGAAAACGTTCCAAACAGCCTCTGAGCCATCGCCCTCTTAACTCTGTGGTATTGGTGTAAGGACTGTGGGTAACGAGGACTCAAACAGCAAGAATTTCGGGATCTCCCACGGCCTGGCTTGCGCATGCATTCGATCGCCTTGACGTCGCCCAGAATTCGATTCTCGCAGCATCTCGCTTCGGAGAACCTCACGCTTCTTGTGCTACCGGTCGCGAAAGGCTGCTGACGACTGTCGTCATATCTGTTCCCGCTTCTCGTATGTGTCTACACTGACCTTTCCGTGATTTTCTACCCACGTAATTTAATGCGGGACAGTCTGCATCGCGTGGTGTGTAATCTCTGGTGCGGGTCCGTCTTGTTCGTCGGGGCCGAGTTTTGTTGACGGGATGGAGACTACGTGTTAGGTCGTCTGCTGCTACAACATCGCAAGAGGGTAGTTCGCGCCATTGTTTCTCGCAGTCCTGGCCATGTCGTCTAACTTTCTCTTCTTTGGCGGGTGAAAGCCAATCTCTGTCTCAGTGTCAAAAGTATGTTGCATGGGCTGGTAGGCGTAAGTAGCAATGGTAGTTGGTGGAAGCGCAACGGCTGCGACGTGAAGTTTGCGTGTCGTATGCACTGTGATTGGACACCCGTGGCCTCAGCCGTCAGGCACAAGCACGAGATTGTAAGTTTGCGCTTGCAGCCCGAACTCGAAACATCCCGCTGAGATCGGCCAGGCACCGTGGCGCTCGTTAAACTTACGCTCGAAGCTATCGATGACGTCTGCTATGCGCTGCGCCGTTTCGCTGACTAGAACATCAATGGGGCCACGACTAGCCTCGGCACTTGGTGTGCCCGTGGACGACGACGGCAGCATCGCGGGATCATCACTCAGGGCAGCCATGGAAAAGCTTGGAGGCGTCTCTTAGTCTGGGCCAGGCGAGTGCATTGCATCTTCTAGCGCACACAGAGGGCCTGGGTGTTGAGTGACGATCTGGCCAAATTACCTGCTTGACACGCTTGCACCTAGGTAAAGGTGGCAGCGGGGCCAAGGAAACGGATAACTGTAGTGGTGCGCGCCGCTGGGGATAGCCAATGCCAAAGTTTATTCTTGTTTGAGGCTTGTTTGTCTACTTCTAGTTGCGATAGCTGTGTGGTGGAGAGCGGCCACCGCTTCCCCGCCCTGCCTCTGAATACCAACCGTCCCGGGCACTAAGGCGTCCGCCAGACTTGTTGCGGTCAAGCCTCCTGCACCACCTGCAGACCTCCTGGCGACCAGAAACCCCCGTCTCTGTGCCAGATCCCCAGGCTGATCTGTGACCTGTGACCTGATGACTGACGAACCGAAGGGGTCCTTGAACCTTGGGACCGTGTCCAGTCTTCTTTCCGCCATCTCCGGCACGTTGAACATTTCCATCCCCTGCGGCGTCGACCCTCTTCACACAATGCCATCCTTCACCATGCTTCTTTAAGAAGGCCCGACGACGATACACCATTGCCCCGGATCCTCCCACTCTGTGTTTCGTGCTTATGCACAGCCCGGATCCTTGAACAGCGAGTTGCGGCTTGCATTGGCTTTGGCTCTTGTAGCACCATAATCCGAGCTGCTAGTCACATCAACTCGCCGCCTCGCCATGGTTCCTTTTCGACGCTTATCGCAGAGGGGTCGTCGCAGCTTCGAAGACCGCGACTCCTACGAATGGCAAGACGAACGAGATCAACGCATCATGACGGCAACCTTCCCCATACACCCGCTGGCCTCCATGCAGGCGCCCTTCGAGGAGTCCATGCTCGATGCAACCGGCGAGACTGGCCATGTCCCTTTCGTCAACCCCAAGAAGAGCGTCAAGACACGCCAACAGATGCTGTGCAGAGAAGAGAGTGCGTCAGAGCCTTCATGGAACTTTACATACAACTGTCATTGGAGGAATAACCCGAAAGGCAAATTTCATCCCCTGACGAAGACCGTCGCGCAGATCGTCTTCGGCGTCCATCTGCTGCATCAGCATCTGGAAAAGTCGGTCGCGGATGTAGCAGACATCCTGCTGAAGCATGTCAATGAGCTTGATAGCTTCTTGCAGAGGGCAAACGAAGATCTCGAAAGCAGCATGAAAGACATGCTCTTTCGACATAAATGCTTAAAAGTGCCCATGGAACACGTAAACGAATTCGATCGCCTCCTTGAAGACCGTTCATACCGCGCCCAACTTCTCGACGGCAATATCGTAATCGAGCGCACCATCGGGCGCATGTCGCAATTGCTCAACGACTATTTGATCGATATAAACGTATTTCGCGAAGCCAACCAAGAACTCGACTTGTACCTGGGCGACGTAGGCGACGCGTGGACATACCGTAATGAGGACATTGGGCGCATATACTCAGCCATGTGTGGTAATACTGGGGGCTGGTCGCAGTTTTTGCAAAGCCTTGTGGCAAAGGCCGAAAGACTAGGTGTTGTGCTCGTACAAGTGAGCAGCTACTGCAACGAGATTGAGAAGCGGTGTGGTGCTGCAAGCCGCCGAAGTTTGGTATGGCCGCCTATGATTCCCCATCCCATCTTAGCATCGCCAGCCGGATTCTATGTCTGAGCCTTGTTAACGAGTTTAGATTGCAACGCGTTCATCCTCACGAAACTCGTCCAACTCGCGCGAAGCACGTCCGTTCCGAAATTTTGCCAACAACAAACCTCTTCCTACACCTCCGCCCGAGCGCCCGCCATTCATGAATGCTTCGTCCTCTGGTAGGGAGACCCCTGCCAGTTTTGGCACTCCTCAGAGACATTCGACCATAAGAGCAAGACCTCAACAACAGCCCGAGACCACGAACGTGTCCGACTCCACAGAGACGCCAAAACGAAGCGAAGACTCTTCTTCTGCGTCAGCCATCTCTAATGTTGACATGGATGTGCGACGTCAGACAAATCAGACAGGGTACTACCGTGATGCCTGGCACAATGGAGAGCAGCGCGGAGGAGCGACACTACAAGCAGAGTCTAGTCGCACAAGTCAGCTCTTGGGACATCAGCACAAAGTGTCTTCGCCATCTAATCTATCTGCAGAGGAGAGCTCACCAGCAACGAAACGTCTATCAGCGAAACCACAGAACGGAGATTATAGCCCACCTTTGACCGGAAAAGATTCGGCGTACTCTTCTGTGTCAGGCGCATCGGCCATGTTACCAGGCTTCGCATCACCCCGCTCAGTTTCTTCCACGTCCTCTCGACAGACTGCCCAATTCGGTCTCTTCCCTAGCAGAAATCTAAGTACGCCGAAAGGTTCGATATCTAGCCGACTTGGTGCTAGTTCTCCGGCGTTCGATCGTCCGGAACAGCACCCTAAACCCGTGGATATACCGAATCGTCCACCGACCTCCTTGTCCACCTTCTCAGACGCCTCGACCAAGCGGCTATCGAAGCGAAGTAGCTTCACATCTCTCAAACGGTTATTCACCAAGAAGAAATCTGGCGATATAGGCCCCATCGCTGAGTGATACCCTTCTAGTTTGATCTTTGTTGTTCCCTGTGTCGTCTTTGATCTTATTGTCTGGCGTTGCAAGGCTATATACCCCTTTGACACTGCGTTTTTTGTATTGCGCAATCCAAATCTTATAGTCTCTACCGTGGCTTGTGCCCGGTCTTCTGGATGGTTTACTGGGGCTTCTGGATGTATATATTCTTGCTCTCGTAGATGTGATGCGGAAACGAGCAATACGTAATGGGTTTGGCTTCGTGTATGGAGATGGTTGTGTCAGAAGGCACAGTCGTGCGGATGAATCTGGAGATGCGGTGGCCCGTTATGCTCGTTTGGGGGTATTTTGTGGTGGTCGTTGCACACTGCGTGTATCGCGTGCAGTGAGCAGGCGAGGCTCGGGTAGGAGGCGCAGGAATGCTAGCTGCCGATTGCTGTGTTGGTGTCTCATTTGATGCTCCCGTCCTGGGGATATGAGAAGCTGTACACACAAGTAAGTAGGGGCCAGTCTCAGTCTCGTATACATCTCTGCCACTGATTCTTTCTGCATCCTCCCTGCATTCTTCTCGTCGTCGACGTCTGTACCTTCTTCCTGAACAATCGTGGTGGGGTAGCTCCTGTCGTAGTGGACGTGAAGTAGGCGCGGATCTCGCCATCAAAACAGCGTCTCCACCGAGCTCCCTCCGTCTCTTCCCCCTCCCCCACCACAGCACTCATATTCTCAACAGCACTCTCCTTTTGGCGGAGATGTTGGCGAGAGTTGTGTAAAGGTCACTCGCTCTCGTCTTTCTTGGATATCTGCCGCCTGGTGCAGTATCGCTTCTTCTTTTTGGTCATACCAATAACTCCTACATCTTTCTGCAATACCGCAGCTAAGAGAGCTTCCACCGCAACAGCGTCGTTCTCGCCCTGCATACAGCCCTTGATTGCTTTCCTTTCTCAGTAACTCTCGCATCGACGGCACTATGTTGCTTTCTGAGCAAGATCCGAATGGCGGCGGCCGCATGTCTCGAGCCTCTAACGTCTCCGCCCTGAGCCGAACATCAGGTAAACCCGCATCGCGGGCACCCAGTTCTGAGATTCAACCTGCTCTCGATCGCGGTGTCTCGTCTATGCTCCGAACCGGGACCGAGATGGGCAACGTCGGCATCGGCGCCCAGTTTGACGACTTGTCTGGCATCAACAATATGCAGCGTCCCATGCGTTCGCGTGCGACCAGCAGGATGTCGACAGCTTCTTCCATGTCCAACACCTCTAGCCGAGCCAGCAAGCAGCTCCGTCACTTCCCTTCGTCTTCTTCCGCACCACGCCAGCCAATGTCACATTATGGGCAGCAGTATGTTACCGACACGCTCTCTCCAACAACGACGAACGCCTCCGGCTCATCGCCTTTTAATGGAAGGGCCAAGAGCGACAGGGACTCACATCGCTCGCATTCGATGACGCATACCATACAGGCACCCAGGTTCGGCCTCGTAAGCAACAGGTCTCTTACCAGTCTGCGCCCTCAGCCGGCATCTCGATCTTCGAACTCATACAACTACCCGATATCATACGGGAGTGGGCTCAGACCGCCTGGTCCATACCAGGGATCAGTCTCACTTGCCTTAGGCGACGACGCTCGACTACCACTCCAAGGATTACAAGCGTACGACGACCAACGAGTTTCTTATGCTGTTCAACCACAGAGCCATGGCAATCCAGTACGTGCATACTACAACCATCCGCAGCAGCATGCTGGGCAGAGACAAGAATATCGTGGCTACAGCAGCCGGCACAATCCAGGACATATAAGGGCCGCGAACCCGTCTTCCCGATCTACCATGAGTCTTGAGGATCGTGCCGCCGTCGAGGACGAAGAATTCCCTGTCTACGGTGAATCCTATTATCGCGATCAGCCCAGGCAGATGCAGAACCTGAACAGCGGACATCTGATCCCTCGTAAGGCGCTGGGCAACGTCATCCGCGAGGCTCGCTTAGAAGATCGAAGGGATCATAGGCCTAGGGGTGGTGAGCCTCGTTCAGAGGCTCCGCCCTTGCCCGTTGATCACAAACACCGTATTGCTGTCGAACAAGCTCGTCTCAAGAGGTCTGCGCCTGCTTCCATGTCCAGTTTTAACACGAATTTGCGTACAGACTCAGACCCACCATCGTCTGACATGGCCCTACCGCCAACTCCGAAAGATGGCATCTCTATAGAAGTGCACCGAAGCCTCGACAGAACCAAGGTCTTCAAAGTCGCAGATACGAACCACCTGGTCGTTACAGAAGAACATCCTGCGGTGCCAAATTATGGGATGGATGAACAGCTCGAACGTAATGAGGCTGGAGAACCAGGAGCTGAAGCCATCCCTATTAGCTTCACAGACCGGACCAAAACCGTCGTCGAACAGTCTAGTCCTGATGAAGCGACGTTGAAGAGTGGTCCTTTTTTAGGACAAGAGGCACGACCAATGTTGATGGAGGTCGTGTCTCCCCAGTCATCAAGTATCGGCCATATCGTAAACGGCGTTGCGGAACTCCCAGCGTCCCCAGTAGCTCGCCGTATCACGAGGCATTTGATCCTAAGAGGACTGGAGACTTCAACGACGGACGATATCCAGTCTTCCATAAAGTCAATGAGCTTTTCGGGGGCATCTCCATCGCCCGCGGGGAAACCCTCGTCGCCGTCAAGAAAGTCATTGATTCCAAGGTCTCTGTCCCCGAAGTCCCTGACTCCAAATTCTCCGACGACGTCAAAGACGAGTGAGTCCACTCAATTGGATCGCCTACCTGATGGAAAGTACTCTGCATCCGATATGATATCCGGAGCCGCATTGCGTCCGGTAGACAGCCCAGATAACTGCCATAGCATCTTGTCGCAAACTGGATCCAGCCTTCTTGATTCGTCAACACTTGAATTCGCAATTCAACATTCCATACCGACAGCCAAAAGTGGTGGCTTCCGAAATGAATCTGGCGTTCAACCTGATGTTTGCAGGAACACTGTCAGTCCTGGCCACAGTACCGAGGATGGCATGTCGGATGTCCTTGCAGGCTACCAAGGAAACGATTCCAAGAATGGAACTGGCGCTCTTGTGCGAGTCGGGACGATCAAGAAAGACATGAGCGATACGGAAGAGCATACAGATGTTTCGACAGATCACGACTTGAAACCACTGCCACTTGCTCTTCGCTCCAGGAACAGCCACGTCCAAAAGTCGTCCGATGAACTGTCCTTCAAGTCGTGCACAGATCAACCAGAGGCATCTTTAGAGTCGACATCGTTCCAGATGGGAAAGGACCCTGGCAAAGGCTATTCTGCGTCTGCGATCGATGTTGTGTCACAACAAGATAGATCTTGCAAGGAAGCAGATGCCTGTTCTGTCGAGATTTCTGCAAGTCCTGTCCGGACTTCCTCCGTACCATCATCTCGACTACCGTCGTCCAACTTAGGGACTCTGGTCATGAGCCAAAACAGGGCGACTACTGAGGTGCCTCGGTCAAAGCCTCCCTCTGTTATGCTTCGCAAGCAGCCGCCAGTGCCTCGCCGAGAATCAAGCTTCTCCATTGTGGCAAACAGACTGCGGACCAATTCAAAGCAGAATATGAAGCAAGGCTCAGTATCGGTGTCTGGTTCGTCATCCACGCTTAGCACCACGCACATGACGCCGGTGGTCCCACCACGTGAGTCTTCTACTTCAAAGGAAGCTCAACGTGTGCATGCTGCAGTCTCTTTCTTAATGCGCCCACTACCATCGCGCTTTGCTAGGTCTCGAAAGTATTCCGAGCAAGGCGATCTGCCGAGGTCAGATGAGACAAGTTCATCTGCTCATGATGTGAATCAAGACGTGAGCGATGCCACGAGCTGTGATGAGGTCGCAAGTTCATCCCTGCCTATTGTGGAGGTGCACGATACACCAAAAGCTACATCATCGAAGCCAAAAGGGGTACCTGCCGTGAAAACGCGAGCCATTACCTTTGATACACCACAAGCTTGCAACCCGTACAAGGTACTTGGTAACAGCCCGCTTCCTGTTGCGCAACACGGAGATCTCAATAGCCCGACTCCTGCCACCTTGGAGCCCTCATCTGTGTATTCGATGCAAGATAACTCTTCAAACTCACATGCAGACTCAACGGACGGAGTTGCGGCTGTTCCGGTACCTAATTATCGCGACAGCCAGACTACTACATACTTAGAATGGCACCGCTATGAGCCCTCTGCGACAGGTGGTGGAGCTCAGCAATCGCTTCCGTCAAGCGTTATTGCGACTCATTCCAACTCTTCTGCCTTGACCCCCTTAGCCAACATTCAGGAGGACACCACAACGAACCTCAGGCTGTCCGGATATAGGTATCCTGGTCCATCTCGTTATCTGCCTGATCTGAAAGAGGAGTCGCACGAGGACTCGAGCCTCAACACGAGTGCCAGCAACCTAAAGGGCTCGAGTTTCCGCTTTGCGTTTGGGATACCGTCGGGTGTTCGGGCTTCGGGAGAGGATCCGATCAATTTCTCGAGAAGGTCTTCTATGGTGTCGCATCGTCAGAGTGTTATCGGTAGCAATGTTGGCAGCGCGCTTGGTCAGGCCCACGGCTTGCCTTCGATGCGGTTCAGCCGAATGAATCTGTTTGATGGTCTGACCGACGAGCTCGGCCTCCGCTATTCGAGGTCGATGGAGGAGGTGCCTAAAACGTCGCAGAGAATGAGTAGAGGTAGTCCACTGCGTCCTGCTTCAGCAGGTGATGTCACTGGAATGCGCCTTTCTCTCGCAGAATTGAATGAGGCCGAGCGCTCAAGATTGTCAATGCAGCCTACCGCCATGATGAGCTTGTTCGCCATGCATCGTGCGCGTTCGCCGGAGCTCATGGCGGAGATTGAGCGGCTAACTATACCTTCTGTTGGGGGGCTCACGCAGCGCTTTTCGGAGTTCTTTCCGTCGTTGAGGGAGTACTATCAGTGTGGTGAGCCATCTGAGTTTCCGATTGAGGAAGGGATCGAGAAGCACGCATTGGAGGAGATTCACGAGATTCATCCGACGCAAAAGCGCTCTTCAGCTCGACTTCGGCCTATGCGTGGCGTATCCCACATGGTCGTTATGGAGGACGACCTCTACGATGAGATTACGAGCAAGGAGAAGGAGAGTGGCAGTCCAGGTCGCCCCAACGATGGGGGTGCTGCAAACAGCGCTAGTGAGGCAGACTCAATCGCAGACGAGTCGGCCTACGAGGACGACGTGACTGCCACCCCAAAACACAACAAGACAGCTCTGTTTCCAAAGCTTCAAGTTCCGTCACCTGCTGTTTTACGTCCACGTTCCCATACTGTCGGTCCTCAAGAGCTTCGTATCTCAGGGGATTCGGCTCTGCCGTCAAGAAGGTCTCTGAGATCGATCGTTTCGACACCCACAGCAACCGAGACGCGTCCTTGGAACTCGGACAAGAACTATCCCTGGGCAACGTCAACAAACCCCGCGATCGAGATCTCACTCCCTCGTCCAACCGTCGCAAAGCACTCCCCTCGCCCTGGTCCCTCCCATCTCCGCAGCAGAGTCTCTGACGCGAGTACTGCGAGCTCTTTCTCGACTGCTCAGACAGCTACAGCATCGCCCTTCGGTTCACCATCTGACAGCACTGCACACGCACGTCATCATCGCTTCAGCGCCTTTGGCCGTAACGGTGATCAGCCGCACGCAGTCGGAGAACGCTATCCTACGTCAGCTTTGTCTCCCCCTACGGCCATCTTCCGTGATCACCTTTCTGCCTCTGACACTTCTGACGACGAGCATTACGACACCACGCACAAAACCAGGCTCTCGCTGCGGAAGCGGTTTTCGTCAACTCGCAAGGCTAAGCTTGATAACCAAACAGCTATCAGAGCTAGCAGAAGCAAGACCAACGCACAAGCCCTTGCCTCGCCCGAGTCTACCAAGCCGTCTACGAATTCGATCTTGCAGGACTGTGTTGGTGAAGCTCAAGCGTTCACGTCACCCACTACTGCAAACCGCCATACCTTCCGTAACGCGGAGGGTATGAGACCAGTTGACTACCGCAAACATCGTATCATCGACCGCATCAAGACTTGGTGGCACAAAGGCTCACATTTGATTCGGCAACTATCAACCCGCAAGCAATCCTCCACTACGGATACCACAACTACGTAACAGCCATGAATATGTATACCCAATTCACGGTCTTCATCACTCCCGGTGGTCTGATCTGGGTGATCCCCCACTACCAGCAGCTTCCCTTGTATCCTCCTGACACACCTCCCTCGTCTCCGCCTCCGCCGCCCAATACGCCGGAACCCGGTGCGGACGTGGAGGATCTGATCTTGTACGCACCGGCAGTTGGTCCTGATGAACCTTACCGCTACTACTGGCACCATGTTTGAAAGGGTTATGGTGGTTCTCAGTAGTTTACCTTCTCTAATCATCATGTATACTAGGATATGAAAATGGGTGCTCTTCACAAGGATATGACACACGGTCTTGAGAGATTATAGCTAGCTGACTAGCGCTTCATACTAAGAAAGTCTTTGACTAGATAAACACTATCTTCATGGTGACATGTGATATCTGCGGAGTCTCGGTAGTCGCTTAGGTACACTTATGTCTGGATATACATACGTGGTGAGCGTTTTGAAGGCGTACAAGCCTCATCATTCGGTTTGAGGCTGTTGGCCGATAGTTCTGTGAAGGTCTACATGCACGGTAATGGCACATGGCACTATACAAATAAATATTACCGCATGATCCTCGATCTACTATGACCTCACTACGGGTCAACATAAGAGGCTTCGAATACTATAAAGCTATAGTTTTAGAATGTATCCAGGCGTTGTGTGATGCGTTGTAGGTATACTGGCGCTACATCGGAGGGCAGAGCAAATGCGGGTATGGTAATGTTAACGTGTTCTATTTCAACCTTTTAGTCATCGTCATACAAGAACGACGCTTCGACCGGGAGTATATATACGTACGTAGCGACTCACTTTGGTATTCATTCGCCCCAGCTAACGTGGCCCTGTCCACTTATTGATCAATTTGATAATTATACATGGTCTGAGGGAGCAGCATCCTTGATATACCAAGTTGAAAGGAGAAAGGAATGATAACACGAAATACTGAACATATGTAGCTGTAACCCAGATTGCGTTGAGGAACGCTCTACGTTCTTTCCCCATTCGTAGCAATCCGTGATCATGTTCGTCATCCTGAAATTTACTACAATTACGTCTCGGGTCGAATGTCAAACATGTGCAGAAAGCCTAGCGTGTCGTCTCACGGTCAAGAGCACACATCTCCAAAGGAACACGTAATCAAGTCTGAATCATTCCATTTCGTGTATATCCAGCTTCTAGAGCTGTTCATAGCCACATGTCTGTTCAGACCCTTGGCACTCTTTCATAACCCTTGTGCGGACCAAGCCCTTATGCGGCGATGGTAACCTCAACCTCGACACCGGCCTCGATGTTGATGATGATCTGCTTGACGACCTCAGTGGGGGCGTGGAGGTCGATGAGGCCTAAGATGGCAATTAGCTGCTGTTCAAACCAACTGCCTGGAGCGGTATGCACTTACGCTTGTGGATGCGCATCTCGTATGTGTCCCAAGTCTTGGAACCCTCACCGCAAGGAGTCTTACGGGTGGTGATCTTCAAGTGCTTGGTGGGCAGGCGGACAGGGCCCTTGACGCGGAGCTCCTTGTTCTTGGCACGGTCGATGAGCTCCTGGCAGACCTTCTCGAGGCTCTTGACGTTGCGGGAGGTGAGGGTGATGCGGATCTGGAACTACAGTCAGCAAACGGCCTTGCGCGCATAGCATTGGGGGAGACTTGCCTTGTGGATCTTGGGACCCTCACCGAAGTCCTTCTCGGGCTTGTTGTAAGACATCTTATCGGGTTGGAGTGTTGTGTTGTTGTTGTAAGGTACTGAGTTAGATTCCAGTCACGACCTGGATCCTCGATCGCGGTAATGTGATGACTGGGGTGGCGTTAAAATTGGCGACGGCGTTCGGAGTCGATAAGTTCTTTCGCGACATTTTGCATCTGTGGGCGACGAGCGCCAAGATTGCGGACGCTAGAGCCGTATCGGGTATCGCTCCCTTTGGATCGCTCGGCATGCGGGCCCATGAGCCATCATGACTACATGACTGCAGACAAACACCAGAAATCGAACCGTGAATAAGCTTCTTTTACTCCTCCTGCATCGCCTTGCACCTCACGCCTCAGCCTGCGCTTCGAACTTACTGCATTTCCAATAGTGATGTCGCTACCCCACTTCGCGCCTTTTCCAGATGCAAAAGTCAGAAAGAGCATACTTCCCGACGAATGGCAGTTATACCTGGACTCCTGGACTTCACTAGCTGAGCTTTATCTGAGGTTAGAGGACCAGCAGTTCTCAGCAGCAATCAAAGAGGAGGGTTCGCTTACACAATTCCTGCTGTCTTTCTTCCATGAGCTCGCCCTGGATGATGAGCTAGCATCCAAAGTTGCGTCATTGCGAAAGAAGACTTTCTTTTTATTACACAGAATCTTGACCAAGGAAGATGCACCTACTGCCTTGCTCAGCTGGTCAAATCTATCAGATATTTGTCATGTATATCCAAAGAGCGAGCAGTTTCGTACGCTCTTGCAGGGGTCATGGAGGAGAAAGAGCGCGGCCATCGAGAAGTCGTTACAGACTGCAAAAACGTCTCTAATCCGGAATTTGGAATCGAAGCGACCGGAAGAGGCTGAAAAGACACTTGACCGGATTGCGCCTCTTCTCAGGGCCTCGTCAGATGCCAGCACCTTCATGCTGACAGGGTCCGACTTCCTCGATTCTCTCCTTGCCGCATATCCACAAGTACCTCAATCAATGCAGAAGAAGCTAGTCACGACAGCATATCTTGGTCTCACAGCTGCATTAGAGGGGCCAAAACCTAATTACTCGTTGCTTTCCGATCATTTGTATAGCCTGAAATCCAGCGAAGAGCAAGATCAAAAGAAAGAGCCCGGGAAGAAGACGTTGGTGGCTGATCTTGTCACAAACACGCCGTTGCTGGAGAAAATAAGAGACCAGGCTACTACTCCCGAAGCTGCAAGAGTGAAGAATACTGCAGCATCATTAAGCGCATTTCGGCAATCGGGTCTAGCTCGGCCAAAGAGGCTAATTCGACGAAAGGTAGATAAAGGCAAAGCCAACGCTGACCAAGATAGTTATGGACATGGAGCATTCACTGGTGAGATCCATGTTCATCGCATGAGTATGATCAGTCAAATACAAGATCTCTTCCCAGATCTTGGTGCAGGCTTCATTGTGAAGTGCTTGGATGAGTACAACGACGATATTGAGCAGATTACTGCGCATCTCTTAGAAGACTCGCTGCCACCGCACCTCTCCGAAGCAGATCGGAGCGAGAAGCTGTAAGTTTGTCGATTATAATCACGCAATTCTGCCTTAAACAGAATCACTAACGAGCATTAGGCCTACGCCAGCTACGCCTTCACAACCACTGCCCCCACCCAGATCAAGCCAACATATTCCGGAACGGCGCAATGTGTTTGATGGAGATGAGTTCGATCAGCTCGCAATCGACACATCCCGACTCCATATGGGCCGAAGAGGTCAAGACCTGAACGCCGACAAGATATTGTCTGACCGCAGTAAAGCGCCCGCCAAGTCAGCCATAATGGCAGCTCTGGCGGCCTTCGATTCAGACGACGACGAGCGTGATGACACATACGATGCGGAGGATGTTGGCGCATCTGTCGACACTGCCGCACCTGGGCCTGGTGAGGATGCTGACCTGGGCGACAAGAACGAAGAAGCTCTATTCCGCGCCTACACCATGTCACCTGAGCTTTTCGGTCGCGAGTCAGAGATAAGAAGGGGAAAGGCTCGAACAGCACTCAAGAGCGAGACGGGTATGACAGACGAGGCGATTGAAGGTTGGGCTATCATGATGGGACGCAATCCCAGGCAACTCCGGCGACTCGAAGCGAAGTTTTCCAACTTCCAGGGTCAACAACGGGAACTTCAATCAACATCATGGCGGGACAGTCCTGCAGGATCTGGCGACGAGGGTAGTGGTGACGGGCAAGGTGGTCGTGGAGGCAGAGGTGGCGGCGGTAGAGGTAGAGGTAGAGGCCGCGGACGTGGTGGTGGAAGAGGTGGCGCTAGCGTCGCAGGTCCCGCTGATGATAAAGGCACGCAGATCTCGCGGCAACGAAAAGAGGCCAACAAGAGTTCGAGTGCCAACCATAATCGTAAGGCTCAACGAGGGAAGAAGATGGCTCGAGCTGGCTTCCCAGCTAGCTGAAGGAATTGTGTCAATTCACAGATCCATGGTTCATAGATATGGTACATGTCTTCCTGCACACCGCGTGTTGAAATACCCAACAATAGTGCGATCATGATCGAGCGCTTGAATTAGAGAAACATGCACACCCTTTCACGGTCATTCTCACACAATTTCTCTTGAAGTTTTGAATCCAAACAGTTATGTAAAGCAAAAAGTGTTGTAGCATTATCAAGGGACCCGATGGCGGCTGGAGCATTGGTCCTATCTAACAACCCCGCACTCTTACCCAAAAAGTTACGGAAGCCACGCCTACCCCTCTTCGAATTCCCATCGACAAAAAAAACATGTCTGACAAGCTCTCCGACGGGGAATCGACTGTTGAATGATTAGAACACGTTCATCTGTTTTTGGATAAGTGTACACATACACCCCGGTCTCCCGCGCTTGTAAATCCTGAAGACTTGACAAGCGGAAATCATGACCACTAGACCATCGAAGATATTGCTATTAGCGTCATATGACGTAAGCAGATGGTTGTTTGTACGATGAATAGAGAGGTAAATTTTGCATATATAAACCACCCAGTATCTCTATCATAGGTGATTACTCATTTCTGATCAATTAGAGTGCGGGGTTTGCTGATGAATGGTCTTGTGATGCAATCCGGGCTTTCCGAAAGCCGGCCAGCCACCCAACCAGCCAGCCAGCCAGATGTGGGACGCGGGGCCACGATGTGACATTAGTTGGCTGAGACCACAAACCTCGAGAACACATGGTTGCGCAGAAACGCTGGTATCAAACACAACGACAACATGTTGTATTTACAGGAGTAAAAGATTTCTTTGAGCCTCTAAGTTAAATCCGTTTTTTTTTCTGTCCTAGAGGCGAAGATTCGCCCCTTAACCCGCTTCTCCGCATGCGAAGACGCTGATTCGTCAGGCTTCCAGGCGCAGTTTGGAGGCAAAGGCTGCTTGCGCATTTCTACCTACTGAAATTGTCGGGCTTTTTCAACAGCATCATCAACTTCCTACGCTGCTCATCGTATGTACCGTTTGCAAACGCCTAATAGTGGTCGACTCCATCACAACTTACATGGGCCCTTGCTTGATGCATTCAATCACGATGCCGTAAGATTCGTAAAATTCATATAGCTACCCTATGTCAAAGCGTATCCTGTTCTACCCCAAACATCTTCGTGAAATCGGGAATATCATACAAATCCTCCATGGAAAGCCAATGCAAGACGTAGCGCCACTGCTCAAAGTGGCCGCAAGTGCCCGTTGTACCTCTCCAACTGTTCCAGACACACCGCAGCAGCGACATACTTCCAGCTCTTCAAGTTCCTGTAGTTTTCCCAGCCAACGGTCTCTAGCGCTACCATAAAGCATGCAACTGAGCGCGGCAGCGCTTCCGAATCAGCATCATCGTCCCCATCTGTGTCACCCTTTACGATACTCTTGATTATACCGTTAACGTCACGATTAAAGCGCTCTTGAACCTCCTGGTTGGCTTCGCGGATGTAGCGTGATGGCGCGCGCTCTTTCTTACCAAGGATGTTACCACTGAACACCTCCAGCTCGGTGAGAGGCTGGCCGCGAGTCGGTCGAAGCGTATCCATGATTTCGAGTAGATTTTCCTCGTATGCTTCGCGGAGTTCTTCGGCGAAATCCCAATAGTGTTCCCATTGCACACCCTGAATTTCTCGGACGATATACCGCTCGAGCTTTTGCACCAAAGACTCACCAATCCTGGGACGGCGCGTCTCGAAATTGTCCTTCAGACGTGCGAAGAACTTCTTCTCATCGATGTCACGATACAGAACTCCGAGGATCTTGTCACTCCGATAGTACCGACTTCGTGCTTTGTCTGGGTCAAGCACACTTACGCTGTCAGGATCGTCAATATCATCGCCCTCGAGCTCTTCAAGTTCGGTTGCACCCAATTCGTTGATAACTAGGTTTGACACGGGCGCCATAAAGTCTGGACGAATATGATCAGCACCCCGCGGTATCGAAGCCATGTCGGCAGGAATTCCGGACTTGCTAAAGTCAACAGCGTCGGACGCAAGCTTAGCAAGAAGTTGGCACTCTGTATCTTGAGTCCCAAGAGGCGCTTTGTCAGCGCGAATTTTATGCTTGTTGGAGATCTGACCTAATCGATCCATGTTCATGTATTCTATGAAAAAGTTGACGATGTCATTGATCTCTACTGGACGGCCTAGATCTTTGGCTGGTGTCGATGGGTAATCCGCAGGCGGTACGGTGAAGTCGGGAATGAGTCGCGGATCGAAGATAATGTGAAAAAGATCTCCATCGAGATCACCGCCACTCAGCTGCGAAGGCAGATCTCGTGGACCTTGTTGCGAGAAGACAACACAGTTATGGAGCGCATGGAGGGGTGAGCCATCCGGAACATCAACGGCGGTAACAAGCTGGACATCTCCTGGATGGAGTGCTGCAGAGGTGAAGATGCGCAGTCAGTGTCTGGATCACTTCCGTTTCGTACAGTCAAAACTTACCGGGTGCCCTGGTAATCACTACGCGATCACCGACAAGACGTTTCGTCTTCAATCTGCCATTCAGATCATAGTCTCGCGTCGCGATATAGACTTCCCCTTCGCGTAACGTGTTCGTCTCATCCATGATTCCATAGAGAAGATAGCCTCGTTCGATAGGAATACGCGCGCGATATTTCATGCTCCTCAGATTCGCCATAGCTGCGACTTCTAAAATGTCGGTAAGGAACTTATCTTCGTGAAAGGACAGATTAATCCGATGCATCAACTGGAACAACTTCGGGACCTTGGCGAATACGCCAGAGTGCGAGTATTCTGGTAAATGTTAGTACATTTCTTCATAGGGTGCCTTGGATTGGCCTCGAAATGATTCCGGTCTATGATGATGTATGTGCGTATCACCGGATAACTTACCGAGAAAACTTGCAGCATTCAAAGGATGGTCTGTCATTCGCTTTAGGATACTGAGTGCTTCGTCTTGCACATCCTTAAAATTCCTTGCCGGAACACCAAGGTCTTCTAGGATCTTGATGAACTGATGATTTAGAAACACTTGTAAGGGCTTGTAGGCAGCTCCGCACAGCTCGAGAGCTTGCCAAGTTTCGTTGGCGATGTATTTTGTCATGCTCTTTCGAACATGCAACTGCTCGCCTGGAAGAGATTGGTCGAGCGACAAGACACCTTTAGCCCCTCGGTAGCGGATCTGCAGTATGGTCGGCCTGAGTCTTCTTCGATCCGAGGGTAAAGCCTTCCACACTTTACGCATCAGTTCAAGGGATATCGTTCCGCAACCGTCGCTAAATGTCCGACCATTGCGCACAATGTCGTCTTTGGTTTCGGTGGCGAACGCGGTCGATGGAACTTGAACCGAAAATATGGTATCTACATGTTGGTATACGGAGTCAGCATATCTCTAACATGCATTTAGCACTGATGTGTTGCTTACCAGAAAATGCTTGCCCAATTCTAGCTGCACATTTAGCGCTACAATGTATGTGTGTAAAGTCGCCCAAGTCGCGAATGACATCTCTTGCGCGAACAGTGATACCGTTCTTCTCGAAAGGAGCCATGAACCAAGCTTGGTGAGTTCGAAGCGATGCGTGGGAAAAGCCGAGAAAGTGGAAAGTCCGCCCGGCGACTGGAATACCATCCTGAAGCACGCCTTTAAAGCGTTCGTAGACCGTTTCCTGTGACGCTCGTGGGTCGTGAAAAACCGACAACCCGTCCTCGTCGGCGAAGAACACACGCATGAAGTATTCGCTATGGGTGGCATACTTTCGCAAGATGCGATTCGAGGTACCCCAGTCAGGGCCACGCAGCAAGATACCTGTATTTAATCTCAGTCATGTATTCGAAGATTTTGGGAACCACAGTGGGTAGAAAAGTCCATACCTGTGGGGGTGACCGTAGCCTTGTAAGTTGACACGAGATGTTGCTTGCTATGTTCAACACGCAAGTCTCGAGAAGTTACTTCGTGGGATTTACTCTTTTTGATGCTCTCATTGAGAACGTGCGTAAGACTCTTGATATCGAATTCGGCTGCCTCGACCCCTGGAGCAGGCGTGGGTATCTGATTCCCTAGGCGACGAACTGCGCTTGCAGTGAGATCTTCACCATGCTGTCTCGCGATATTTTTCACGGCAGGTATGAGTTCGAACATCTTTAGCGGCGTGATTGTGCCCTCTAGCACGAGTGCTAATAGCTGATATCGGACCCCAAATTCGAAGGCCTCGCGAAGTTTGTTCTCGACCAACACATACTCAGCTTCGATACTGTCCGTCCGATATGCGGGAACCATGGTCTTCCAACAGTGTATGTCCGGTACTGAGAAGTCCTTGACGAAGTTCCAAGCGAACCTTGCGGTTTGGTGGTTAGGAAAGGCAATTTTGTACACCATGCACAAAGCAGAGTTCTTGTCGTTCGCTTTGCTCAACTTGCAGAGCCTTTGCAAACGAAGGACCTTTTTCTGTGGCCTCATGTTCATCTTCGCTAGCAGGGAAGAAATGTCATTCGGCTCGTGCGATGCTTGCTGGCCAGTATACAGATGCAGATCATCTGTAGACTGGATCTCGTAGAACTTCGGAGGTGACTTGAGGGTGAATGTGATCGTTTCGTGTCTGCCATTGTCGGCTGACGGAATTGTATGCTCTATGATCGCGTAGGGAATGTCGATTCTGCAGTGCCAATTGAAGGTCTCGGAGATACCTGCTTGGAGATATATCTGATCAGGTCAGCAGCTGTACCCCTGTCACGGCTGAGCTAGAAGAACAGGCTTACCACTAGAGCGCTCTTGCCAAACGTGATGAAACCATCCCTTTTATCCTTGAACTTCTGATCAAAAACGAGCTTGCCTAGGCGATCATAGTCCCAAACACCTGTCATCAACGTACAAAAAGACAGTGTCGATCGTCCTGAAGGGCGCTCCAGCTTCAAGGTAGACGCCTGACTTCCCAGCTTCGATCTCTCAGCTTCTTCTCTTTCTTGCAATGACTTGACCTTGAGG